AGATAATAAGTAATACAAAATCCCTACCTATTTCTTTATCTGATATTGCAAAATTAGTAGCTGAAAGCTAGCTTGCTAAAGTAAAGTTTCCGAAATCAATTGCGGAACGCAAGGCAGACCTCGCTTTGTCCGACTCCGCGCTGTTGAATATCCGAGTATCGTGCAATTGCAAGTAACAAAATAGCTATGTGATTGATTACACTGCAAACCCGAGTGTGTTATTTTGACGCGTATAAGCTTCCTTTACGCGTATCTTGTCTTGTCTTAAATCACGTCGTTTAACGCGTTTAAACGCGATATCGAAATGCATCAAATGACGTGTGATTTCAGACAAGACAAGAAACGCGTGAAGAAAGCTTCAGCTTATACGTGTCAAAATAATACACTCGGGTTTGCAGTGTACACATAAGGCAATTGTAAATTGCGTCGTCGTGAAAACGTGTCTCGAGACAGACATCGAGAATTTCGCCCGCAACATGTCGGCGTACTCCCGAGTCGAAATGTTGCCTCCGCATTGACCCTGCAAGTTTCGCCCGACTTGAAGAATCATCAATGGAGGAATCTCGAGGTGCAACATTGCACGAGAGCTGTTATCCTCTACCTTACATAACACAAGCGGTCGCTGTATCGTTTCCCGCATGTTGAATTTTAAGGACTCGTTTTGAAATTATAATATTCGGTTATAAATTCTAATGTTCGTTATCTCAAATATTAAATAAACGAATATCAAATAATCTGTGAAGGATTAATGGGTAAATCGCGACGAAAGAGACAAGACATTTTTATTCTCATAATCTGTTTTTCCTCCTTGGCGTTGGAAGCCTCGACGGAGTTCTTGAAAGAGAAACGGCAAGGGACAAATTGCAGGAGCAGAGATAACTTATGTGTCCAATAATGCTGTTTGCTAGTAAAGTGCTTAAATTTGAATTCTGCGCGATAACGAATGGAAAACAGGCGCAGAAAGTGGACGTGTCGGCACGTGAGACGTAAACAAGAGACGGGAGTCGCCGCTAAAGAAGTATTATTACACGTGGCAATTAACGCTCGCGATATTTACGCCAGATTCTAAAAGCCGATACTCATAGTTGTGCGAATTATTTCCAACTTCTAATTGAAAATATAATTAATTACATCGTTATAGATATTCGCCGGGGGCGTAGGGAACATTCGGCTGTAGTCTCGTTGTATAAAATAACGTAAGAAAAGAGCAACCATTATTAACATCACGAAATTACTCGAAAAAGAGATTTTGCCGATCGCAGTCGCTCAATTGTTTCCCCAGATTTCCGTCGCGCGTTTTCCAAGGAAAACGAAACTCTCCGTTCCGATTGGAAATCATCCCGAATACCGTTACGATCCCCGCCCAGCTACAGATCGATCAACAATCCAAGATCCATCGAGCCACGTTAAAACGATTCGTCAACCCACGACAAGCACGAACGCCGAGCTGAGAATTTCGCCTCGACGAATTCGTCGAACGTTTCCGCGCGACGAACGGAAATATTCGGCCGCGCGACAAATGACTCGACTTACCTGGGAACGCATGATGCGTTGCTGGCCGCGTCTCTGCGTCCTGGTCCTTCCGTCCTAGCTGCTCGATTCAGCATTCCGCTCCCGGCTGCTTCGTCGTCCTGGTGTGTACTCCGGGTGCTTTTCTTCTCCGGCACCGACACTGACACCTGACACTCGCGTAGAGACACAGTTCGATCGGGCAAACGTATCGCGGACCGATGCGATATTCCGACACTCGAAGTGCTATATAAGGTTATGAGACAACGACAAGAGAGCTCGCGGCGTCGAGATGCGCCTCTCGCTCTCGCCGGCCCGATGATGACTCTCAGTCGCGAAAGCACCGCGCGAAATTTCCAAAACATTCGCCGCTTTCGGCACAGTCAACATCTGCCAGTCAATAACGCGCACAATCGTTGAGCGAGAGAAACCAAACAATCAACACTATCAAAACATAGCGGGCCTTCGACCTTCGAGGCGGCCTCTAGCATCAGGGCCGTAGTATGTGTGGCAAATGCCCCCCCCCCGGCTCGGCAAAATATTTTCCCGCCGTTGGCGATTTCGTAAAGTTGCCTGATTGAACTTTCCAAAACGCCATATATCATGATCCATGTGCACACAACCTTAAAAATAAATACGAAAAACTTTATATTCGACACTGTATTTGATACGAATTCCAGTAAATGGAAAGATGCGAAAGATTATGCGCGCCAGTGAATGGCGTTTCAGGAGATTCAATAACCAACCTCATAAAAACATAAAACGGCGGGAAAATACTTCAATTTAAAATCATTTAGAGGGCTGAAGAAAAAGACAAGACCCCTTTTGCACTTCCTTCCCCCCATCCTGTCTCACTCTGTAAACGAGTGCTCTTCTGCTCGTTATTTCATGCCGAATCGGGGCGAAGGGGGGAGGGTTGAGTCTATCGGAGAACGCTGGCCAAGCAGCCGCTCTAGCTTTGCTTTTACGACTTCTTTCCCGCTCCTTCGGCTCCTTCAGACCTCGTCAAGTGTCCAATAAAGTATGTTAATAAACAGATTGTGAGGAAAGGGAATTTGTTCGGTTATGCTGCTCAGTCAGCCGTTTCCCGTTTCTTCGTTGAGTCATTTAATATTCGTATATTTACTGTCCCTTCTCCGTGCGCAAGCTGCGGTTCGCGCAACGAGCATTGCGTCGTCGTTGTACGCGGACGATGCAATTTCACGTACGCTCGCGTGTGCGCATCTCGTATATACGAGCGGTTAATACGCGACGCGGCAGAAGAGAAGAAGAAGAAGAAACACGAGAGAGGGCCGGGTAGTCGCGGCAATCTTCATTGAAGATCGCCCGGCAAGCTGGCAAGCGGTCGCACGGCCATCATTGTCGGCCGAGAGAGAGAGAGAGAGAGAGAGCGAGAGAAAGAGAGAGAGAGAGAGAGAGGGGGGGGGAGGAAGCAAGAAGAAGAGAACACAGAAGTCGATCGGGAGGAAACGCGCGGATTCGAAGGGGAGACCGTGAATCCCGGCGAGCGAGCGAGAATCCGGTTAACGTCCTCAAATATTTGCGCGCAACACCGTTTTAGCGTTTCAGCGAGAACGAAACGAGGACGCGCGGCACCTGCGAAAAGACGCGGGACACACGAGGAGCGTAATGACGATTACTTCCGGCAGCATGCGGAAAGAGAGAAAGGGTCGATGCTCATTCTTCTCCTCGGTTTGCGTGCCACGTAGAAATCTTCAAATTTGTCAACTCCTCTGTTCGATCCTCGTGGTAATTTCGGGTATCGAGAGGAACATTCTGCGCGTCCTCGTTAAATGTCCTGCGAGGATGCCGAGTCGACGTTGTTTGTTTTACTCGCAGACGTGGTCGCGATCCTTCGAAACTGGGTCATTCCTTCCTCTGTCTTATTTCATATAAATACGACGAACACTTCCTGACATTGTCCTGACTAAAAACCTCTAAATATATAACTTAATAGATATATGTGTACAACCGATATTCTACCGTCGACGGAGGAGAGACATTTGATATTTCGTTATTTAATCAAGAGAGACTCCTGCAGTGTTGTGCTCGGGGTGGGGTGGGGGGGGGGAATTCTAAGACTCTTCGCGCGGTCCCCGCGCGAATTTCAAGCTTGACGCGCAACGCTGACTACCGAGGCAGACATCGACGCACGCACATACATCACATAAATCAGTCGCGATGTTAGAACGCTTCGCCGGGCGCAATAAAGATCACATTTTCAACGGGCCTTTGATGGAGTCTCTCTCTCTCTCTCTCTCTCTCTCTCTCTCTATTTACGGAGTCCGATGTGTCGAGCGTCACCTTGAGATTTTCGCGTCCGTTTTGTTACCTGAATAACCTCAGGCCGACTATTATACCACTCTCGGGTCGGGATAGGCAAAAACACGTGGTTCCAGGCGTACAATTTGGCTCTAGAATAGCACATGACTCAGTTCGCACGCACAGACCTACGCACGCACGCGCTGCGAGCGAGCGAGCGAGCGTGTGTGCGTGTTTAACCTCCGTAGAGGATCGTTTCAACGCCATCTAAAAGGTCCATAATCGGCACGTTTCTTCTACGGCCGAGTATATACATATATATTCCATAGACGCATTATGTATCATCATCTCGTCGTGAACGTTTGGAAACGTTCTCCCGTCTCGAGCGGCGAGCTCTCGCGTTTATTCTCGAACCCCGCGCGCCCCATCCGCCTCCTCCCTCCCCCCGGGTTGCTTTTTCCTCATTTTTGTGACACGTGCCGTCAAACCAGTTCGCTACTGCGTAGCAGCGTCCACTGTTCCAGGAAAAGCAGACCTTCTAATACGTCACGCGCCGCTGCAAAAATCTGACGTATTGCACGCGCGCTCTCCTTCGTCCTGCGTCGTGGACTCTGCGCTCGGTTTTCGCGCTCTCGGTCTCTCTCTCCTCTCCTCCCCTCTCTCTCTCTCTCTCTCTCTCTCTTAGCCTTTCCTGTTTCTCTTCTCCTTTATCATCGAGCACATGTCGCGGTGGCTGCTGAGTCACGACTATTTTCAGCGCTTTTTCTCCCTCCTTTTTTTATTATCCTGCGAGAACTCTCCTGGGACACGGTGCTCCACTTTGCTCGGCGCGCGATTTCTGGCCGACTTGTGAGACGCGCTCGCCCTCTCGACGAGCAATCCTGAAATACTCCGAGGCGCGGCAGCGTTCGTCTAATTGTTCATTTACTTTGTGAACGCAAGAGCGTGATCAATAACACGAGTGACTTTGAAAAAGAGCGAGCGTTCGTGACCGCCAAAGTCTCTCGAGGCACGTCTCATCGGCGAGCCGCGTGTCTATCACGAGCGACGATCAGGCTTCGCTCGATTGGGCCTCGTCTCACGTGATAAGAAATGTCGTCCAAAAGCCGAGCCAGGCCGATCAAGCAAAAGCGAGCGCTAGAAAAACAAGCGATAGGCTTGCCGAATCCCCGCCGCGTAAACATTGCAAAAGCGCTCGCTCGCTCGCTCGCTCGCTCGCTCGCGCACAGGACACGAGTCGTGTTCGTCCTGCTCGTGTGATCGAATGCTGATCGGAGCTGCTGATTGGCGCGCATCAAGGTGTGCCAACGGCTGCTCCTTTAACGCGGCGTCGGCTGTCGAAAGATCGCGCCGGCCGGAAGTAGTTTTGCGCGTGCGATCCGCGAGGCCGCGAGTGGAGTGCCCGGATGGAGGAGTGCAGCGAATTGCGCCCGGCCAGGTTGCAGTTTCCAGCGGAAAACGCGTCGTTCGAGAGAGACCGCTTCTGAGAGACTCGTCCGCCGCGAGAGTAACATGCTGAGATAGGCGGCGGGTGATGGTCGACAGCGAACGCGGCGGAGGAAGGACGTCGCGCGATATCCGATCGAACGGCCGAGACGTGATCGTGACCGAAAAAGAGAAAGAGGGAGAACAGAGAGAGAGAGAGAGAGAGAGGAGCTGAGGTGAGCCGTGTCGCAGCTAGTGACTTCCTCCTGCGGGAAGATATTCCTCGAGCGAACGAACGAACGAACGATATTCGAAGGAAGCTCCGGAGGAGGGAGGCCGGAGAAGGGTCGCGCGCTGGGGGCCCGCCGCTTTTTTCCAGCCGCTTATGTTATCGTTCAGGTATGCGGCCGTAATCGCATGGTGTTTACAGGGGGATACTCTAGCTCTCGGGGGGCGGCCGGGACAGACGGACGAACGAACGAACGAACGAACGAACGAACGAACGAACGAACGAACGAACGCAGGTCACTCTCTCGGCTCCTCGGCTCTCTTCCATTTCTAATCTCGTTTTCTCTTTGCTCAACCGCACGGTGACTCACGATTACGCGACGGTGACTGCGGCGGCCTCATGGACGTGCGTGCGTGCGTGCGTGCGTGCGTGCGTGCGTGTGTGTGTGTGCTTTTTTCATTTTTTGCTCCCCTCCTCCTGCCTCCCTCGGTCCTTTCCCCTCCTTGCGCGCGGCAGGGCCCTTCTTATCGCGCGAGCGCCGCGATTTCACGGTGCTGCGCTCGCGACAATTAACCCTTTCACCGTTGAATTGCGCGACGAATGAGGCAGCTGCGCTCCGCGAAAGAGAGAGAGAGAGAGAGAGAGAGAGGGGGGGAGGGACGAAGAGGGAGAGGGAAAGAGTGTCCCGCGATGTTTGATCGCTCAATATTTACCGCCTTGCGAAACGCGCTCTGTTGCTCTGGGTGTAACAGGTGCGACACCGCGCGCGCCTTCGCGCGTGACGTTGTGCGGCCGCGACCGGACGGGGGCGGACAGGGATCGGGCAGGGAATTTGCTTTATTACACGTCATCGTCGGCGCGTCAACGCTCTTAACGACGTAATTGCCGACGGATCTGGCGAGGGGGAGGGGGAGAAGGCGACGCTGTAAAGCGGACTTTCCACCAGCCAGGATTCCATCACGATCCGCAACGAATCGATCGGTTTTCCTTCCACAATTTTACGCGCCGCCCCGCAATCGTCCGCGAATGCGGATTCCTCATCGCGATAAAATGTTATTCATTCGGTGCAGCAGAGATTTCAGACGCGCGCATAGAGATATTCACCCCTGAGGATGAAACGCGTTCGCGTTGAGTTCTTCGTCGCTCTCGTTTTTCTATCGGCTAACGGCAGCCGCCGCCGAGTGTGCGCGACTTTATTCTGTGCTCCAGTGGTCGTCGCGTTGTCGAGAAATACTCGCAGTCTGCCCGCCACCTCGACTGTTATTATTAAAGAACTGTGTAAAATATATAAATTATATAGAGGAAACCGTAAAAGAATACGATCCTAAAGTACATATATCACAAAATTATAAAGGCCATAAAGTACGAGTATTTACACAACTGTATATATTTATAACAGTATACTTATTGTTTATCTACCATTATAACTTTTATTACTTTATAACTATTATAACTATTATTACTTAAACTTATACTTATAACTATGTATTTAGAAAAGTATTATTTCTTATTATGGCTATACGTTTATACAAGCCTATAAAGCGTATATTAATAAAAGTGTAAAAGGAAAGGTAAGACTGTCACAGGAACCATGTGAACCGCACGACACTATAAAACCACATAAAAGTGAATTTATGGTTTCGCGTACAAGAAAGATGTTCCTGTCTTCAGACACGGTCTGAGCGAGCCGTCAAAGTCTGCCATCTCGTCGGGCGAAAATTAGCCGGCGGCGAGCGTGAAGGATCTCTCTGAAGGGACCGCATTATCGCGGTGTATTTACCTTGTGATCTTCCTCCCTTTCTTTCCAGAAGTCGGGGGACGAGCGGATAATCGGAGGGACCTTTTTGCTATACACGCAAGAGAGAGAGAGAGAGAGAGAGAGAGAGAGAGAGAGAGAGAGAGAGAGAGAGAGAGAGAGAAAGCGAGAGCGAGAGCGAGAGCGAGAGCGAGAGAGCATCATCGACAGTGCAAGATGCGCGACTCTCTCACGGACGCATGGACGGGCAGCGCGCTTGTGCTCCACACGTCGTCGGAATACTCGGCGTCCTGCCCGAAGAGCTCGGCGATTTCGATCTCCCGGGATTGGGTGCTGACGCACGGCACAGTGCTGGAGCCGGTCATCAGGACGTCCGATGCGATCTCCAGGTTCGTCGAAGGCATAGTGCCGGGGCAGCTGACGAGCGTGCCCGAGGAGCTCGCGGGACAGTTTGAGTTCTTGGTGCTGCGCCAGCAAAACGGCGACGTCAAACAGCACCGAGGCAAGCTCGTGTTCGCCTGGATATGCCCGCTGCTCAGGCAGACCTTCCACATGTTCTTCAATACATGGAGCTTCCACCAGCGCGAGCTGTTACAGTCGCGTAAGCCGCAGCGGCAGCTCTTCCTGCTGATCCGCGTCGACTCTGACCAGCCGCTCGCGGACGTCCCGACGGCCAAGCGAGCTCTGCGCTACCTGCAGCTGCAGGTCTCCTCGCGGGCCTTCAGCCGGGGCGCGACCGTGGAAATCGTCTCGTCGCCGTTCGGCAATGTCTGGCTCATCGACTCGGTAGCGCGGGGCGTCGTCAGCAACGTCGTCGGCGGCATTATCATGACGGACGCCTACGTGTTCCCGAAGAGCGAGGGGGGTCCTGTCTACGTCGTTTCGCCGGATAGGTAATTATGATCGGCGACTCTGGGATCAGCAATGCGGCCGCGCGCGCTACTCCTTACTCGTTGCTGATTCTCACACTCGGCCTGTAGCCGAGTTCCGACCGGATGATTGCATTCGTACTTGCTGCGCTGATAGAAGAATATAGCTGAATTAACTATAATCTCAGTGTATTTTACAGTTAATCTTGGCGTCATCATCATATTTTTATAGTTCGTGGGAACCTGCAAAATATAGTAGAATAAACACAAATATATAGTCAATGATTATCTTAAATAATTGTTTAAGTTTACTTTCACCACATACACGGTAATTTCTCATTCACGAATATAGAGATATAAATGAGATTTGATATTCATATAGTTAAATCTGTCATCATTTAGCAAATATTCTGGTAATATTGACTATATAAAAGAGTTACTTTTACCTACCATTTTATATTTCCATCCATAGAATAATCTTAGTTTAATTTACTATAATTTTTAGTAAAAATATTATATGCTTGGTTATATACTATGCTTATATGCGTAATTATCACTGACATTATGGTGATACTTACTATAAATATGATATTTCGGACTATAATTTAGTTACTATATCATTACAGTTCCAAATATCATATATAGTTTTCTCTCAGTGTGAGATTTAATTTCTTTCTTATCATTCTTATATTTAATTCTCCGCGTCACGAGTGAAGAGATAACACGCTGAACTGAATATGGGCTGCGTCATAAGAAGGAAAATTTCAACGCTAAGGCGATTTTCTTTTTTTTAATAAATGAATTATTCCAACACTTTGTTGACCCCCGCTGTGTCACGCATACGTGACTTCATTCTGCCGGCGGCCGACACTTATGAAGAAATATTAAATAGAAGTATTTATAACGATAAAGAGAAACGATTGTGAAGGGATCTCCTCCAAATGACCACAAAATAGCGATCTTGGCGATCTCGAGCGACCACACAAAATGCCACAAATCGCGAGTGCCATGTGGTCGTTGGATGGATTTCCTTTGCGATCGAGACGGTCGTATCTCGAGCTTCCTTAATGCTGAAATATTACTGTTGCCAGCGGAAGCAGAACTCTCATCGGGATGGTGATCGTGACGATGGTCTGGTGTCGCGACGAGTGGGTGCATTACACCTTCGCCGCCAATCTCGCGCCGTGTTTGTCCGCGATTTTGCCGAATTATCGTTCTCTGTCTCCAGCGAAGCTTCCCATACTCCACGACAAGGCAAATGGTTCGTAACGCTGTCCTGCGTCACTTCCCAAGCTCCTATCCGTTTCTAAAATTTTCCTATTTCTTCTTGCTGAAAAAACAGCGTCTGACAGGGGCGTGGTGATGGTTACCTGCGGGTCCAGCAAAGGCACAGGCATCCTCGTGGACAAGGACGCTGGAATATTCGTGACATGCTCGCACGTCATCGAAGAGGTAAAGTTCAATCGAACTCATTCTTTTAGGGACGCGTTAGAAATGCAAGGAAAATAGGGAAAAAGGCATCAGACAGGTAGAAATGAAAGCTCAAGGCGAAGTCAGCAGCGCAAGTGAAGTCAACGCCTTGCGTTCGTTAAATTTGAAGAAGCGAGCGACGCACAGCGGTCAAAAAGGCTCTCTCGGTGGACAAATTAGTCTGGACCGTGTAATTGTTAATCGATTCTAATAATTTTTGTTTTAATTTGCTCGTTACGAATTGCTCTACAACTTTGTCCATTCACTTTTTTAAAGCAGAGCTTCAGATCAATATAGCGGGCTCAAAATGGTTATCAAAATATAGAAACTACAAGATATTAGATATTCTTGCATCGGAAAAAAATATATATGTGTTTTAGGAGTCCCTGATTACTAATATCTGACGTCAAAATTTTAATTTCTTGCCACTTAAGAGGATCTGAAACGATCGGAAATGTTTTACGACTTTCTTATATCTTCATATTATCAGTGCATTTAGATAACGTCTTTGCTCACACATTAGCGATTTCAAAATTTAGCTTCAAATTTTGAATATTTTAACAAATAATATGTACTAATATGTGAGCAAAAACGTGATCTGTATGCACCGATAATATAAAGATATCAGAAAATCTTAAAACATTTCAAATTCTCTGAAGTGGCGAGAAATTAAAATGTGTGTATGTGTGTGTGTCGCACAGGCAGAGATAAGGACTTCGTGGTTCGACACTCTCACAGTATTTAGAGACTCCAAACCCTCTCTGCTCTTCGTATGTGTGTGTGTGTGTGTGTATAATTTAATGTAGCACATTCGTACGGTCTTCCAACATTTCTTCAGCCTCTGGATGAAAAGGTTTATGAACCTTCCTTACAACTTGTCGAAAGCTAGTTATATAAGGATCCGATGAAAGAAATAAGGAATGCAATATATCTTCGTTTGTATCGGTTCTTGAAGATTTTCTGCTGTGACTTGTACGGTACATCTTAAAATCTTTATTCCGTGCCTCCTGGACTTCTTCAGATAATTTCTTATAGTTTCTATATTTTGATAACTATTTTGAGTCCGCCATTTTGATTTGAAGCTCTACCTTAAACAAGTGAATCGACAAAGTTGTAGAGCAATTCATAACGAGCAAATTAAAGAAAAAGATTATTAACAATTATAAAGGTTAATAAAAAATCAATTAACAATTACGCGGTCCAGACTAATTCGTCCACCGAGAGAGCCTTTTTGACCACTGTGCGATGTCTGAGGCGCCTCGAGGTCACGGGAATTGCTCACAGCGAATTCTCATCTCTGCGACAGGCGTCGAAGAAGGAAATAGCGATCATCGTGTTTAAAGAGGGACAATATTCACGCGTGCCGACCAAGCTACTATTCAATAACCCGAAAGCGTTGCCTTACGACGTCGCTGTACTGAAGGTGGATCCGAGCGAGTTGGATCCTTCGTTGGAACCCGTACAGCTCTCGGACGCTCCGATCGCGCAAGGTAACGTCATCGTACGTTATCGTACGCGCGCGATAAAAATCCGCGAATCGCGCTAGCGCCCCTCCCCCCCCGCAAGCGAGTTATCGGAATATTTCCAATCGTGCGCGTCGTTGATTTATTACTCGTCGATTATTCGCAGAAGCGAACGCACGACGGGAGCGAAAGCGCGCATCCGCCGTCAGCGGTAGCTCCGCTTACTTCTTTACCTCTTTAAGCGAGAGCAGGAAAATTCCTCCGCGAAGATGATACACGTTGCATTAATTTCAATGTAATTGCACGATTCCCCGGCGAGAAACTGCGCGTCCAGAGGAAATGCTGATTTCCCGGAGCGAGTGTGTCAATAGTCAGAAAAAGACGCACACGGTCGGAAGACGATAACGACGCGGTCATTGTGGCGCGTGTCAATCATTTATATCCTGACACACTGATACTTCAAAATACCGCTCATGTGTTTTGGATTTTCTTTCCTGTGTCTTAGCCCGCTTTCCTGTCGTAATTCACAAGCACCATCTTGAAATTAAGTCATTAAATCGTTATAAAATTTATTTTCCCGTTCCTCATGCTTGTAACACGCCGAGAGCTATTTAATTACACAAAAATCTAATAAGGCCTTAGGTGAATTAATTCAGGAGGTAAAGGGTTAAAGTTATCTCACGTTGGTCCATCGATAATGAAATTCGAGATCCAACGGTGACGCTTGTTTGCCTCTCAGTGTTTGCATATCGCGCTGACCGACTGAACTCACTTTAATTTGACAATTGCTCGGCTCATTCCGCCGCGACTGCCGCGGGGCTATCGCGGAAAAGTCATTTCTCCGTGCGAGAGATCAGATAGAGTCGTCTTGGCCGCGTTGGAGGCCGACGTGAAATCGCGGAGCTTCGCGCGGCTTTCGCACGCGGCGGTCGCGTAACAAGCCCCATCGCTTGAAATTGTTATCGTCCGGGAATTGCTGGCGCGGCACATTGAAGCTCATTTCCGTAGCTTTCTCGCAATGAGAAAAAAATTAGCGGCACGTCCATCGACGGCGGCGACGGCGGCGGCGGCGGCGGCGGCGGCGGCGGCGGCGGCGGCGGCGGCGTCGTGTCGAGCGGTTTGTTGGCGCCTGCCGCGCGGGACATTGACCTTCTTCCATTGGGGCAGAAATAACTTATAATTGCGAGAAATTGGGTCAATTGATCGTCGCTAGGGGTGAAATTGATATTTGGTCTGCTTACTTCCAACTTAGAAGCGCACATGGAGTCGTTTGAGTCATTCGCGCGATCGCAATAGGAGCCTATTACCGCCCACGCCGTGAGACAGAGAGAGAGAGAGAGAGAGAGAGAGAGACGCTTTTATATTGACCGTGTCGACAACGCGAAACTTTTTGGAAATGTCATCTGCGTCATCGCGCGAGGCCGATTGCTCGAATCGTCCAATTGTTCGCCGGGTAGCTGGACGACGGAACGCTCGGCGCTTGCTCCGCCATCTTGGCGACGCGAATCTTTGCGAGGGATTCGTCGTCTCTCCCCGCCGTGAAACCCTCGCTTATAAAAATAAGAAAACTGGTAAAAGATTCGTCACTTGTCCATCAAGTACTCTCGCGGAGAGACAGTTTCGAGGTAAAACTGGACATTCCCATCAGACACACGTCGGTCATTTTATTCACGAAACTACCAAGCTTGCGAAATCGAGTAATTCCGTTTTCTCCGTTTCGCTGAGGTGAGCGCGACGAAAGCTTCCGCTTCACCAACTCAATCCTCGATTACTCAGGTGTGTCAAAGCACCTCCGATAATTGCAAACGAGAAGACTCGCCCCCACTCGCAACTTGGTTGCACCCAGCACCCCCGCATGAGTAGACGTGGCGTGTGTCCGCAGGCGAGCCGGTGATCGCCGTGGGATTCGCATTCTTCCTGTCCACCCGGCCGACCGTAAGCAGCGGAGTGGTCGCCAAATCGTTGGACTGCATGCTCATAACGACCTGTTGCATCCAGGGTGGCTTCAGCGGCGGCCCGATAATCAGCCGGACGACCGGCAAAATGCTGGGAATGATCGCCTGCAACGTACAGTCCTGCGACAACAGCGTGCACTTCCAGCGGATGAGCCTGTCCGTGCCGGCGGCCGTGCTGAGCAAGCCCCTGCGGCAATACTTGCTCACTGACAGTCAGTAAACAAATCTCAATTGACTCTGACGATCTAACGACTGTACAATTTGGACGCGGCGTGGAGACGCTGCGCGAGAGCCGAAGTCTTTCGCGCCGCCGTCGCGTCGCGAGCCGTGTCGTATCGGCGACACGGCCGCCGGGGAAGATACGTCGGCGTCGCGGCGTGAAACACCATAGTGGACCTGGGACCTCACTTTTAACACAGGCTCCGATCAAAGCAACCGTCTTAGTCACCTCGCGAGATTCCAACTGCGCTTGCTGCTTTGCTCCTCATTTCCTCTTTCTTCTCCCGGCAACTGAACTACGTGGTTGGAATCCTGCAAGCTTGATGAAAGTGGCTCTTAGGCCGCTCAGGTGCTCAGATAGATGAACTAAGATGTACCTAAGACCGTCTCAAGTTTGTCTTCGGGTGCCTTATCGGTAGACGATCCGATCGGTAGAAAACGGTCCGTACTGAAGCGAGCTCAAGGTGATCTCAAATATAACTCTCGAATTTTGTCTTCACGAGAAGGCGCGCACAAGGCTCAACCAGTCGTAACTTGCCTCATATGAGATACTCAGACTTGAACTCGGGGTTCGATGTGAACTTCTCGATTGAATCGCGATTGTACACGTATACTGCGTCGCGTGTATGATTCAACTGGAAAGAATTCAGATCTAGCTCTCAATTGAAATATGAACATACGTCGCGCGGGACGAGTTTTATGTGTCAACTATTAATACAGGTCCAAGGCGTAATGGCACCCGAAAACGTGAGCGTTGAGCGAATTGACCGAGCGCAGTCAATTATTCCTGGATCGTAAAGATAACAAATCGACTGCGGCTGGTCAATTTGCTTGTTGCTTGCGTGTGCGTGCGTGCGCGCGCGCGTGTGTGTGTGTGTGTGTGTGTGTGATGAGCCTATGATCAAATACCGCGGGCACACGAACGACCTTTCGCGGGCGCGACATGCATTCGTTTTTATTTCCGTTTCAGATACCGACGCGCTGCAGCCTCTCGTGAGCAACGACCTGATAGTACGAAAGACCTGGGCCCTGGAGTATCATTCGAAGCTGTGAGAGGGAAAAGAACGCCTCGATAAGATAAGACGAGTTTCGTAATCGGCGACGGATTCATGGACACGCGCGCGCCTTCCGCGTCGGTCTTATGCATCGTGGATTGGCCATTTTCATTTGTGTGCGCTACGGACTAATTATATATGTATGTAATATGTGTGTGTGTATATATATATATACGCATACGTATACATAATTACACACACATACGCACATATATATATATGTGTGTGTGTGTATATATATATATGTATACATATAAATACACATATATTTGGATCACTTACTCGTTTACACCCTGTATATGTATGTATATGGTGTATATATACATATTATGTATGTGTGTATATAACGCGATATGCGTATTGCGGAATATTGAGAGCCGCGTGAGTCACGCTGGACCTGCCAATCCCGATACGCAGCCGACGCGCTGGCAAACACAATCTCGCCGTCGAATCTCGTTGAATAATGCGCGCCATTGACCGAGTTCGATGCGAAGAGAAAGTTTTTCATGACGTCAAGTGTGTACCGATCACGAAGCGACTCGAGTCAACGATCCCTCGCGCGATCCACCGCAAGGATCTCGCTGACGGATTATGTGCGGGAGTCCGCACGCGTGTCGAGGATATCGCATTTTCGTGCCGGCCGCCGCTCTCGCGCTTTTACAAACGCCACTTTTGCCGTGACACTTTTATCGTTTCTCAAGAGACATGACTTCCCCGATATTTTTAAATGTACTTCGCGGAGATACGCGATCATGTTTTACGACTCGTGATAAATTATTGCCCGTTGTAAATGTATGTGTGTATGTGTGTGTGTGTGTGTGTGTATGCGTGCGCGTATATCGCGAATCCCCCGTCGCGGATATACCCGCCTCGCCATCTAGCGAACGCTCGCGCAACTAAAATTCCCGTCTCCCGCGTCTTCGCCACCCTCGCTTCTCGCACAGCGCGCGCTCGACGTAACGACCGATTAGTCGCGCGAGTCTCTCTTGGGAGAAAGAATCGGGATTTCTTTGCTTCTTTCACTTTCTCGCTTCCTTTGGATTTGTTCGTCGCAGACAAGAGTCGGGTGAGAGACATGCGGGAGAACGCGAGACGCGCTGTACATTGAAATGCAATTTATTTTTCACCTTATCTCTCGCTTCCTTCGCTCCTTAATTAAATATAGTTGCATTACGCGGGTCACAATATTGCCTTGTACACTGCACTCGACGCTTACAAAAGAATCACATGGTAAGACGCATCGCCGACAACGTTCGTGGAAGGAGTGCAGGGTGAGTGATGGTTCGGAGATGGTAAAAAGCAATTGCAATTGACAGAGAGAGACTCATTCGTGTTACAACACCGTTCCATGCACACCGTCTCGTATCGCATGTTTTCTTATCTTTTGTTCTTTTATATATACAATACATTCGAGTGGATTAACGCTAGAAAATACACAGTAGTTGTTACGTCACTATTTAGCTCCCCCTCGCTCCCGCTTCGCCGTTTCTCTCTTTGCCGCGTGAGAGAAGAAGGGGCTGGGGGAGAGGGAGATATCTACGTTACAACCTCGCGAGACGCGTTCCTCGGGAACATAATTAATAAATCGCTAATTTCGCCTAACTTCCGCTGTGTCTTTTTTTCTTCCTTTTCCCTCCTGCGCGCCGTGGTACCGATCGTCCAGGCGTCCGTCGTCGATTGAGAAACTACGCGAGCGGCGCAGGAGCTGGGGGGGCCCTGCCTCCTGGACGCGCGGGGTATGCCTTTTCGATTCTCGAAGCTGAAGCAACGTTGGTAGAAGAAAAGTCGGCACTTTCGGGATCGAGAGGGCATACCTAAGCCGGAGAACGCTGACCAACAGCAGCGTTACGTCGACGTTGTAATTTTTTAATATTGCTCAGCGATATGAGCGATTTCCATTCAGCAATCTGAGTGTCAATGTAATACGTGCTATGCGCAGCAACAGTTACGCGTTGAGTTGAGTGAGAGAGCGTAACGTTGCTGCAAAGTTGCTGCATGCCAGTTGGCGTTCCTCGGGAAGGCTCGCCGAGTGCAAGTCCGAGGCAGGGCTTCCGGTGTCCTGTGTAGGACCCGCCGGAATTCGCCGGGATCGAATCGCGATACGCTTCTCTCCTCTCACGTATATAGATACGTAATATCGATAAATATATTTATATATACGTGGTGGTGTGTATATATTAATATATAAATAGCACGATCCCTTTACACTCTAGAGTACAGATCATGTATATACACCATGGATGGAGTCTTCTCGTAATTATTATTATTGGAGCATCCTGAAGAAAGTTTTTTCATACCCTCCCCCACCCCTACTCGCGCCCCCGGCTTCGATTCCCCTTAAAAGACTAAGACTTGTCCCTATCTCCGCGCGACGTTTTATTATCTTAATGACTCCTATTGTCCTTAATCGATCTAATGATTTTCGATGCAAAAGTAGGAAAATAGCGAGTGTCCGGTTTGCCGCTTCGCGCGCAATCGGGAGGACCTTCGTGCGACACGACGTCCACTTTGACGAGAAGGACGGAGAAACGATAAGCAAGTTTTCCAAAAGTTAAATCCTAAGTTGTGTCTCTCTCTCTCTCTCTCTCTCTCTCTCTCTCCTCTCTCTCTCTCTCTCTCTCTCTGTCTGTCTCTCTCTCGTGCTCGTTGAGAATTCCGGGACCAAGACCGGGACACGACAGTCCAAGTGTTCTCGATATAAAACAATACGGCAACATGGTTGATTATCGCACTTGATATGTAGGATATCCCAAAAGGCCGCGCGCATCCTCTCCTTATCGCGCGCTTTGAATCGCAGATAACGAGGCATCTCTCGATATCTCTCGACCGAACCTCAGCCGAGCAGAAAATTCCTCGCCGTCGAAGAATATCGAGGGAGACAGATCAAACAGACAGATAGACAGACAGAAGAGAGAGACAGACAGAGAGAGAGAGAGAGAGAGAGAGAGAGAGAGAGAGAGAGAGAGAGAGAGAGAGAGAGAGAGAGAGAGAGAAATACGCGAGTTTTTGGGACGACCTATACATCTCGTACTTTCCGGATAAATGTGTGACGCTAATAAATATACTTAATGCCGAAAGGAAATTACTACTCTCTTCATGCGCAGCGTGAATCTCACGACGACCTACACGGTCGATGTAAGTACAAAACTAACACGAATCGGCATTGACCTGCCTAGTTGCTTCTCGCGAGAGCATCTCAAGTAAAGCAAACTAAAAATTATTTACGGGGATGACGAGAGCTTTCTTCTCCTCCTTCATCCGTCTTTCGTTTCTTCTTCTTCTTTTTCTTCTTCTTTTTCTTCTTCTTCTTCTTCTTCTTCTCTTTGCGGTTTCTCCCGGCGGTTTCGCAATCACGTTGGGCACAAGCGCCAACTATCACATGGAGACCGAAAGCATTCGTGTATCGTGTATTTTACGGCCCTAAAGTATTCAAGAGCTAGACTAGAATCCCCCGACAGGCTCTCACGCGTGCCGAGAACGGAGCCACTTCGTTTCCGACCCGGATCTCTTTATCTTTCCTTTTTCCTCTTTTCCGTCTCTTCCTTCTCCTCCTCCTCTTCCTCTTTCTTTCTCTCTCTCTCTCTTTCTCTCTCTCTCTCTCTCTCTCTCTCGTGTGAACTTTTGCGAAATTCGCTCTCCAGGGGAACATCCGATTCTCTCCCGATCCTCCTGCGCACGGAGGATCTCTCTCTCTCTCTCTCTCTCTCTCACGAAGCTCTTTGTAGAATAATTGCGATTTGATCGTTGGATAATTGTTCGTATATCCAGACTCGGCCGTGGCTGATTCGCTTCGCGCGCACCGCGCCGGCATTCGCGACGGCTCATTGTTGATAACCATTCGGCGGGTTCTGCGCCTCTTGACTGTCTATACTGTAACCGGTAATACTATCTGGGCTTTGCAGCGATGCCGCATAGAGCGGGTTGATCGGCGTAGCGTTCGTGTCGAATTGGGTCGAGTCATAAACACTGTGATTCTGCAAAAAAGAAGAAGAAGAACATTCCGCTTTTGCGTTCACCGAGGCAAGCTCTTAATTAAGGGAGATTATGCTGTGAAGCTAACATAATACACAATGACTACAATGTCCCGGCGTGCGCGATTCACCGCGAACGGCTCCGCACAAGAGAGCCCCGTGTGTGCGGGGGATACGCATTCGATATGCCGATCAATTTGAGTTCTGCAATAATCGCACGAGCCGTGAAAGCGCCGTGAAAAACGACGAAAATAACTGCCGACGGTGTTCGTTTATCATCGTGACATTGTGAAGCTCCGTGCGAACAGTGCACACTCTCACGCACGCACGCACACACACACACAAGCGCGCGCACGCACACGCATACAAATACACACATACAGAGACGTACGCGCAACGAAATCAGTCAGTCGGAGAAATCAATTCGCAAGATTCCGCACTCGTTGCCTGCTTCGCGCGTAAGGGAGAGAAAAAAGCAGGGTATACTGTCATTGCCAAGGGTGTGGTGAGAGAGATCGCCAAGTTAGTGTAAATAAATGAAAACCAAGTGCATTGACTACATCAATATACGTTTAATCAAGATAAACCTCTAAACATGCTAAATATTTACAAGTTAGTCGGGGATAAAGCTTCTCACGCGTGGCACCTCACCATTACGCATTATAATGCACAACTTAGCGATTAATAAACGGACGTATATAATAATGGCGACGACCCTCCCCAGCCCGGTGAATATACGTCTCGATTTGTGCTGCGCGTTGATCGGTAAAATCAACCAATAAAATCAACAACGTAAAGCCATCCGCTAATAATATGTACACGTGGAGTAGACCAGCTACGTAGCGACCGGCGGGTCTTCGGGTAAGTAAAGTTGGAACTGTGCGAAACGGTACCCGCTTCCGGTTTCCCGCTTTCTGAATTCGGCTCAAGCGATCGTTGCGTCGAGACGAGCGATTTGCAAATCGAATCGGCGCCAATCGTGCGGCTCTACGTGGCTGTACGGGCAGCTACTCGATTTTTTGCTCGGTTTATTTTCACACCAGAGGACGTTGTTATTCCGTCGGCTAGTCGTGAGTCTCGTTACGTCTCGACAACAGTTGCCAGACGTGTACGGAATAAAAGCTGAAATTAACGGAACGTGAATACTTCAATTTCGGATAAAGAATATCTGCACGTGCATTCTACGTCGAAAGTTGAAGTTTCCTATTTCTGTTTCCTAAGACTGAAAGAACAGAACTCCTTCCTCACAGATCCGCGTACATTTCCCGGTATTTTTACCTTACTTTTCTCGGGCGTTTTTAGCCCTGTGTAAGTAAAAAACGGCCGACGATGTCTGACAGATTCTGGTAGAAACAACTGAGAAACGATAAATAACATGCAGCTGTAGGAGGAAAGGAGAAAAGTAAAATATTGGAAAAAAAAAGCCGATTTCGATTTCGGTTGTCTCGATGTAACTGTGATTACTCTCACCGAGCCGAGAAAATAAATCGATTCCGAACTCCGCGAGCTCGATAGCCGAGTTCAGAAGCGAACGAGCCGTCTCGCAAAGGTCTAGACTAGCAATAAGGATTATTTACAAAGACTCGGTTTGCGCGTAGGAATCTGGGAGACCGCGGGGGGACTCGGGGTCGCGATTCGTCTGGTTTCTGCCGTAATTCTTCTGGAATCTCGGGGACGTCACGGACAACAGGTAATCGTTCAAACCGCCCGACTCCCGTCCGCTCGAGTCGTCTCCGTTCTTTCGGTGGGTGTCGATCGTGCAGAAGGAAGTGGACCTGGGGAGTAATCGCTGAGTCACGTTCGGGGCGTCCGCGGGCACGTCGGGCGAGTTCGCGTCGTACCGCCTCGTTATTAGCGAGTGACTGGAGCGCGCGCTGCCCTTTACCGGGGACTTGTGCGGATCGTCCTCCGCGTCGACAACGCGCGTGCCGCTATCCAGGATGGACTGCAACGTGTTCTCGAGGGCCGGTGCCGGAGGCACTTCCGCGGCAGCGCCACTAGAGCCGCGCGAGACGCGCTCGACCGCGTGATCCAGCGCGGGCCTGTCTAAGCTGCTCTCTAAGCTGCTTTTCCTCGTCTGAGAGAACAGATTGACGTTGCTGTCGTTTGCCTTGGGCTTGTACAGGAAGTTACTAGCGGTATCGGTGGAGAGGAGCAAATTCGAGACGCTACTGGGACCGCCGTACTTAATGTGCGCCACGGACACGGCCTTCCAGCTCGGGCCGGAGAATCTCAGGTCGGGCGAGCTCTTTTGGGAGTCGGATTTCATGAGGGGGTAACTCGTGAGGTCCGAGGTGCCTTTCCCCGCGCTGAGACGTCTACCCAAGCTCCTAACACCGGTGGTCGAGCGGTACAATGTTACTTGCGAGTTGTACGGATTCGCGTCGCTGGCCTTCGGGTCTTTGGCCGACGTGAGGGAGTAGAGAGAAGCTCTTTGCTTGGAAACAAACGATTTCGATGCTTGGGAGTCATACAGTGGCATGTGAATAGAAGGAGTATGGACCTGATAGATGTAATCGCTGTCGGTTTTCAAGGACGAGAAACTCTGTTGATGCGGTAACGACACCGTGTCTTCGTCCATCGCGTCGTCCACCTGCGCTTTGTAAGAGAACATTATCGACGGCTGCGAAACCCTGAAACAGAACGAGTCCCCGACATGTATCGACCATGCTCGAGCGAGCCGACGGTTCTCGAGTTCGTTCGCGACCCGGAGAAGCTTACCCGAAGAATTCCGACAGGAATGTATGATAAACCAAGGGAGTGAAAAGAGTCAGATACACCGCTGCGGTGATGTCTACGATGCACAGGCCCACCGGGTTCTGCGTGTAGTTTAAGAAACCAGCGCCGATGGACTGCACCAGATCCAACGTCGCTAACGTCCCGGCGTAAACGTAAAAGCTTTTCCGTGCTGCAACCCAGACAGACCCGTTAAAAACCTCGCTCGCGATCCAGGACGAGGAGTGACCGTGAACCCGCAGCAGCAGCTACTTACTAGGAAGGGCTAGACGGTCCCGCAACCGTGTCCATGGCAGTATTAATATGAAGAGATATATCTGAAAGCGAGATCTCTCAATGGCTGACATTGTCTGAGTACGCTTACTTGGTACAGAGTGCAAGCAACATGCGCGAAAAAGCAGCATACCGTGGTGAAAACGAGACTGCTGCAAAACCAAAACATCATGCCGCCGTGACCGAACACGTAGAAGTCCCTGCTGGGGATATGAAACGTGTCATCTGGCAGGACCAACTCCAGCGTCCCTTGAGTGATTGTAAACGCCAAGGCTATGAGCGATGTGGCCAGCAATACTCTGCGAATACTGGAGCGGCTGTCCAAGTGGCCTGGGAGAGAGAGACACACACAGAGAGGCACCATGACGAGAGGCATGACGTGTGGCAGGCAGCCTGAAGCAGGCATGCGAGTGTCCGTCGACTCGGGGCACAAGTCACTCACCGAACGCCAAGCCGAATATAACCACGCTCATCTCGGTGGACAGTAGAAAAAATCGAACCGTGACCCAGAGCACCTTGTCGGCCTTACCGCCGACCGTCGCCGCCGCGTTCACCGTCATGGACACCACGCAGCGCACCACCGATATCACTACGTTACAAATCACGAGACCGTAAAACGCTAGGAATATCGGACTACTGGTCGCGCGCAATTTAAGCCTCGCTCTGTTGAATCGCATGGCGATGAACAGCAGGAACAAGAGATTCGGCACTAAGATGACGACGTCCCATATTCGCACCCTGCAAGAACAACAGACGCACACGTACGCGTGAGGCGTTACACGTTGCTGAAGGCGCACCGAAGGCGCACAAGTCTGGTCCCGATCGACCAGCGGGGAGACTACTCTACCGCGGACCGGTCGCGTCTCCTTATACCTGGAATCTCTGATCTCCTTGTAGAGAATGAGCTTGCAGAAGTGCTCCTCGTCGTCGAGCGCCGTGCTCACGTTGGGTATCATCGTGCTGCTCAGATCATATGTGTGTAACCAACTTTCGGACACCTCTTCCCTCTCGGCGCCGTACATCTCCCACCCTCTCGAGCGACTCGCTAAATCCACCTCCTCCTGCTGCTATTCCTCCTCCTCCTCCTCCTCCGCCGCCTTCTCCTACGTAGTTTCACTGTTGGGGAAACAATGCACGATGAGAAGCGATGATGTCGGGAGACGCGAGACACGAGACGCGATCGCGGCGGCCCGGACCTTTCATACGCCTGCCGAGTCTCTCTTCCCTCGACCGCGCGACGGCGCACGGACGACGAGAGCGATCCTCCGGAGGGACGCGCTGATCCGCGTGAACGCGCGACACTGTGCGTACACATCGAAGCGATGCGTCGAGCGTCAAGGCTGCGACAGCGTGCTCGACGAGTCGTCGCTACTCAGACCAGACGAGTGTCACACAACAAACATAACCTACGAAACATCGTTCGCGATCCTTGACAGCGCGGAGGCTTCGGCTCGCGATGCGGTGGCGATGACGTGCCAAGGGTAAACAGAGATCGCGATCGCGGACGAGCGCGTGAGATCCTCCCACCGTGGCGTGAATCTCGCGTTCGACGCTGTCGAAAAATCGATAAATTGCTGCCTATTGTGTGCAGCCGTTGAAACGGTTGCCTGACAAACGTCCAGCTACGGACGGGGAGAGAGAGAGAGAGAGACAGGGACAGAGAGAGAGAAGGGGGAATGGAGAAGGAAAGAAAGAGAGAGAGAGAGAGAGAGAGAGAGAGAGATAAATGCATTCAAGGCCCGATAACCGACTTAACTAATTAGATAAGACGACGATCGTTAGTACGCTTACCGATTACGAGAAGGTCGTTCTCATTTTTTTGACCTCCTTGGAAGAAGTGCGCGCCTTTGCAATCAGCCGAGGCGAACGCTCGGTGCGTGACGGACGCGTACCTCGCGATCCTCCTTGCTGCCTTTCCAGCGTCTGCGTCCGCTCTTCCTGTTCTTCCTTTCGTCAGCTTCGTTTGCTCCGTCTCGCTCTCCCACGCTTTCTCTGTCTCTCTCTCTCTCTCTCTCACTCTCTCTCTCTCTCTCTCTCTCTCTCTCTCTCTCCCTCGCTCTCAAGCGTTCGTCCTCGCTTTTCCTCCACGTCTCCGTTTCTCTATCGCACCCTGTCGTCGGTCTCGTGCGCTTCAATTGGCGTTTCGCTACGAGATCCCAGTGTCCATTCTGCCGATCGGTGCCTCGCGCTTGTCCCTGACGTCGCGCTAACCTTGATACGCTTTGACCCCACCACGAGCGGCCGCGTGAAAACTGGTTTATTTGATCGCGAATTAATTGACAGCTCAACGCGAAGCCCCGCGCGCGCTCCACGCGTCCTCGATTAAAAACCCATTTTGCCGAGCAGCGCGACGCGAGCAGAGCGCGCAGAGCGTCGTGCGCGGCAGCGTTGACAGATGACGCCACGGTGCGCTCGTTCATCACGGCGATTCTGCGCGGTTTTAATTAATCAAGCGCGATGCCTCATTCAGGCCCAGTTCCACAACTTGCTTTAAACGGAGTTTAAAGCAAGTTGTGAAACTGGGCCTCAGAGAGGAACGTGAGAGAGGCCAACACGATGTTTTCGACGACACCGACTTTCCGCACTGGGAAAGGACGCCATCTGCATCCATTTTGAGAGAGGGGAACTACGATACTACATCCACTTTCAGGTTTCGGCGGTAAAACCTGTATGTGGTGGCAGTCCGTGCTACATCCATAATAGCGTACTTGACAAGCACGGTCTCGCACATTGTTACGCGTTTATAACATGAATTAACATGTTAACATGTGTAAAAAAAAAATAATTGACATTGTGTATGATTAATATCATGAAGATCATACGAAGTGTCCGGTAATTAGCTGCCAACCCGAAGTGTGAGGGCAGATTGAGACCTACATAAAAGTCCCATACCATTTTGCGAGATTCGCAATAATTATCGAGTTATTAATGACAGAAATCTGACGAGTAAAAACGCGCCGACATAGATGATTCGAAAAGCGTTGCAGCTGCTCAGGGCAGCGATCATGAATCTTTTCCCTAGCGTGAACTAGTGAAGAGTGAAAGTGAATTTTGTGAATTAGTGAGAAATGAAAAATTTCATATGAATTTGTGAAAATTGAAACATTTCACACGACAATTCAGTCGTTCAACATGGCGGTTGCGATCTAGATAATTCTTCATGAATATCAAACAAATCAAAATGATCAAAATAATAATGTCCGTGTAGTCCGAAGGATATTACGTGTTGCGCTTGTACTTGGCGCCTTTTTTTTTATCTTTTTGTTTAAAAAGGTAAGTTTTATATAATATTAAATATTCGTACGTTTCACGTATAACGTGATTGACTTGGAGTACTCCGTGCCCACGCGTGTTATTCATAGCGACGCATTCATACTTTCCTTGATCTGTTACATCGGATTCGATAATCTGCAAGGCACCTGAAACATAAAATGTGATATTCTCGAATAGCGTTCCTCTCAGGATTTTCTTGTCCAAAGAAAGATCAATGATGCGATCGCAGATCTCGTGTATGTCATGTCAATAGAGACAGTTTGAATTCGGCGTAATATAATTCTTGGAACAAACGTAAATAAATATTGTGAAGTTTGAAGCGAGTCTCTCACAGGCATGCTTTGAAAACACGAGTTGTTTTCATTTTCAGCTAACGGACGACGCAGGCATCAACACTGATCGGCAAGGTGGGGGGTAACCGTGCCTTCCCGATTGTTTGGTTTCGTACGCTTATAAATGACTCCATGATTGCGGAAAGGACATTGCGCCTCGGGCCGACGAACGACGCGCATACCGCGACATAGAATAGTACGAGTGTCGGTTAATACGCGTTTCTTTGTCCCCGAATCTTACTTGCGCGAGTGTTAGAGCTAGAGTCAGTGTCGTCGCCAGTGCTACGACGGAGTATCCGGGGGTGCTGCGACGGAGTAACCAGAAGGAGGACGTCGGATCGAGAAGTCAGGATGGAGAGAGGACTTGGAGCGCGCCGAGAGACGTGGACAGCGATACATCATGTATGGTATTCGAGGTACCTCGAGTCATTATTATTACGTAGGATTTTTCTGATTTTAACGTACCTTACTCGAAGTAAGGACATACCCGAGTCGAAATTAGATCAGCATTCATAGTTTATCATCTGAAAAATGATAAAATAGCTTGAGATTTGATTATTCGTTAACCCAATTTCACGTAACATGAGTTCTACTTTTCTCTTCTCATAAAATATGAATGTCTGTTCAAGCAAGGTTGCTGAGGCAAGCTAAGGTTTATGAATACAAATTTTTAATTATGTTCTCAATAAAAAGTTGTACATAATTTAGAAAACTATGAATAATGATCTTAGAATCTGATATTAATTTTACAAGTGTTGATTTTTATTCGTCTAATAATGCTCAGATTGCTGTTTTCGTTTAGAATCTGCTAGAATGTCCGTTTCTCATTCTTCTTTATCTTTCTTATTGTACCGAATCAGAATTAAAATCTCTATTAGTGAAACAGCATTATTAGACATAACCGTTGTCTTTTTGCAGCTTCAGCTCTTTTAAGAGCTACAATTCTCATCATTCTCATTAGAAAAAAGAAAAATAAAAAAAAGGAGAAAAAAGGAAAAAAGAATTTTAAGAATGATGAGAATAAAAAGTGTTTTTCATCTCCCCATTTCCTCTAATTCTTATATGCTTATTTAATCCTTATATATTTATCTCACGCGCAGTTCTAACAAAGGCAGTTCTATTTACGTTTTTATCTTTGTTCTCTTTCTTGCGCTGTTAAGCGAATATATAATCAACATCAACAAAAATTGCTCATTTAAATTAAGAATATAAGGATTAAGTACATATACATTATCGAGATAAACGAGTATTAAATAACTGCGGAATACGTCGCTGTTGAAGACTCATCATGGGCGAGACTGCGAGAGTAGCGAGAGATGTAACGTTCAGGTAGGACAAAGCTTGTTCACTATTGCACATCTAGATATTCTGCATTGATTTTTCAAATTGGATGCAATTTGCAGGATCAATGTAGAATTAATATTTCGACTCGGGAAAGACTTTTTCTTTGTCAAATCCTAACTTGTAGAAAACTATCGATTTGAATGTCGGCAAGAAAAAAACGGAGATACTTTTGTTAGATATTTGACAAAACGCTGGATCGGTATTTATCCAACGCTTTAAAAATAACACGAAGGATGTTCTAGTTGGATGAATAAATTTTCGTTACTTTCCGCTTGCGCTTTTCGATCATTAGCGGCGATTCAGAGACGAAGAGAGAGGAGAGCGAGAAAGAAAGAGAAACGTCTTGCCAGGATTTCTGCAGACCGGTCCATTTTGACAGATTCAGTATTAAAATATTAGACGTAGAAAAAATAAGAATGAAAGAAAATTTTTTATATTAGTTAGTACAGAAAGTCCGACGTACTTTTGTCAAATAGATATCAGTACCAAATTTTCTACAAGTTAGGACTAGGATAGAGAAAACGTCAAATCTTTTGCGACGATGGAATTAAACAGCAATATAAATTTTGATTTACGATATTAATCGATATTCGATTTCCGGTACTGATTTACTTCCTCATTTTTCTATAAGAGAAGAAAAAATTAATACGAATCGTTCGTTTATATATTCGATTTCCGGTACTGATTTATTCTCTCATTTCTTTATAAGACAAGAAAAATTGATACGAATCATTCGTTTATTCGAGTTAATTTGTTGAGTAAATTAGAGGGATAAATATCTGAAAAATGAGAACAAATTGTCATTGTACTTGGACAATTTTCTGACACTGATTTACGGTATTGATTGATATTCAGTTTTCGGTACTGATTTACTCTTTCATTTCTCCATAAGAAAAAAAAATGCATACGAATCGTTCATTTATTCGCGTTAATTTGATGAATAAATTAAATATTGATCGGTCTTCAATTTTTGGTACTGACTGATTCTCTAATTTCTTTACAAGAGAATAAAAATTGATACGAATCGTTCTTTTATCCGACTTAATTTGTTGAGTAAATTAGTGGGGTAAGTACCTGCAAGATGAAAACAACTTGTCATTGCACTTGGACAATTTTCTTGGGATTGATTTATGGTATTGATCAGTCTTCGGTTTTCGGTACTGATTTATTTTCTCATTTTTTTATAAGACAAAAAAAATTGATACGATTCGTTCATTTATCCGAGTTAATTTGTTGAATAAGATTAGAGGGGTAAGTACCTGAAAAATGAGAACAAATTGTCATTGCATTTGGACAATTTTTTGACACTGATTTATAGTATTAATCGATATTCAATTTTCGGTACTGATTTACTCTTTCATTTCTCTGTAAGAAAAAAAATTCATACGAATCGTTCATTTATCCGCGTTAATTTGATAAATAAATTGAATATTGATCGGTCTTCAATTTTCGGTACTGATTTATTCTCTCATTTCTTTATAAGACAAGAAAAATTGATACGAATCATTCGTTTATTCGAGTTAATTTGTTGAGTAAATTAGAGGAATAAATACCTGAAAAATGAGAACAAATTGTCATTGCACTTGGACAATTCTTTGACTCTGATTTACGGTATTGATCGATATTCGATTTTCGGTACTGATTTACTCTTTCGTTTCTCTATAAGAAAAAGAAATTCATACGAATCGTTCATTTATCCGCGTTAATTTGACGAATAAATTAAATATTGATCTTCAATTTTATTGGTCTTCAATTTTCGATACTGACTAATTCTCTAATTTCTTTATAAGAGAATAAAAATTGATACGAATCGTTCTTTTATCTGATTTAATTTGTTGAGTAAATTAGTGGGGTAAGTACCTGCAAGATGAAAAAAAATTGTCATTGCACTTAGACAATTTTCTTGACATTGATTTATGGTATTGATCAATCTTCGGTTTTCGGTACTGATTTATTTTCTCATTTTTTTATAAGACAAAAAAATTGATACGAATCGTTCGTTTATCCGAGTTAATTTGTTGAATAAGTATAGAGGGGTAAGTACCAGAAAAATAAGAACAAATTGTCATTGCACGTGGGCAATTTTTTGACACTGATTTATAGTATTAATCAATATTCGATTTCCGGTACGGATTTACTCTTTCATTTCTCTATAAGAAAACAGAAAATTAATACGAATCGTTCATTTATCCGTGATAATTTGATGAAAAAATTAGGTATTGATCAGTCTTCGGTTTTCGGTACTGATTTATTCTGTTATTCCTTTATAAGAAAAGATAAATTGATACGGATCGTTCGTTTAATCGAGTTAATTTGTTGAGTAAATTAGAGTGGTAAGTACCTGAAAAATGAGAACAAATTGTCATTGCACTTGGACAATTTTCTGACACTGATTTATGGTATTAATCGATATTCGGTTTTCCGTACTGATTTATTTTCTCATTTTCTTAAAAGACAAAAAAAATGTATACGTATCGTTCGTTTATCCAAGTTAATTTGTTGAATAAGATTAGAGGGGTAAGTACCTGAAAAATGAGAACAAATTGTCATTGCACTTGGACAATTTTTTAACACTGATTTATGGTATTAATCGATATTCGATTTTCTGTACTGATTTACTCTTCCATTTCTCTATCAGAAAAAAATTCATACGAATCGTTCATTTATCCGCGTTAATTTGATGAATAAATTAAATATTGATCGGTCTTCAATTTTCGGTACTGACTGATTCTCTAATTTTTTTATAAGAGAATAAAAATTGATACGAATCTTTCTTTTATCCGACTTAATTTGTTGAGTAAATTAGTGGGTTAAGTTACCTGCAAGATGAAAACAACTTGTCATTGCACTTAGATAATTTTCTAACGCTGATTTATAGTATTAATCAATTTCCGTTTTTCAGTACTGATTTAGTCTTTAATTTCTCTATAAAAGAAAAGAAGATTGATATAAATCGTTTGTTTATCCACGTTAATTTGATGAATAAATTCGATATTGATCGGTATTCGATTTTCGGTACTGTTTTCTCCTTTCATTTTTTTATAAGAAAAGAAAAAATTCAGACGAATTGTTCATTTATCTGCGTTAATTTGATGAAAAAATTAGATATTGAACGGTCTTCGACTTTCGGTACTGATTTATTTTCTCATTTTTTTATAAGACAAGAAAAATTGATACGAATCGTTCATTTATCCTATATTAGCGTTAATTTGATGAATAAATTTAATATTGATCGTGCTCGATGGGGGGGAGAGGAAAAGGGATTTGGATAGGTGGTAGAAAGGCTGCTAGGAGAGAGGGAGGGAGAGGAGGGTTGAGAGGGGAGTAGGAATGGAGGGGGCGAGAGAGAGGAGGAGGAGGAATAAAAGGATGGAAGAGAGCGAGGGAGAGAGTGTGAAGGAATGGAATGAACGGAGGAAAGCGAAAATCGGCCGTAGGAAATAAGAATTATAGGAGTAACAGCGGCATAGAAATATAGATATATACATATGTATAAGAATAGATGATAAGCGAACAATTAATTATAAGAGATAAGCGAGCGAGTAGATGTAAGATATTTGTAAAGTAGATTTAAGGAGGGCTGGGGGATGGGTGTGTGTGTGTGTGTGTGCGAAGAGGAAGGGGCGAGCGTAATAGGAAGTAAGGGGGAGAGCTTATATTGCAATTTGTAACCCCGCCAGTGGAATCAATAAAGCATACATACAATTAAATATTGGTCGGTCTTCAATTTTCGGTACTGATTTATTCTTTAATTTCTTTATAAGAGAAGAAAAATTGATACGAATCATTCGTTTATTCAAGTTAATTTGTTGAGTAAATTAGAGTAAGTACCTAAAAAATAAGAACAAATTGTAATTGCATGTGGACATTTTTCTGACGTTGATTTACCGCATTGATCGATATTCGATTTTCCGTACTGATTTACTCTTTCATTTTTCTATAAGAAGAGAAAAATTGATTCGAATCGTTCGTTTATCCGAGTTAATTTGATGAATAAGTTAGATATTGATCGGTCTTCGATTTCGGTACTGATTTACTCTTTCATTTCTCTATAAGAAGAGATAAATTGATACGAATCGTTCGTTTATCTGAGTTAATTTGTTGAATAAGATTAGAGGGGTATGTATCTGGAAAATAAGAACAAATTGTCACTGCACGTGTGCAATTTTTTGACATCGATTTATGGTATTAATCGATATTCGATTTTTAGTACTGATTTAGTCTTTCATTTCTCTATAAGAAAACAAAAAATTAATACGAATCGTCCATTAATCCGCGTTAATTTGATGAATAAATTAGGTATTGATCGCAGAAGTCTTTCATTTTTTATTAGTTCACGCTAGGGAAAAGATTCATGATCGTTGCCCCGAGCAGCTGCAACGCTTTTCGAATCATCTATGTCGGTGCGCTTTTACTCCTCAGATTTCTGTCATTAATAACTGTCATTAATAACTCGATAATTATTGCGAATCTCGCAAAATGGTATGGGACTTTTATGTTTGTCTCAACCCAATCTACCCTTACACTTCGGGTTGGCAGCTAATTACCGGGCACTTCGTATGATCTTCATGATATTAATCATACACAATGTCAATTCTTTTTTTTGCACATGTTAACATGTTAATTCATGTTATATACGCTTAACAATGTGCGAGACCGTACTTCTCAAGTACGCTATTATGGTTGTAGCACGGACATAAACCGCCTAAAAATGGATGTAGCACGGACTGCCACCACATACAGGTTTTACCGCCGAAACCTGAAAGTGGATGTAGTATCGTAGTTCCCCTCTCAAAATGGATGCAGGTGGCGCCCTTTCCCAGTGCGGAAAGTCGGTGTCGTCGAAAACACCGTGTTGGCCGCTCTCACGTTCCTCTCTGCCTCGTTCAACGCTCGGACGTTGCGCTATCAGGGAGATATGGTTGTTTGTTGGATTCGGCTGAGTCAGAGGAGATTCTATTGAGAACGTGCAGGCTCGTACGAGCTTTGATAGGGTTTAATTGGAAGATTTGTAAAAATACGTTGAAAGAAACGAAGAAAGCTATTATACAATTTTACGGCAATGGTTGGATTTAAGTAGGAATAACGGAATAATAACAAAGAGATAAGTTGAAACGACGGATAATTTGAAGTACAATGGTTTGTGAGATACATTTTGCAATTTTGCAGTTTTTGAATTGTATTATCTCTAAAAAAAATAATATCATAGGAAAATTGTGCCGGTTTAGAGGTGGAGAACTCACATTTGATGTTAGATGTAGTCAAAAGATTTTTTTCACTTTTAAATGGGTGGTTGGACAACAAGTTATAGCATCGACGAAATAAAAGGAAATCCGTCAACTCTGGACAAATCTACGATGAGGTACGTATTTTTGTGTAGCTACGTACTTTCGCGACTGTAATTAGTGTTGATTTGACCAAATTTACCGAGAGGAAGTTATTAAGTAGCGAAATTCGTCGCCTACGCTCAAAATCCCGCAAGGCTAATGATCCTCTTCGTCACTCTACGTTGCGGTCAGAGACCTCTTTTCTCAAGTGATACGAATCGATGACAAGTCAGATGTTGCTTTATCTTTCAGTAGTGCGATCGGTGCATATAATAACAGATCAGAAAGATTTTATCTCTGTTACAGAAAAGAAAAATAAAAGTTCAAAACCCGATAGTAAATCTTTTTAAGACTTGTCCAAAATCGATTATCATATAATATCTTTTTATCTTAACGAATACCGGATATTGTTCTACATTTAATGAGGAATAAAGATAGAATGATACTTCTCAAAGCATTGATAGCGTTAGAAAAATGTTGATCGCAACGTATTTGTCGTCAGTGTATTTATTTGCACCAGAAGATGCGATAACGGAAAAAAAGAAGACGCAGCAGTATTTTGGTCTTAAATAAAAACATTTACCATTTTTTAAACAATTTAAAAAATAAAAACATTTACCAATAGTAGACAAAAAGGTTCGCTATCAAGAAAGTTCAAATTAATCGATTATTATCGATTATAATCGATGATTTCAAAATTTTATCGATGATGAAAAATTGATACATTTTCGATCAATTTTTTGGAAGTCAATTATTTTCTTCAACATCGCCCACATCCTTATATTGGATACTGGATTCGTCGCAAAACTCATTCATAGAAAATGGTGTCACTCCCACTATGTTCCTCAGCTTGCACGGGTGCTGTGTAAACTCTCCATTAGTTCATCTTTGTCAATCGTGCGAGTGGCAGCGTCGTTACCGCACTCGATCTAACACTCGATCTTACAGTTGTCGGTCAACGTCGAGATATTGGCATTGTGTGAGTTGATAGTTTACAGCAGTTTACAGTAAGACGCGCAAAGAAGAGTATCGTTGAATTGTCACCTGGGGCGTTTGCGTTTTGTATTCGGAATAGTGCGTTGACACTTGAGGCCTATATATTGATTGGTAAGTCTACCAACACATGACAAATAATCTTGGAGATTACTTGTCATGTGTTGGTTAATACATTCGTCATGATATTGGTATGCGAACTTTTCTTATCAGTTGTTGAGTCATGAGTGAGCGTAGCTCTGGCTATTTTAACCGCAGCTTATTTTATTATTTATTTAACGTATTGAGCAAACATGCCACGATGCTATTAGATGGAAATATTGATAAAAATTGAGATGGAATGAATGTGATGCACACATCTTTTCCAACAAATGATGTCATCACATATGAATAATCGGTCTTTGTAAGACCGAACAAAATTTCCCCATGTTGCAACACATATGACTGTGCATCAATAACTTGCGGAATTTATCCCGCACTTTATTATTACATACTCTATTTGGGATATGTAGCAAAAGAAAAAAAAGATTTTATCTATCAGAATCTAATTTCTGTATTTATGTCATGTCAATATAAAAAATCTGACCTCATTAATACCCAGCTGTGTATTTTTATATGAGCAGACATAAATAGATACTGACATATAAATATTATAAGCAAATATATACTGGTATAGAGATATAAATAAATACTATGAAATCTATAAAAATATATAAAGATGATATGTATACCACTATTTATATTTTATAAAATCAAAATGATATTACACTATTAAGATATAAAGTAGAATTGTTAGATTACAATACAATAAAATAGTTATACAAATTTTATAATAAGTCATTCTGATAATATAAAAAACAGAATAAGATAAATTTTAATATGTTATCAATATCTCTGAGTTTTTGTTTCATATTAAATATGTATTGTTATCAGCCACTTAAAGAAAGAAGATAAGACTGTAAAGGCATATAAAGAATTGCCAAAATGTCTCTATATCCTACATTGGAAGATATGAAGGTGGATCATCTGATGAAGGTAAGTCATGTACCTGATATTTTGTATCTTATAAAAAAATAATAAATTATACTAAATAGGAAATCACATTATAGGCTCAAGCACAAATCGAGATGGGGGCACAGTATGCGCCCCCACCGATACCGATAGGACCTGCAGTTCCTTCAGCTCCTGCTGAAGTTCCTTCTGTAGCACCGTTGTATCCATCTTTGGGAGATTACATGGGACTTGAGCTGACTGAAGAGACTATTGCACAAAATATGCCTGAATATGCACTCACAACACGTCCAAATGTAAGTAACAAACTTCAACATTATATTGAATATTTTATTCTAATTTGCATTTATACAATGCTCTCAATTGTAACAAATGTCACAATTATGTTATCGAATTTACCTTCATTATGGTCATTAACTTTATTAAGGAAAAGTTTGCATTTTTAATTTATTCACAAGATATATATATACTATATTATAATTTCAGATGACAGTTGCTTCATTAAACGAAACAAGTTATTCATTAGCAGGGATGGTTGCACCTTTGACAGGACAGTCAGTGGCTTTGCAGAAAGCTGTTGTAACAAATGGCATCAGAGAGGTTAGACTGTATATGTTAAAATACTTTTATTTCCAATCATCAACTGATACACACCAAAGTATTGCCTAATCTTTTATAAACTAAAAGTTCTTGCTTCAACATTAAGAAAATATGAAATTAATATTTTATTATTCTTTTTTTTTTACAGCTAGTGCTGTGTAAGGATAAAGATGGAAAAGTTGGTGTTCGAGTACACTCAGTGAACAATGGCGTTTTTGTATGTCTTGTAAGTCAGAATTCTCCAGCTGCGATGGCCGGGTTACGCTTTGGTGATCAGATTTTAAGTATCAATGAAGTGTGTGTTGCTGGATATTCAATGGATCAAGTGCACAAGCTTTTCCGTAATGCAAGCACCAATGGAATTAAAGTGGTCATACGTGATAGGTCAGGATTTCAAAAAAATTAATTTTGATGCACTTGTATTTTCAGCATGCTTATTATAAATATATTCGATGCATGATTATCAATGACTATTATGATTTTATTGCAGACCATTAGAGCGTACCATCACAATGCTCAAGGATAGTACAGGTTATATTGGATTTCAGTTCAAGAATGGAAAAATAATTGCTCTAATTAAAGATTCTTCAGCTGCACGAAATGGTTTATTGACTGATCATCAAATACTTGAAATTAATGGAAAGGTTTGCATAATTTATGTTTCCTTATTATTTTTCCAAGTTTAATAAGATAGTAATAATTTTAAATAACTTGACATTTTACAGAATGTAGTCGGGATGAAGGATAAAGAAATTACGGCAGAAATTGAAAATGGTGGACATATCATTACAGTGACGGTAATTCCTTCGTACATTTACGATCATATGATAAAAAAGTACGTATCAATGACTATAATACATATTAAACTTTAATACACATTAAATTTTAAGCACATTGTAAAATCATTAGAAGATTTACAACACTGTAACGTAATGTTAACGTTTAATCCTGTGAAATAGGTCACACTAAAGATAAAGAAATCAGTTCAGACATATAATTGTTGAAATTAATGTTTTTTTTGTTTTTTCAGGATGTCGAGCAGTCTTTTGAGAAATTTGATGGACCATTCTGCTATTGACCTTTAAACTTAAAAAAAAAAAATTATTAAACTCATCTATATCCTGCAACCATCAGTGGGCACGTGCATTACTCCCTGTAGTGTCACTAGTATTGTAAACAGATGACTATTTTACGTATAGACGTTGTCGTAGGTGCCAAGATGCCATATTACTGTTGCAAGCATAATGTATGTGATATCTGTTTAGTACGTAAAGCCTATATTTTACGTGCCAATTGTAGCACTAATTGGCTGGAAACTGCGAAAAAGATTCTATATCAAAGATTATTTTTTATACAGAAGCATACCAAAGCTTGCAAAGAAAGTATGCAATATTAATTGTTTCAATCTACATATATATACACATTTGCCAAACGGACTAAACTCTTTTCTTTCAGTACAGTTTGAAACGCAGTTATTGAAAGAAGTTAACTTGAAGGTCGATCAGAAAACCGATTTTATTGTACCGTTGGCTGCGTTCCGAACTGTATTGAGAGAAAAGTGTTTGAAACCAAGTGTACATGCAAGGAAAGTATTTCTGGTGTCATTTATTTCAACAGCATAAGTGATTATATCGTACTATAAGACCATTGTTTACTCTAATATATATCGTAAAAACACTTATTAAATATCCATTGTTACTTATATATAAATGTCAGAAAAACTTATCTTGTGATTATTGCATTATACATACTGATTGCTGATCACTTATTAAGAGCTTTGAACGGCAACCATTGTCCGTAGACATATACTTGTCCTTAGAGATAAGGAAAACGACTTGTCATTTTTTTTATATAATGTGCTGCATCGCTAAGGCATTTACCGGGACAGTCAAGGAGAAGAAAACTCGTTATCTCGGCTCGTTTTCTCTCAAGCCAGGATGCGGACCAGTTTGATAAGATAATGTTAGAGAGCAACAGCGAGATTAATTTAAGAAAAAAGAAAAGAGTTTTGAGTAGAAAATTGAGAGAGACTTGTAGAATCGCTAAATTTATTAAAAAACTACGACATTATATGTTCAAATATACGTTTACGATTTCTTATATCTCAAGACTGTTGTAATACGTTAAATGCCGAGTACGACGTTTTCAGGATCTGAAAAATAATTGTGATGTAGAACAAGAGACACACCTCTACCAATTTCATAGATATATGTATACATTATTTGCTACAATAAGTACTTATTCCATTATAATGCCAACAGTATTACTAACGTTGCTGTAAGAATCGAGAGAGAAAGTTATGAGGAAACTACTAGTGAATTTTATAGGGATTGTACTACGTTTCATTATCATCAGGAGATCTTTCTTCTCGCCGATCGATAGCGAAGGCCAATCCATGTGGTATATTGCACTGCCTATGTTCGCACTCTGTTTACAGTATAACAATAAAGAACGATTACTTTACGGTAACACTGCACGCCAATTCATCAGTCATGTACGCATGCTCAGGCAGTGGACTTTGGGACGCTTTTACCTTGAGTATGACTTCGTTTCCGGACCAGCAGTAAACGAAAATCTGCACGAACATGCAGACAGTATACGCTGGTAAAGTCGCAGCCTCGGAGCCCGTGATATGCGTCGACATGTAATACACGCTTGTACACAATACTAAAATGCTTCCAAAAAATTGGAAGAAGAGTACCTGATTGAATATGCTATTTAACGTTTTAGCGTACCTGGAATGACGTCACGTTAGCTTGGCACTGTGGGCATTCAAGATCGTGTGTTCGCAGTTTAGTACACGTTAATTCATCTTATTTTATTATGTATCAGGGGCTTGCGAATTTCGTCGGAGTTTGAACTATATCTTTTATTAATGGAGTTTGTTATAATCATTTCATAGAATACTATTTTCATTTTTCTTTTTATTTAATTTAATTTAATTTTTATTTAATTTAAGAGAAAAACGATTGAATGGGTGTGACAATGAGCGAACTAAACGCGCGTCGTTCGAGAGAGACAGAATATTTTTGGTTCTTATAAATTCGGGAAGCAAAAATTTGTTTTCGATAAGAAAAACAGAATTCCTGATCCCTAGGAGCGAATTTAGCTCGCAAGTTCTGTTCCCTCCAACTAAAACGCGATCTTCGTTCATTTTCACCTTGATCCAACCAATCCCTCTTCTCCACATAAAATTTATTAATAGTAAGTAGAAACGGTACATGCGGATGTGTTTAATCAAAGTGTCTGTTATCGTTATTCACTACTTGCTATTCTTCATCTCTGTCCGACTTTTGTAAAACGACTCGTCCTTCGAGCTGACGAAGTCGTCGACGACCCGACGAACTTTCGCAAGTTCCTGATAAGCGCGATGCTACTTCCACACGAATTGCCTTACGTTACGTCATATTATCATTACACACACGTAATTTTGCAGATGCGTAAAAGAATAGATGTGCGACACGCGACCAACTTGTAAATGTTGAGATGATGACGAATGTGTCCCGATAAAATCGTTCCCACTTGATCCGACACGCCGCGGGGAATGAACCCCCGACATGAACGCGACGTTCTACTCATCAGCAGCTTGTGCATTCGATACTCGAAGATCTCGAGCTGGACGCACGTCTGCAAGAAAAGGCCGAAGATGAGAGTCTCCGTGCCGACGTTGATGATGGTGGCAAAGGTCAAGGTGATCATCTGGTGGATCGACGTGATCCAGAACAACGGGCTACTGTTCAAGTCGTACGGCAGCCACACTCTGTAAGGTAAGTGACCCTGCGCAACGTTCAGCATCGATCTAATCGTGAAGCTCGTGATGGAGCCGGTCGCCAAAAGCGTGTATTTTATGGAGCACGACCTGGAAACGTCGGAGAGACATTGCTTGCTGCCGTGGCGAGGTACTGCCTCAGTCTGATGAACGACCTCTACCTGATGAACTCGTCGAATCTCGCCTGTATCGCCGCCTCGGCCTCGTCCCGGGGCTTGCACGGCTCCGTCAGCAGCATCCCGACCAAATCGATGATCGCGCCCCGACGCAGCACCGCCACGGTGGCTTTGCAGCAGACACCGACGATAGTCATGAACATGAGGGAATTCGTCGCGAAGTCGTCCATGTTATCCACGACAAGAACGATATCCATAAACTGCGTCAGCACGAGGAAGTACAGCGGCACAAGCGTGACGAGCGTGAACGCGTTGTAGAGAAATTTGGTGGCGCTCGACGACCACTCGATCGGCCGCCACACACCTCCCACGCTGTATATTAAAAAATTCAACGAAAGTATTTGCATAGCTTTGCGACCAAGAGGGACTTGTCTCCTTGGAGCATCGCGCCTCCACGGCGCGGAAATATCCTATAGCGAGGCGATACCTCCGAGAGAGAGAGAGAGAGAGAGAGAGAAAGACACCTCTGTCGAGTATCTCGAGAGTATCTAAGCCGCCGCTGATCGTGCTCGTTATGGTGCAACTGTTAGCGATTTCGGTCTTATTTGTTCTTCAAGATTCGCATTTTGCGTGGCTTTATCGTGAGCGGCGATGGCGACCTGATTTAGCCGTGACGAGAGTGCGGCTCTCTCGATACCGCTCACTCTTACCGCGCGATCTTCTCTTCTCCCTTTATTTTCTCTTCTCCTTTTCAAGAATACACCGTCTCTCACATCTTTACGCGGCTATACCGTACCGATGAGATCGATATAACGCGCCACGCTGGGCTACGACGAGCACGACTTGCCCTAACGAGACTATATCGCGTATATCGCGGAGATAACTAAATTGCAAACTGCGGAATCATTATACGTGAGGGTTCGCCTGCGTCAACCTCCACTAACTACCACATTGTGCGTGTAATTCTACGGTCTGCCGTTAATTACGGTCGTTAATAATTCCTCGCGCTCGGCCGCGTATATATTGTAGCTGCTTTTTTCTCTTCTATTTACGACGACGCACGGTACGGTCCCGCTTCGAATGCCGTGCGCGAAAACTGTAATTATGAGAGGCTTGTCTCCCGCTCGTCGTAACGAATGCGGAGGACGTCGCGCTCGTTGCATTTCGTCCATACCGTCCCATTCCCATCGGATCAAATATTCATCCGTGCCTTTTCATATGCCCGCCGGGAGCGAAGTCCACGCAAGGTCATTTTTTCCCACGATGGCTAACTTGATCGCGCAGGAGTACGAAGTAAACATGGAAAGCCGAGGAGATGATTGTCGGGTTAACCGCCTGTATGTCTTCTTGCCAAGTGCCAACGAAGAATGCGCGTCAATTTTAACACTCACGGAGCGTTCCGCAGGTGGTACATTCGGCGAAATGTCGTCGAGCTCTTTCTCGAAGGACATTCGAAGGAGAGAGTCCTTTGAAGTTTTTGGTCGCGTTTGGTCTCCATCGCGGCAAGTGCGAATAGGTGTGATCCCGAGAGGAGATTTTCGTAGCGCGTTAACCCTGCAAGTTCCATCCACCTTGACGGATCAGTGGAGAACATATGCAGGGTGCTAAATTTCAAACGTAACAGGTAAAAAATCTCGAAAACTGAAAGATATTAAAAAAAAGCTAAAACACGTGTTCCGCGATTTCGAAGGGGAAGGAGAATGGCATTGTGAGTTTTTTATTCGGAGGGCATTTTCAAGGTCAGTTGAAGGTCAACTTAATTTTTTTAAATAGAAAGCCCAATTTTTGATTATATCTTCTTTTTCTACCAATTGATTTTGACAACTTTTGTCTGAAACATTTTTTTATTTGCCTAATATTTTTTGGCAATAGATATTTAGCAAAGATATTTAAGGAAAACTTGGTAACTTTTTCAACATTTAACTTACGATATCTCGCTAACTATTTGTCGAAAGAAAAAATAGTATTAGACTTTTTTACTTTATATACTATCAAGAAATCATATTATTATAATATTGCTCTAACTTTCGTTAATTTCATAATTTTAAAATTTCCAAAGGTCGATAAGTTAACAAAAGTTAGGTAGAAAAAAAATAAATAATAAAAAATTTGGCTTTCTATTTTAAAATATTAAGTTGACCTTCAACTGACCTTGAAAATGCCCTCCGAATAAAAAACTCACAATGCCATTCTCTTTCCCCTTCGAAATCGTGGAACACGTGTTTTAGCTTTTTTTAATATCTTTCATAGTTTTCGAGATTCTTTACCTGTTACGTTTAAAATTTAGCACCCTGTATATATATCGAGGTGTAAACATTGTGCAAACTATTGATCATGTCATAATCGCTCATTGCCGTTTTCGTCGTGCTGAATCTTGAAAAAAAGATATTTCCGGATTATTTCACATTCGACTCTATCAAAATTCTATCTGCACTTGTGACTCCCCTAATTCTAGTAATTTAATTCTGATGAGAAGAAAATCATGTTAAGTAATTCTCAGATCAATCTTTCCCCTCGCGTGGAGAAAAATAGCAGCAAGCAATCGTCTATAGCTAGCAAAGTGGAAGTCGATAGTCGAGGTATAGCTTGCATCTCGATGTTCTCCATCGGTCCTTCAAGTTTAACGGAATTTGCGGGAGCGAAGTGGAATCGAGATTTCGGACTCGGGATAATTTCTAATCATCGACGAGACCCTCTTTCGAGTCGTGAAGATGAGCTCGAAGTAAACACAAACGGATAGAAGGACCTTTAGATTCACAGCCACTGATTTATTAAGAACTACTGTATCGTCGTTACTCCCGAATGTACATTTTCGACTATTGCTTATATCTCACGAGCGCTGCAACACATTGTACGTCGAGTACGATGTTTTCAAGATCTGAAAGAGGAATTTCGTAACGTGGCGAGTTGTCCGCTAGGCTCGACCACTTTGGTGCCGTAGCCGATATACTACGCTGTCTCGCGGCGATACTAACGTTGCTGTAAGACTGGAGCGACAAAGTTATGAGGAAACTGCTGGTGAACTTGATGGGAACCGTGCTACGTTTCATGATCATCAGCAGGTTCTTCTTCTCGCTGACCGATAACGCGGGCCAGTCCATCTGATACACCGCGTCTCCTATGTTCGCGCTCTGCCAACAGCATAGAAATATAATAAACACTTGTGGACTCGATCGGTCCGAAATCGTCCGGCACTAACGCCAAGCGACGTCTCGCGGCCTCAAAGAAAGAAACGACCCTCGCTCTCGGATCGTGTCAGCGATTTGATTAGCGATCTTTTTTTCACGCTGCAATCGGCTGTGAGCCCGCCAGAGGCATTTCATTCGCACCCTCAATGCGCCATTGATTTTTATTGCATGATTTACGTAATAGCTCCAAGTGTTGAGCTCAATGCGACTATCGATTTTAGCTCGACGAGTCGGGTAATACGTAAGAGTAATTGTTCAGATGAGATAAACGTTCAAACATTCATAACAAGCCGATCATCATCGCGCGATTGAACAATGGGGCAGCCTGAGGTATTTGTGAGAACGAGGGAGGACACGTGGCCGAATGAAGAGGCCTCCGACGTGATTCAGCCGGATTTTTGCGGCGCTTCTGATACTTTTCCGCGAGTTACTTGCGAGCAAACGTTCCGCTATCTCTCGTACAACTTCAAGTCTCCGCCTCTCTCTCCTCTTCGAGTCTCTCGAAAAGATTCGTGTCGCACGATATAGCAAGTTGATGCAAAAGATTAATTATTTTTTTCTTTTAGTTTTTCTGACTTGTGAGGAGTTGGCGGTTTGAAAAAAGGAATACGAAAGACTCATTGGTAAAAAAACATAGCGAGTCGATGTTGTTTACGACAAGTAAAAAGTAATACGCAAAACGAAACAAGAAGCTGTTTTTGCACGCCCACTCTTTGCTATTCTTCTTCCGCTGTTATTCGATTTTGTAACTTAGCTAGAAGAACTAAACTAAACTAACCAGATTTTAAGAACTAAATATCCCTGAAAATGGTCATTTTCATCTCTCAACTATCGTTACGTCACTCAGATTGATTGAACTTTCTGAGAGCGAACGAGTCTCTGGCATCAATCAGATATATCTTGATCGTCACAAGTGGCGATAAAATACAAAAGCTCTTGAAAAGGCAAAATGTCGGATTACAAATAGTCTTACCTTGAGTATGACTTCGTTGCCGGACCAGCAATACACGTAGATTTGCACGAACATGCAAATGGTGTATATTATTAAGGTCGCCGACTCGGACTCTGTGATATGCGACGATAAGTAATACACGCTCGTGCATAGTATCAGTATACTGCTGAAGAACTGGACGAAGAGGATCTGGTTGAATATGCTGTTGACCGTTCTTGCGTATCTGCAAGGCGACTCGCTAGTGAGACAACTCTGGTGCCCGCGGGGCGTCGCGCAAGACGAGCCGGCGCACAATGGGGCCAGATTTTTTGGTTCAAAATTCTCTAGAGATCTGAATTTCCAACCGATCACACTGATAGAAAAATATAGTTGAATTAACTATTAACAATATAATCTCACTATATTTTATACTTCATTTTGGCGTCAACTATATTTTTATAGTTCGTGGAACCTGCAAAATATACCTGTAGAATAAACACAAATATATAGTCAATGATTGTCTTAAATAATTGTTTAGTTACTTTATTGTTTAGTTACCACATTTATATGGTAATTTCTCATTCACAAATATAGTGAGATTTAATATTCATATAGTTACACCTGTCATCATTTAGCAAATATTCTGGTAATATTGACTATATAAAAGAGTTACTTTACCTATCATTTTATATTTGTATCCATACAATAATTTTTGTTTAACTTACTATAATTCTTAGTAAAAATATTATCTGCTTGGTTATGCTATGTCTATATCGTAATTATTATCGATATTATAGTAATACTTACTATAAATATGATATTTCGGACTATAATTTAGTTACTATATCATTATAGTTCCAAATATCATATACTTTTTTCTCAGTGCATCGACACCAATGGATGAGGCTGATCCTGAATAAATTCCAAAGAGATCTGTCTAGCCGAAATTTTGAAAAAATTATCGATTCAGGGTTCATGGGTTTAGGGTTTGTCTGAAAAGTTTATCGTTTAAAGTACAGTGTCTTGGGTTTGACCTCAATGGGTTCGAGCCTATGGATACTAAGCGCGAGACCCCAGAACTTATAATCACCTTTTAGAAAACTCAGAATTTCAAATAATTTCAGCCCAACATTAAGAAAGAATTAAGGATTAAAATCCCTCGGTTTTGTGCTTCCACGGGTCCATATTTGATGTTTTTGTATATTGGGCATATGGGTTTTGGGTAAATGGGTTTCTGCTTCAAGATTCTGCTTAAATCTCGAGGTGTCCGTTGATTGGTTACATAGGTTCAATCCGCTGAATATATGCTATTAGATAGAAATAAGTATCGAATAATGAGTATTTCATAAGTTTCTCGCGTTTAACGATAATTTTTCCTCTTTTGGGGCTAGTAATTCGAGAAAAAACTTTTTAATTTCCGCAAGACAGATCTCTTCCGACAGATCAACCTCATCCATTGGTGTATCGATGATCGGTTGGAAGTTCAGGTCTCCAGAGCATTTTCAACCAAAGAATGTCATCTGGCCCCACTGTGCGACGCGTCACTAACTCGAAGATGCGGAGGTGGTGATGTACGTGCTTCGATATCGCCGTCTCTGTCTTGTGCGACGTGTACTTCTTCAGCTGCGACCTCGTTCTGCCGATCACCAATTTCTGAAGGCGACTCTCGAGTATCTCGAACTGGGCGCACGTTTGCAGGAAGAAGCCGAACACCAAGGTCTCCGTGCCGACGTTGATGATCGTCGTGAAGATCACGGATACGATCTGCATGACGGACGTGGTCCAGAACATCAGAGACACGCTCGGATCGTACGGCAGCCATACTCGATACGGCAAGATACCGTGCATGATGTTCAGCACCGACTTGATCGTGACCCCTGTCACAGAACCCGACGCTAGAAGCGAATATCTTATCGACCATGACCTGTGCAAGGACATTGCCGAGATTACTTCTCGTTACTTTCCTACCCGGCTCTCCCCGGCATCGTTAACCCTTTCGTGCCCGATCATGAACCTGTGGACAAAACCTCCAAGTGGCGGATCCGATGTGGCCATCGTAGGCCAGAATGTAAGATTCCCCAGGATTTCAATGAAACTCATATTCACAGGTCGCTGAGTGAAACTCACAAGGGGTGTCGATTTTTCGCGAAGAGTCCTATCCTTCATCTACGAAATGAAGCCGGAGGAAAGTCGCTATCTTTATTTCTGCGGAAGATGTGAATTTTTGAAGGACCGGGACATCATGTCCCACCAGGCTGGAAAGGGTTAAACAAAAAGAAAAATAACGAAGAAGCGAAAACAAGAGAAAAGAAGAGAAATCGAAGATTGAGATTCACGAAGCAAAAATGGCGCGAAAACGGCGTGAAATCTCGCTTCAGAGGCGGAGTGACGAATTCGAGCGATTTTCCAGAGCGGCTTCTTCGCAGGGGAGTGCACTTCGAGTCTGATGTATTCCACCGTCATTGGAACGCGTCCAGCCGAATCGAGAGCCGAGACGCGGAGCACTCGCATGCGGCGGCGAGATCCACTTCGGGTGAAACGCGCAGCGAGAAATTCGGAGAGTACCGTAACGTCTGCGTGCCGCGTAGCGCAGTTGAACTCACCTGATGAACTTGTTGAATTTCGTTTGTATCGCCACTTCCTCCTCATCTCGGGGCCTGCACGGCTCCGTCAGCAGCATCTGCACCAGGCCGATTATCCCGTTGCGCCGTAGCACGGCGATCGTGGCTTTGCAGCAGACGGCGACGATGGTCATGAACATGAGAGAGTTGGTGGTGAAGTCGTCCATATTGTCGACGATCAGAACGATGTCCATGAGTTGGGTCAGCATCAGGAAGTACAACGGCACGATCGTGCAGACGGTGAATGCGTTGTACAAGAACTTGGCGGTGTTGGACGACCACGCGATGGGCCGCCACACACCCCCCACGGTGTATATGAGAAAATTCAAGCGGAGTATTTGCATCCCCCTCAGTAGCGCGAACGGCTTATCGAGGGGAAAGCATGTCGCCCTACGCGACAGATGTCTAAGAGTACTCGAAGGGACAAATCTAACCGCAGCCCGCGTGTGTGTCTGAGATCCGTCGATTAATCGCGATTACGATGCATCATAGTAATCGAGCTGATAGCGAGCGTGAGTATCTGAGAGCCTCAGCTGCAAAATGCCGCTGAAATTCACCGCCGCGATCAAGGGTGACCCTCGCCGAGCTCTGACTAAACCAGTCGACGATTAACCGGCGGAATTGCCAACATCCATTTTCGCCCGACGCTAATAAAAAATTACAACACCGCGTATATATCGGAGCAAGCAAAAGTTATTTTCAGATGGAACAGTTTGAATAGCCAAAATACAACAAACGACGTGCTCGACCCTCGGATAGCAGTTGGGAATATAAATCAGAAGGAGCGAACAAGAGAAACTTCCTCACACGCAACGAGCCGCGTTTCATTTATCATGTTGGCAACTCTGGTGGATGAGTTAATCGCCGATCAGCTTGATCGGAATCTGCCGAGAGCTGACCTCTCGCTCATGAACGCATTCGTTCGAACAATTACTCGGCAACGCGACGGAACACGCGACACACACGAGCGGAACTTGTTTCAAGTTGCTTCGCGTAATTAAATGCGAAAACGAATGCGGTCGAGGTGTATATCGCAGGCGGTACTCCACTTCTTGCAGCTCCGCTCGACGTAACGCTACGTCATTAATGACGGTCATTAACGAGTCGTCCGTTACGCTGCCGGATCACTCCGCTGCCGGTGGATATAACTCTTCAGCGTTACCTTCTTCCAGCGAAGTTTCCCTCGTGTCGCTCATGAATACTGCAATGGGTCGCTTTATTCGCAGCGTTTAACCGCCGCTGTGGCCCCTCGCACTGGAGATATATCGCATCGTCGATGGAATGTTTATGGATTCTCATGTCGCGTCGCCGGCAATTCGATATCTCGCTAAATTGTGCTTCTCTCACGAGAGCGGAGTTTACCGTATGCTGCGAGACGATGCGGCGGGAGGGGGGGGGGAAATACACACAGTGCAACCCCGGAGGTGTTCTCTTCAGGTTCAGTGTCTCCGCACGTGTGTCCCCTTGTCAAGCGGAACGAGAGAACGTCGGGGGAAAATGTGTGGAACTGTGGAACACGCGCGAACTTTTGCCCGGAGCAGATTTCAATTTTCATTTTTGTCCTCAGCCGAAATCACAGGTGTTTCTGCCGCGAGCGAGTCGGCCGGCTCATTTTCCGTCCGTGTTTCTCGGCGATTTGTTCCTCGCGTAGTGTGCCGATTGTAATCGCGTGATTCGAACGCGGGAAATAATTAAGCAAACTCGCAAGTGGGAATTTGAACGTTTACGCAACTGCTATTATTGTACAAATATTACAGCTACTGTTATCCTTGTCATTACTTCCGAGTGCGATCTCGTGTTATTCTCGGCCGTTTTCCACCTCAGGACTGTTGCAGCACGTTGAACGCCGAGTACGACGTTTTCAGAATCTGAAAGCAAAGCGCGGTCAATCATTTGAAGATGAAGTACATGTCAGTCAGATGTTGCGGTTAACCCTTAAAGGTAATCATCAATGAAAATCACGTCAGTGCTTATATCATAGGCGAAATTTTATCCCCCAGTATATATTTCTTTTATTTCAGAAATCGAAAAAGTCAAAACCGATGCGCAATTAAATGTCTTATTATTATTAAATATTAGATGAAAGATAGGGAAATTTGCAGTTTGGATAATTTAACATTTAACAAAATCAAAGCACAATCTTCTCGCGTGGGATGAAATTTCATCCACAGTACTCTTTAAGGATTAATTTTGAGACTGGACGATGAACGGGTCGCTCCTAATGAGCAAGTCTTTTATCTACCGTGGAATTTACTCATCGTCGGAAAGACGGGAACCGGTTGTAGCCGGTGGTGGAGAAAAGATTCTGATTAAAATAATTTACGTAATAAATAATAAACAGTACCCATTCATGATCGATCCGGAGGACTAACCGAAATACCTAGTTTACCGTGGCAATACTTAACGTTACTGTAAGACTGCAGAGACAGAGTTATGAGGAAACTACTGGTGAATTTGATAGGAATTGCACTGCGTCTCATGATCATCAGCAGATCCTTCTTCTCGCTGATCGTCAGCAGAGGCCAGTCCGTGTGGTATATCGCGTCTCCTACATTCGTACTCTGTCGACATGGCAGTAACAAAGTGACTATTCAGCAGTGACATTCGAATCACACGGATCACCATCAGCTCTAAATCCAAGCTCATTTCCGGCCCGCGTCGGAATTTCCCTCCTACTTACGACCCGAATACACCGACATTTATAGTTTCCAGGGTATAACGGTAGCGTTTGTCTGGACAAGACTCGAGCTTCCGCTTGGTGCATGTGGAATAAGCGCTTAAGTGCTTCTCATTTGGCATTTCAACGGTGGATCAAATTTTCAAGCCAAAATGCTAAAAATTCCTCCTACCCCTTCGGCTAGAAGGGGAGCTGAAGCACGTCAAACGATTGGATCGCCCAGAGTAACAAGCGGATGAACCTCAAACACCGAACATCTCGGAGTAAAAGCATCGGGGGGGTCTGAAGTAGAAGAAAAATGTCGACTCTCCCGGGACGGAACGGAAAGCGAAAACGCAAATGGGCCCTCACCTTAAGTATCACCTCGTTCCCGGACCAGCAATAGACATAAATTTGCACAAACATGCCAGCAGTGTATATCACCATGGTCGCAGCTGTGATTTCCATAATGTGAGATGACAAGTAATACACACTGGTGCAAAGTGTCAATATACTGCCGAAGAATTGCACGAAGAGTATCTGGTTGAACACGCCGTTCACCGTTCTGGCGTACCTGCGAGGCGCGTCGTGTGAGACAACTTGCTACCGCTCGAGATTTCGCAACGCGAACATGCGTAAGAACAGTGAACACACATAACTAACTCGTAAATACGAAGGTGATGATGTATATAGCCGGAAATCATCCCCTTCTCGCGAAGCGGTGGAGCGACTGAAGACCACTTCCTCTGCCCGCCGGCGGCTTTCCCAGCCGTTCTGTCGATCACCAGTTTGTGCAGACGCCTCTCGAGGATCTCGAGTTGCGCGCACGTTTGCAGAAACAGGCCGAATACGAGAGTTTCCGTGCCGACGTTGATGATGGTGGCGAAGATCAAGGAGGTCATCTGCTGAATCGACGTGATCCAGAAGGCCAAGGATAAAGTCGAGTCGTACGGCAGCCACGCTCTGTAAGGCAAGACACCCTGCATGGCGTTCAGCACCGATCTGACGGTGACGCCAGTGAGAGAGCTAGTGGCCAGAAGCGAGTACATGATCGAGCATGACCTGGAAAAGTGAGTGCCACATTGATGTTGCCAAGGAGAAGGCACAATTCGACGCACAAGGTGGGTGCAGTGAACTGTCGATATTCTGTCCGTCCGAAACTATCGCGGAACATTTCTAGCAGGAGACGTTCCCTATGCTACCAGATGTCGCAGCCTGCATAGACTCAAGCATTATTGCGAAGTCTGGTGGCGTAGAGAAGACGCACTGCGCCAGGTCGGAATTGCGCGGGAAATATTCGCGCAACTGACTTTCCATCCTCAGGAAAGCAGTCGAGAGTTCGGTTGCAGCGGACGGAAAGATTCCGAGTGCGGCTGTGAGGTTTGTGTTCAGTCACAGTGCCGACTCGGGCTGATTACATTCGACCGCCGTTGGTCATATCAGTCGATAAAAAAAAATTCAATTTCTTGGAAAATATTTAAAATTCGAGACCGACCATTTTACTGAATACTCTCTTCACGTGTCAAAATATAATATACGTTTTTCCAGAATCTTTCGCACACTAGTTTCTTTTATAAGCGGATTACTTGCATGAATTTTGTAAATCCAACATGAAATTCGTAATTAACGATCTAAAGAACCTTTACACCGTGTATCTGATTAACATTTATTCAGACTTGCGCTAATGCACCCGTATTCGATCACGTTAGATCCTCCATTATTAATTCTTCAAATTCGACTTCAGATTTGTAATCATCGACCCATGAGACATAGAAATGCAAAATTTTGCAGAAACCTGTCGGGTGGAAAAAGTGTGTACAAAACTCGATCGACACTTTCTACGGACCGATTCAACCGAAAACCCATCGCGCTCCTGGCCCTTCGTCGAGCAGAACGACCTACCTGATGAATTCGTCGAACTTCATCTGTATCGCCGCTTCGTCCGCGTCCTGGGGTTTGCACGGCTCCCGCGACAAGGTCTGCATCAGGTCGATGATCACGTCGCGACGTAACAACGCGGTCGTCGCCTTGCAGCAAACAGCGACGATGGTCATGAACATGAGAGAATTCGTGATGAAGTCATCTACGTTATCGACCACGAGAACGAGATCCATGAATTGGGTCAGCATGAGAAAGTATATTGGGACTATCGTGCAGAAGCTGAACACGCTGTACAGCACCTTGGCATAGCCCGACGTCCACTCGACCGGCCGCCATATGCCACCCATAGTGTATATGAAAAAATTCAACGAAAGCAGCTCCATACTGACGATCGCGCGCGGCCGCGGACTTTATCAGGGCATCGTATGCGCGCGGCGCATACCTCCTTCCTTACCTCTGACGATGCTGAGACGATGCGATTAATTATCGTGATTAATTATCGCGAGCGGTCTCGGCCGGCCTCGAGACGTATCGAGCTCGAGCGACGTCACATTCGCCGCCTGATTTTATTTTTTCGCTTTTTACGTAATTGTGTGAAATGAATTTGGTTTGGCAATGAGAACGTCGGTTCGAACAGAAAGGGAAACAAACGTGCGCTGTCGCATGATCCGCAAACGATTCAGGAATGTAACTTTTCCTTGATATCGCGGACAAACCCGGCGGAGAGACAAAACGAACATAGACGACAGCTCGGCGCGAATTACGATACTCTCTGCGGGTTCCAACGGCATTTTATGGCTATATATCATTAATGACGGTCATTAACGAAACGGAGTCGTCTCTGTTACGCTGGATCACCCCGCTATCGGTGGATATTACTCTTCGGGGTTACCTTTCTCGAGCGAAATTTCCCTCGTGCCGCTCATTAATACTGCAGAATCGCTTTATTCGCAGCGTTTAACGGTCGCCGTCGCACACGAGATATACGAGCGTCGTCGCGTTGACGTCTGATGGAATGTTTATGGATTTTCATGTCGCGTTGCAGGCAATTCGATTTCTCGCAAAATTGTGCTTCTCTCACAAGGGAGAAGTTTTCCGTGTGCTGTGAAACTACGCGGCGAGCGGGGCGATACGCATAGCGCAATCCCAGAGGTGTTTTCTTCAGGTTCAGTGTTTCCGCACGCGCGACCGCTTGTCAAGTGGGACAAGAGAACGTCGGAGAAAAATGTGTCTGACAACTGTGAAACACGCGCGAACTTTTGTCCGTCACGGAGCGGATTTTGATTTTCATTTCTGTCCTCAGCCGAAATCGCAGCCGCTTTGCCGCGAATGAATCGGGACTCAGGCGATACTTTTTATCTGTGTTTTCCGACGATTTGTTCCTCGCGAGTGTGTCGATTGTAATCGCATGATTCGGACGCGAGGAATATTAAGGAAAACACGCAGTCGGGGATTTTGAAATTTACGTGGCAGCTATTATTGTATACTACATCGCTGTTATGTTTATCTCGGTTACTTCCGAGCGCAGTCTCGCCTTACTCTCGGCCGTTTCTATCTCACGACTGTTGCAGCACGTTGAACGCCGAGTATGATGTTTTCAGAATCTGAAAGAGAAGCACGGTCAGTCACTTGGAAGGAGCCCATATATCAGATACGGTTACTCCTCAGGGTCGACCATGAACGGGTATTTTTTACGTAAATTATTTCAGTCAGAATTATTTCTCCACCGCCGGCTACAACAGTTTCCCATCTTTCCGGCGACGAGTGAATTCCACGGTAGAAAAGAGTCTTGTCTTTGAGAGCAACCCATTCATGGTCAAACTCAAGTTAACAAAACTCAAAGTTAACACTTAAAAGATAAATTAATCGTAAGTGAAATTTCACCTCATGCGAAAAGATTTTGCTTCGACCTTATTAAATATTAAATTATCCAATTTGCAAACTACTCTACTTTTTGTCTAATACTTGATAATAATGAAACATTCAATTCCATCGGTTTGACTTTTTTCAATTCTAAAAAAAAGAAATATATACTGAGGGGTGAAATTTGGCCTATGGTGAATATTGACGTGATTTTCTCTCATAATTGCCTTTAAGAGTTAACCGAAATACTTAGTTTACCGTGACAATACTAACGTTACTGTAAGACTGCAGAGACAGAGTTATGAGGAAACTACTGGTGAATTTGATAGGAATTGTACTACGTCTCATGATCATCAGCAGATCTTTCTTCTCGCTGATCGTCAGCAGAGGCCAGTCCGTGCTGTATATAGCGTCTCCTACTTTTGTACTCTATCGACAAGGCAGTAACAAAGTGACTGTTCAGCAGTGACATTCGAGTTACACGGTTCACCGTCAGCTTTAAATCAAATCTCACTCCCGGCCCGAGTCGGAATTTCCCTCCTATTTATGATCCGAATATGCCGACATTTAAAGTTTTCAGGGGATAACGGTAGCATTCGTCTGCACAAGACTCGAGCTTCCGCTTGGCGCATGTCGAATAAACGCTTAAGGGGCCTGGAGGGTCAGATTGCTGAAAAATCGTGCTTGTTTTTGATAATATTTTCTGACGAACTGAATAAATGTGCAAGAATGAAAATTTTAGGTATATTTATACAACATGTGAAGAGTAGAAAAATTTTGATTATTAACAAATACTCATATAAATATACGATATATATATATATATATATATAGCTGAAATATACTCTCCTTTTTTTTTCAAATTATCGTTTTTGCAGTAATATCTCGGCTCTCGGTGGTTCGATCAAAGTGAAATTTAGCTAGAAATCTTAAGGAAGCTTATCATTATCCGATGAACCACTACAAAAAAAATGGAACATGATTAACAAAATGGCAGCTATTATTAGAAAAAAATTAAAATTTTTCAGTTCCTTTACAATAAAAAAATTAATATCTCGAAATGAAATATTTTGACGGAGTTGTCCATGGTTCACCTGAGAGCCGGATGAACAAATATTGATTCAAAATTTCAAATCGACACGAAGCTCAGTTTCGGAGAAATCACTGCAAAAGGATGAACAATAAAATTTCGAGAAAAACTCGTTTTAAATTTAGGTGGACGTATTATTTATATGAGTGTTTGCTAATAAATAAAATTTTTCTACTCTTCATATGTTATATAAATATATATAAAATTTTCATTCTTGCACATTTATTCAGTTTGTCATAAAATATTGTCAAAAACAAGCACGATTTTTCAGTAATCTCACTCTCCAGTCCCCTCAAGTGCTTCCCACTTGGCGTTTCGATGGTGGATCAAATTTTCAAGCCAAAATGCTAAAAATTCTTCCTGCTTCTTCGAGTAGAAGGGGAGCCGCAGGATGTCAATCGATTGGATCGTTCAGTGTAACAAACGAATAACCGTCAAACGCCAGAACATCTTCGAGCATCGGGAGGGTCTAAAGTAGAAGAAAAATGTCGACTCTCCCGGGACGGAACGGAAAGCGAAAACGCAAATGGCCCCTCACCTTAAGTATCACCTCGTTCCCGGACCAGCAATAGACATAAATTTGCACAAACATGCCAACAGTGTATATTACCATGGTCGCAGCCGTGATTTCCATAATGTGAGATGACAAGTAATACACACTGGTGCACAGTATCAATATACTGCCGAAGAATTGCACAAAGAGTATCTGGTTGAACACGCCGTTCACCGTTTTGGCGTACCTGCGAGGCGTGTCGTGTGAGACAACTCGCTACCGCTCGAGATTTCGCAGCGCGAACATGCGCAAGGACAATGACACGCATGACTAACTCGTAAATACGAAGGTGATGATGTATGTAGCCGGAAATCGTCCCCTTCTCATGAAGCGGCGGAGCGGACGAAGACCATCCCCGCTGCCCGCCGGCGGCTTTCCCAGCCGTTCTGTCGATCACCAGTTTGTGTAGACGCCTCTCGAAGATCTCGAGTTGCGCGCACGTTTGTAGAAACAGACCGAACATGAGGGTCTCCGTGCCGATGTTAATGATGGCGGCGAAAATCACGGAGATCATCTGCTGAATAGACGTGATCCAGAAGGCCAAGGATAAAGTCGAGTCGTACGGCAGCCATACTCTGTAAGGCAAGACACCCTGCATGGTGTTCAGCACCGATCTGACGGTGACGCCCGTGACGGAGCTGGTGGCCAGAAGCGAGTACATGATCGAGCACGACCTGGAAAAGTGAGTGCCATGTTGATGTTGCCAACGAGAAGACACAATCCGACGAACAGGATGGGTTCAGTGAGCTCTCGGTTTTCTGCCCGCAAATGCCTGAAATTGTTGCGAAACATTGCTGGCGAAAGGCGTTCCCTATGCTACCAGACGTCGCAATCCGCATAGACAAGCGTTATTATACGACGTTTGGCGGCGTGGAGAAGACGTTTCGTCAGATTGAAATTACACGGGAAAAATTCGCGTAACTGATTTTCCGTTCTCAGAAGACCAGTCGCAGAGCTCAGTTGCAGCGGACGGAAGGATTCCCTGTGCAGTTGTGTGGTTTGTGTCCGGTCAGAGTTCTGACTCGGAGTGCTGATTATATTCGATCGGTTATCTCGGTTATCTCAGTCGATTAAGAGGAAATTCAATTTTATGGAAAATATTAAAAATTAGAGACCGAAAATTTTATTGAATATTCTTCGCGTGTCAAGATATAATATATATTTTTTCTAGAATTTTTCGCACGTTAGGTTCTTTAATGAGCGAATTATATGAATGAATTTTGTAAATCCGACATGAAATTCGTAATTAACGATCTGAGAAATTTTTACAAAACGTGTATCTAATTAACATTTATTCAGACTCGCACTAATGCACTTCTGTATGTCCATGTTGGATCCGCCATTTTGATTTCTTAAAATCCGACTTCAGATTTGTAATCGGCGACCCAAAAACATAGAAATGCAAGATTTCGCACAAATCTGTCGGGCAGAAGAAATGTATCATAGAGAGAATGGAATCGACGGTTTCCATGAGCCGAAGCGACCGAAAATTCATCGCGCTCCCGACCCTTCGTCGAGCAGAGCAACTTGCCTGATGAACTCGTCGAACTTCGTCTGTATCGCGGCCTCGTCCGCGTCCTGGGGCTTGCACGGCTCCCGCGACAACGTCTGCACCAGGTCGATGATCACGTCGCGACGTAACAACGCGGTTGTCGCCTTGCAGCAAACAGCGACGATGGTCATGAACATGAGGGAACTCGTGATGAAGTCGTCTACGTTATCGACTACCAGAACGAGATCCATGAATTGGGTCAGCACGAGGAAGTACATCGGAACTATCGTGCAAAAGCTGAATACGTTGTACAGCAATTTGGCACTGCCTGACGTCCACTCGACCGGTCGCCATATGCCTCCCATAGTGTACAGGAAAAAATTCAACGAAAGCAACTCCATGCTGACGATCGCGCGGCCGCGGACTCTTATCTGATGCCTCTATCATTCGCGCGCGGCACTTTCCTACTTCTCACGACGCTGACACGATGCGGTTAATTACCGTGATTAATTATCGCGAGCGGTCTCAGTCGGCCTCAAGACGAATCGAGCTCGAGCGACGTGCGCGTGTCACATTTGGCGCCGGGTTTTATTTTCTCTCTTTTTACGTAATTGTGTGTGAAGCGAATTTGCTTTGGCAATGAGAACGTCGGTATATAGAAAAGAAAACAAACGTGCGCTGGCGCGTAATCCGCAAATGATTCAGCAATGTAACTTCTGCCGGATATCGCAGAGAAACCGGCGGAGAGACGGAACAGACATAGACGATAGCTCGGCGCGAACTATGATACTCTCTGCGGATGCCAACGGCGTTTTGTGGCTATATCATTAATGACGGTCATTAACGAAACGGAGTTGTCTCTGTTACACTCCGCTGCCGGTGGATATTATTCTTCGGGGTTACCTTTCTCCAGCGAAGTCCTCCTAGTGCAGCTCATTAATACTGCAAGGATTGCTTTATTCGTAGCGTTTAACCGGCCTCCGTCGTTCGCCCTCGCACTCGATGCATACCGCGTTGTCGCATTGCTGTCTGATGGAATGTTTATGGATTTTCATGTCGCGTCGCCGGCAATTCGATTTCTCGCTAAATTGTGCTTCTCTCACAAGGAACGAGTTTTCTATGTGCTGTGAGAACTACGCGGCGAGTGGGATGATACGCAAAGCGCAACTCCAGAGGTGTTTTCTTCAAGTTCAGTGTCCCTGCATGCGCGACCGCTTGTCAAGTGGGACAAGAGAACGTCGGAGAAAAATGTGTCTGTCAACTGTGAAACACACGCGAACTTTTGACCGTCACGGAGCGGATTTTGATTTTCATTTATGTCCTCAGCCGAAATCACAGCCGCTTTGCCGCGAGTGAATCGGGACTCAGGAGGCACTTTTTTTATCCGTGTTTTCCGACGATTTGTTCCTCGCGAGTGTGTCGATTGTAATCGCGCGATTCGGACGTGGGGAATAATAAGGAAAACACGCAGTGGGGGATTTTGAAATTCACGTAACCTCTATTATTGTATACTACAGCGCTGTTATCCTTATCGTTACTTTCGAGCGCAGTCTCGCGCTACTCTCGGCCGTTTCCACCTCACGACTGTTGCAGCACGTTGAACGCCGAGTACGACGTTTTCAAAATCTGAAAGAGACGCGCGGTCAGTCACTTGAAAATGAGGTACATGTCAGATGTTTCGGTTAACCCTTAAAGGCAATCATTAAAGAAAATCATGTCAGTGCTTGTCATAGGCGAAAAAAAATTTACCCTCCAATATATACATTTTTTATTTTAGAAATCAGAACTGTTAAACCGAAGTGATCGAAAGTTTCATTGTTATTAAATATTAGACGAAAAGCAGAGAAGTTTGCAGTCTGGATAATTTAACATTTTATAAGATCAAAGAAAAGTCATAAGTTAAAATTTCGCCCACTTTTAAGAATTACTTTTGAGACTTGAAGATGGATTGCTTCTAAAGACAAGTCCTATTCTTATTGAATAGTTTACGTAATAAATAATAAATAATACATATTCATGGTCGATCCTGACGGCTAACCGAAACACCTAGTTTAACGTGGCAATACTAACGTTACTGTAAGACTGCAGAGAGAGGGTTATGAGGAAACTGCTGGTGAATTTGATAGGAATTGTACTACGTATCATGATCATCAGCAGATCTTTCTTCTCGCTGATCGTCAGCAGAGGCCAGTCCGTGTGGTATATCGCGTCTCCTACATTCGTACTCTGTCGACATGGCAATAACAAAGTGACTGTTCAGCAGTGACATTCGAATCACACGGTTCACCGTCAGCTCTAAATCCAAGCTCATTTCCGGCCCGCGTCGGAATTTCCCTCCTACTTACGACCCGAATATGTCGACATTTATAGTCTTCAGGGTATAACCGTAACATTCGTTTGCATGGGACTCGAGCTTCCTCTTGGCGCATGTCGAATAAGCGCTTGAGAGCTTCCTACGTGGCGATTCGACGGAGGATCAAAGAAGGGAGTGAAAAAGTCAGCGATATTGGCTCAAACTGCAAACCTGTAAAACCTAACGGATTATCTTGTATGCCACAGTAGTAGTTGTAAAACAGTATTTTTTAACGAGAAAAATGTCGGGAACATGACAAAAATGAATCAAGAAGGTCCAAATATTGGCCACTTAAGGTGATAATGAATGGACAGACTCAACCTATTGGATTTTATGCTTAGACTACGTGAGATACTATCGAAGTAAGGTATATAAGGGAAAAAGAATAAAATGAAAGTCATGTAAAAGTTCAAGAAAAAGCGTTTGTTTAAAAAAAATTTTTTAAACAAACACGAAGACAGAGTCACGCGACTCCATATTCATTACTTTCGCAGTATGTTACGAGTCCAAACTCCTTCCTTGTGCATGTTCGAGGTTCTAGGTGCTTAAGTGTGGGTATGAGTGTGGGTGTGAGTGTGGATATGAGGGGGCGTGTGTGTGTGTGTATATATGTGGGTGGATGAGTATGTATGTGCGCGTACTAATTCTAGACCGGCGATTTAATTGCAAACAGTTTTCTTCGGTCGTTTTCACGGCCACTGCCCGCCGTTCTGATTTATTCTAACAATCGTTTCTGCGATTACCTTTTGAACGACAGTTTATTGCAAGATTGTTTACTTATCATATTATTATCAATTAAAAATTATTATTATATCTATTGTTTACATTTCAGGTTTATTTTCTCAAAATGAAACGGTGTGCAAGTGTGATTCTTTCTTTAAAAAATGTTTATTAAACAATCGTTCTTTCTTGAACTTTTACACGACTTTCATATTATTCATTTTCCTTTATATACGTTACTTTGATAGTATCTCACGTAGTCTAAGCATAAAATCCAATGGGTTAAGTCTGTCTACTCATTACCGTAAGCGGCCAATATTTGGACCTTTTTCATTCATTTTTGCCATGTCCCCGTAATTTTTCGGTTAAAAAATATTGTCTTACAACTACTACTGTGACATACAAAATAATCCGTTGGGTTTTAAAGCTTTGTAGTTCGCGCCACTATCGATGACTTTTTCACTCCCTTCTATCCAAGCCAAAATGCTGAAAATTCTTCCTCGTGATTTGAGTAAAGGCCGCAGTCTAAGTGGAGCTAGAGAATGTCCGTCGGTCGGGCCGTTCACACTAACAACTAACAAACAAGCGGAAGATCTTGGAGCAAAAGAGTCGGGAGGGTCTGAAGTAGAAGAAGAATGTCGACTTTTCCGAGACGGAACGGAAAGCGGAAACTCAAACCGGCTCCTCACCTTAAGTATGACCTCGTTCCCGGACCAGCAATAGACATAAATTTGCACAAACATGCAGATGGTGTATATTACCAATGTCGCAGTCGCGAATTCCGTAATGTGAGATGACAAGTAATACACATTGGTGCACAGTACCAATATACTGCCGAAGAATTGCACGAAGAATATCTGGTTGAACACGCTGTTAACCGCTCTGGCGTACCTGTGAGGCGCGTCGAGTGAGACAACTCGCTGCCACTTGAGATTTTGCATCGCAAACATGCGCAAGGACAGTAACATGCATGACTAACTCGTAAATACCAAGGTGATGACGTATGTAGCCGGAAATCATCTCCTTCTCATGAAGCGGTGGATCGGCCGAAGAGCACTCCGGCTGCCCGCCAGCGGCTTTTCCAGCCGTCCTGCCGATCACCAGTTTGTGCAGACGCCTCTCGAAGATCTCGAGTTGCGCGCATGTTTGCAGAAACAGTCCGAACACGAGGGTCTCCGTGCCGGTGCTGATGATGGTGGCGAAGGTCACGGACATCATCTGCTGAATCGACGTGATCCAGAAAGCGAAGGATAAAGTTAAGTCGTATGGCAACCACGCTCTGTAAGGCAAGATACCCTGCATGGCGTTTAGCACCGATCTGACGGTAACGCACGTAAGGGAGCTAGTGGCGAGAAGCGAGTACTTGATCGAGCACGACCTGAAAAAGTGAATGCCACATTGATGTTGCCAACGAGAAAGCACTGCGATGGCTGTACGACGCACAGGATGGCTGTAGTAAGGATGGCTTGCGGTATTCTGTTTGAAATTTGAAGTGCTGATAATATTCGGCTAACTGCCCTCGGTCATCTCAGTCGAGTAAAAAGAATCTCTATTCGTTGGAAAATATTTAAAATCAGAGGCCAAAAATTTTACTGAGTAATCTTTGTGTGTCAAAATATAATATATATTTTTCTTGGAACTTTTCGTACACTGGTTTCTTTAAGCTCTTTACTCTTTGAATGAATTTTGTAAATACGAAATGAAATTCGTAAATAATTAACGATTTGAAAATCATCATTTGCATATCGTGTATCTGATTAACATTTATTCAGATTTGCGCTAATTTAATCCTATATGGTAACATTGAACCCGCCATGTTAAAATCCGACTTTAGATTTGTGCGATCGGCGACCCAAAAACCAAAAAATGAGAGAAATGCAAGATTTCACAGAAATCTATCAGATAGAAAAAAAAATGCGCCGCATCAAAAATTAATCGACGATTTTTATGAACCGATTCGACCGAAGACCCATCGGGCTTCCGGCTGAGCAGAACGACCTACCTGATGAACTCGTCGAACTTCGTCTGTATCGCCACCTCGTCCGCGTCCTGAGGCTTACACGGCTCCCGCGACAATGTCTGCACCAGGTCGATGATCACATCGCGACGCAACATCACGGTCGTCGCCTTGCAGCAAATAGCGACGATGGTCATGAACATGATGGAATTCGTGATGAAGTCGTCCACGTTATCGACCACGAGAACGAGATCCATGAATTGGGTCAGCATGAAGAAGTATATCGGAACTATTGTGCAAAAGCTGAATACGTTGTACAACAACTTGGCGCAGCCTGACGTCCACTCGACCGGTCGCCATATGCCTCCCATAGTATATAGAAAAAAATTCAACGAAAGCAGTTCCATGCTGATAATCGCGCGGCCGCGGACTCTATCGGGGACTCATCATACGCGCGCGCGGCACCTTCCTACCTCTCACAACGCTGAGACGATGCGGTTAATTACCGTGATTAATTATCGCGAGCGGTCTCGGTCGGCCTCAAGACGAATGACATGAGCGACGCGCGCATGTCACATTTGGCGCCGGATTTTATTTTCTCTCCTTTTACGTAATTGTGTGAAACGAATTTGGTTTGGCAATGAGAACGTCGGTATACAGAAAAGAAAACGAACGTGCGCTGGCGCGTGATCCGTAAGCGATTCAGGAATGTAACTTTTCCTCGATATCGCGGAGAAACCGGCGGAGGGACAGAACGAACATAGACGATTGCGCGGCGCGAACTACGATGCTCTCTGCGAGTTCCAACGGCATTTTGTGGCTATATCATTAATGACGGTCATTAACGAAACGCAGTTGTCTCTGTTACGCTGGAACACTCCGCTGCCGGTGGACATTATTCTTCAGGATTACCTTTCTCCAGCGAAGTTTCCCTCGTGCCGCTCATAAATACTGCATCACTTTATTCGCAGCGCTTAGCAGCTGCCATCTTACGCGAGATATACCGCGTCGTCGCCTTGCCGTCCGATGGAATGTTTATGTATTCTCACGTCGCGTCGCCGACAATTGGATTTCTCGCTAAATTGTGCTTCTCTCACGAGAGTGAAGTTCTCCGTGCCCTTCGATACGACGCGGTCAGGGGGAGGGGACAATGTGCACTGCGCAACCCCGGAGGTGTTTTCTTCAGGTTTAATGTCTCTGCACACGTGTCCCCTTGTCGAGCGGAACGACAGAACGTCGGGAGAAAATGTGTCAACTGTCGAACACGCGCGAACTTTTGCCCATCACGGAGCGGATTTCAATTTTCATTTCTGTCCTCAGCCGAAATCACAGCTACTTTGGCGCAAGTGAGTCGGGGGATTCAGGCTGTTCGCTTTCCGTCTGTTTTTCTCGCGAGTGTGCCGATTTGTTGCAATCGCGTGATTCGGACGTGGGGAACAATGCAAGCACGCTGGCGGGGATTTTTACGTCTACGTAACCGCTATTATTGTACACATATATGCTACAGCGCTGTTATCGTTGTCATTACTTCCGGGCGCGATTACGCGATTATTCTCGACTGTTTCCACCTCACGACTGTTGCAGCACGTTAAACGCCGAGTACGACGTTTTCAGAATCTGAAAGAGACGCGCGGTCAGTCATTTGAAAATGAAGTACATGTCAGTCAGATGTTTCGGTTAACCCTTAAAGGCAATCATCAAAGAAAATGCCAGTGCACGTTATAGGCGAAAAAAATTGTACCCTCCAATATATACATCTTTTATTTTAGAAAACAAGAATGTTAAGCCGATGTAATCAAATGTTTCATTATTATTAAATATTAGATGAAAAGTAGAGAAGTTTGCAGTCTGGATAATTTAACATTTTATAAGATCAAAGAGAAACCGTAAGGTGAAATTTCGCCCACGACAGCCTCTGAGAGTTAATTTTGAGACTTGAAGATGGATTGCTTCTGAAGACGAATTGCTTCTAAAGACAAGTCCTTTTTCTGATTGAATAGCTTACGTAATAAATAATAAATAATTCATAAATAATAACATATTCATAGTCGATCCTGAAGGCTAATCGAAACACCTAGTTTAACGTGGCAATACTAACGTTACTGTAAGACTGCAGAGACAGGGTTATGAGGAAACTACTGGTGAATTTGATAGGAATTGTACTACGTCTCATAATCATCAGCAGATCTTTCTTCTCGCTGATCGTCAGCAGAGGCCAGTCCGTGTGGTATATCGCGTCTCCTACATTCGTACTCTGTCGACATGGCAATAACAAAGTGACTGTTCAGCAGTGACATTCGAATCACACGGTTCACCGTCAGCTCTAAATCCAAGCTCATTCCCGGCCCGCGTCGGAATTTCCCTCCTACTTACGACCCGAATACACCGACATTTATAGTTCTCAGGGTATAACGGTAGCATTCGTTTGCATGAGACTCGAGTTTCCTCTTGGCGCATGTCGAACAAGAGCTTAAGAACTTCCTATGTGGCGATTCGACGGAGGATCAAATTTCCAAGCGGAAATGCTGAAAATTCTTCCTCCTGCTTGAGTGAAAGCCACAGCCTGAGTGGAGCTAGAGGACATCAGTCGGTTCGATAGTTCAGATTAACAAACGGTAAGCGGAAGAACTCGAAGCAAAAGAGTCGGGTGGGTCTGAAGTAGAAGAAAAATGTCGACTCTTCCGAGACGGAACGGAAAGCGAAAACGCACTTGGTCTTACCTTAAGTATGACTTCGTTTCCGGACCAGCAATAGACATAAATTTGCACAAACATGCCAATGGTGTATATTACCAACGTAGCAGTCGCGAATTCCGTAATGTGAGATGACAAGTAATACACACTGGTGCACAGTAGCAATATACTACAGAAGAATTGAACGAAGAGTATCTGGTTGAACGCGCTGTTCACCGCTTTGGCGTACCTGCGACGCGCGTCGGGTGAGACAACTCGCTACCGCTTGAGATTTTGCATCGCGAACTTGCGCAAGGACAGTAACATGCATGACTAACTCGTAAATACCAAGGTGATGACGTATGTTGCCCGAAATCATCCTCTTGTCATGAAGCTGCGGATCGGCCGAATACCATCCCCTTTGCCCGTTGGCGGCTTTCTCAACCGTTCTGCCGATCACCAGTTTGTGCAAACGCCTTTCGAAGATCTCGAGTTGCGCGCACGTTTGCAGAAACAGGCCGCACACGACGGTCTCGGTGCCGACGCTGATGATGGTGGCGAAGACCAAAGAGATCATCTGCTGAATCGACGTGATCCAGAAGGCCAAGGATAAAGTAGAGTCATACGGCAGCCACGCTCTGTAAGGCAAGATACCCTGCATAGCGTTTAGCACCGATCTGATGGTAACGCACGTAAGGGAGCTAGTGGCCAGAATCGAGTACTTGATCGAGCACGACCTGGAAAAGTGAGTGCCACATTGATGTTGCCAATGAGAAAGCACTATGATGGCTGTACGACGCACAGGATGGCTGTAGTAAGGATGGCTTGCGGTATTCTGTCTGAAATTTGGAGTGCTGATAATATTCGACTAACTGCCCTCGGTCATCTCAGTAGTCGAGTAAAAAAATTTCTATTTGTTGGAAAATATTCAAAATTAGAGACTAGAAATTTTACTGAGTATTTTTTATGTGTCAAAATGTAATATATATTTTTCCCAGAATTATTCCTACACTAGTTTCTTTAAGCTATTTACTTGAATGTATTTTGTAAGTCGGACATGAAATTCGTAATTAATGATTTGAATATATTTTGCATCGTGTACCTGATTCTCAGTCATCTCAGTCGAGTAAAATAATTTCTATTTGTTGGAAAATATTTAAAATTAGAGACTAGAAATTTTACTGAGTATTTTCTATGTGTCAAAATATAATATATATTTTTCCCAGAATTCTTCCTACACTAGTTTCTTTAAGCTATTTACTTGAATGTATTTTGTAAATCCGACATGAAATTCGCAATTAATGATTCGAATATATTTTGCATCGTGTATCCGATTGACATTTATTCAGATTTGCACTAATTTAATCCTATATGATCACATTGGAGCCGCCATGTTAAAGGCCGACTTTAGATGAACTTTGTATGATCGGCGACCCAGAAACCAAAAAAAGAAAGAAATGCAAGATTTCACAGAAACCTATCATGTAGAAAAAAATGCATCACATCAAAAGTTAATCGACGATTATTACGAACCGATTCGACTTATCGGGCTTCCGGCCCTTCACCGAGCAGAACGACCTACCTGATGAACTCGTCGAACTTCGTCTGTATCGCCACCTCGTCCGCGTCCTGAGGCTTGCACGGCTCCCGCGACAACGTCTGCACCAGGTCGATGATCACATCGCGACGTAACATCGCGATCGTCGCCTTGCAGCAAACAGCGACGATGGTCATAAACATGAGGGAATTCGTGATGAAGTCGTCCACGTTATCGACCACGAGAACGAGATCCATGAATTGGGTCAGCATGAACAAGTACATTGGGACTATCGTGCAGAAGCTGAACACGCTGTACAACAGCTTGGCACAGCCCGACGTCCACTCGACCGGCCGCCATATACCGCCCATGGTATATATGAAAAAATTCAACGCAAGCAGCTCCATACTGACGATCGCGCGACCGCGGATTTTATCAGGGCATCGTATTCTCGCGGCGCTTCCTTACCTCTCACGACGCTCAGACGAGGCGATTAATTATCGTGATTAATTATCGCGAGCGGTCTTGGTCGGTCTTAAGACGAATCGAGCTCGGGCGACGCGCGGGTGTCGCATTTGGCATCGGGTTTTATTTTTTCTTTTTCTACGTAATTGTGTAAAGTGAATTCGGCTTGGCAATGAAAACGCCGGTATAAAGAAGGGAAAAGAAACGTGGCCCGTCGCGTGATCCGCAAACGATTCGGGAATGTAACTTGTTCTCTGTATCGCGGAGAAACCGGCGGAGAGACAGAACAAACATAGACGATAGCGCGGCGCGCGAACTACGATGCTGTCTGCGAGTTCCAACGGCATTTTGTAGCTATATCATTAATGACGGTTATTAACGAAACGGAGTCGTCTCTGTTACACTCCGCTGCCGGTGGATATTATTCATCAGGGTTACCTTTCTCCAACGAAGCTTCCCTCGTGCCGCTCATAAATACTGCAGCATCGCTTTATTTGCAGCGTTCAACGGCCGCCGTTGCACGCGAGATATACCGCGTCGTCGCGTTGCCGTCCGATGGAATGTTTATGGATTCTCATGTCGCGTCGCCTGCAATTCGATTTATCGCTAAATTGTGCTTCTCTCACGGGACTGAAATTTTCCGTGCGCCGCGATACGACACGGCAGGCAGAGAGAACAATGTGCAGTGCGCAACGCCGGAGGTGTCCTCTTCAGGTTTAGTGTCTCCGCACGCGTGTCCCCTTGTCAAGCGGAACCTGAGAACGTCGGGAGAAAATGTGTCAACTGTGGAACACGCGAAAAATTTTGCCCATCACGGATTTCGATTTTCATTTCTGTCCTCAGCCGAAATCACTGCTGCTTTGTCGCGAGCGAGTCGAGACTCAAGCTTCTCGCTTTCCGTCTGTTTTTCTCGCGAGTGTGCCGATTCGTTTCAATCCACTGTGGGCCAGAAGGCCCGGAAAACTGGCCAAAGATCAGTTTCAGATTTTCGCCTGATGAAGTATACTGGTATCAAGTATATAAGTTAAAGTATTGTATGCGAAAATTTCAAGTCGATTTATCTGTTAGTCTTCCATCGGTAAGTCTTTAAAATTGGGAAAATGCGTTTGAGAATGACTAATAATTATCCCCCAACTTTTTGACAATTTCAATGTATATTGAAGAATTAAATTATACATCGATAATTTCTTCATCTCGTTGTGTATATCTATCATAGAAGTAGCACAGAAAGCTCATAAATTCATAAAATGCATACCTGCAAGCGATTTTATATTAGCGTTACTTTTTGTTTTCCAATTCCGCTCACTCAATCGAAACATCTTACCACGACTTACCGCATTTAAATTATAAAAATGAAGTATCACTGTATTCCTCTCAGTGTAAACTTGAAACTGAGTTTGCGCTTTTTTGCGCTTTTTTGGCTAATTCACAGAAAACGAGTGAGACAACTCGCTACCGCTTGAGATTTTGCATCGCGACATGCGCAAAGACAGTAACATACATGACTAACTCGTAAATACCAAGGTGATGACGTGTGTTGCCCGAAATCATCCTCTTGTCACGATGTGGCGGATCGGCCGAATACCATCCCCTTTGCCCGTTGGCGGCTTTCTCAACCGTTCTGCTGACCAGTTTGTGCAGACACCTCTCGAAGATCTCGAGTTGCGCGCACGTTTGCAGAAACAGGCCGCACACGACGGTTTCCGTGCCGACGCTGACGATGGTGGCGAAGACCAAAGAGAGATCATCTGCTGAATCGACGTGATCCAGAAGGCCAAGGATAAAGTTGAGTCGTACGGCAGCCACGCTCTGTAAGGCAAGATACCCTGCATGGCGTTTAGCGCCGATCTGACGGTAACGCACGTAAGGGAGATAGTGGCCAGAATCGAGTACTTGATCGAGCACAACCTGGAAAAATGAATACCACATTGATGTTGCCAACGAGAAAGCACTACCCGACGTACAGGATGGTTTACGTTATTCCGTCTGAAATTCGGAGTGCTGATAATATTCGACTAACTGTCCTCGGTCATCTCAGTCGAGTAAAAAAAAATTTCTATTTGTTGGAAAATATTTAATATTAGAGACGTAAAAATTTTACTGAGTATTTTTTACGTGTCGAAATATAATATATATTTTCCTAGAATTTTTCGTAATTTCTTTAAGCTATTTACCTGAATGAATTTTGTAAATCCGACATGAAATTCGTAAATAACGATGTGAAAAACTATTACAAAACGTGTATCCAATTAACATTTATTCAGACTTGCACTAATTTTGTCCTATATGGTCACATTAGATCCACCATGTTAAAATCCGATTTTAGATTTGTGTCACCTCGGCCACCGAGAAGACCAAAAAGAGAGAAATGCAAGATTTCACAAAAATCTGTCTCCAGGTAGAGAAAATGTACCATACTAAAAGTTAATCGACGATTTTTACGAAACGATTCGACCGAGGACCTATCGGGTCCTTCGACCTTCCGGCCCCTTGCCGAGTAGAACGACCTACCTGATGAACACGTCGAATTTCGTCTGTATCGCCAACTCGTCCGCGTCCTGAGGCTTGCACGGCTCCCGCGACAACGTCTGCACCAGGTCGATGATCACGTCGCGACGTACCATCGCGGTCGTCGCCTTGCAGCAAATAGCGAGGATGGTCATGAACATGAGGGAATTCGTGATGAAGTCGTCTACGTTATCGACCATGAAAACGAGATTCATGAGTTGGGTCAGCATGAGGAAGTATATTGGGACTATCGTGCAAAAGCCGAAGACGTTGTTCAGCAGCTTGGCGCAACTTGACGTCCACTCGACCGGTCGCCATACGCCTCCCATAGTGTATAGAAAAAAATTCAACGAAAGCAGTTCCATGCTGACGACCGCGCGGCCGCGGGCTCTATCGGGACATCATACGCGCGCGACACTTTGCTATCTCTGACGATGCTGAGGCGGTTAGTTACCGTGATTAATTATCGCGAGCGGTCTCGGTCGGCCTTAAGACGAATCGAGCTCGAGCGACGTGCGCGTGTCACATTTTGGCACCGGGTGTCATTTTTCGCTTTTTACGTAATTATGTAAAGTGAATTTGTTTTGGCAACGTCGGTATAGAGAACGTCGGTATAGAGGAAAGAAAACGTGCGCTGGTGCGTGATCCGCAAACGACTCAGGAATGTAATTTCTTCTCGATATCGCGGAGAAACCGGCGGAGAGACACAACAAACATAGATGATAGAGCGCGAACTACGACGCTCTCTGCGAGTTCCAACGGCATTTTGTGGCTATATCATTAATGACGGTCATTAACGAAACGGAGTCGTCTCTATTACGCTGAAACACTCCGCTGCCGGTGAATATTATTCATCAGGGTTACCTTTCTCCAACGAAGCTTCCCTCGTGCCGCTCATAAATACTGCAGGATCGCTTTATTTGCAGCGTTTAACGGCCGCCGTCGCACGCGAGATATACCGCGTCGTCGCCTTGCCGTCCCATGGAATGTTTATGGATTCTAATGTCGCGTCGCCGGCAATTCGATTTCTCGCTAAATTGTGCTTCTTTCACGAGAGTGAAGTTCTCCGAGCCCTTCGATACGACGCGGTCAGGGGGAGGGGACAATGTGCAACCCCGGAGGTGTTCTCTTCAGGTTTAGTGTCTCCGCACGCGTGTTCCCTTGTCAAGCGGAACGACAGAACGTCGGGAGAAAATGTGTCAACTGTCGAACACGCGCGAACTTTTGCCCATTACGGAGCGGATTTCGATTTTCATTTCTGTCCTCAGCCGAAATCATAGCCGCTTTGGCGCAAGTGAGTCGGGATTCAGGCTGTTCGCTTTCCGTCTGTTTTTCTCGCGAGTGTGCCGATTTGTTGCGCTCGCGTGATTCGGACGTGGGGAACAATGCAAACACGCAGGCGGGGATTTTCACGTCTACACAACCGCTATTATTGTATGCTACAGTTCCGTAACGTTGTCATTAATCCGATTGATAACGATTACTCGTTATTCTCGACCGTTTCCATCTCACGACTGTTGCAGCACGTTGAACGCCGAGTACGATGTTTTCAAAATCTGAAAGAGACGCGCGGTCAGTCATTTGGAAATGAACTGCATGCGTCAGGTGTTTCGGTTAACTCTGAACCCCTTCCGTGGCAGAGCAAAATTCAGTAAAATGCTCTGAAACCGCCCCAAAAAGTGACGGGGCGGATTTTTTCAATAATTTGTATACTTCAGTTTTTTTTGGTCGCTGAAGCCGAATTTGAGGTAAAAATATAGAAATTCAAAATGGCGGATCGAATATGGGGACTAAAATATTTAGCATGCTTAATGTTATAAATAAAAGTAATTAGACATTTCTCAAGTCACTAAATTAACGATTTTTATATAAAATCGCTCTTATCGCTCTTGCTGCTCGCTGCGAACTCACTCGTTCGGTGCTCGCTCTTCGTCGTACATCCTCTGTTTTTTTGGTACTACCGAACACTTCGGATTCCTTTAAGCCCGTGTCACACTACAGATTGAAGATCAAGGATTGCGGATTGAAGATTGATATTTGACCAATCGGAATGAAGCAAATCAAGACCGAAGTTCGTTGATTCGTCGAAATCTAATCTTCCAATCCGCAATCCTTGATCTTCAATCCGTAGTGTGACACGGGCTTTAGACGCTGCGGTCAAACGACGCCGAACGTCGCGCGAAATCCATTGATGGCGCTGCTGCTCTGTTCTAACGACGCCGATCCCTCCATCGGACGCCGCGGTCTCTCCTCAGTTTCTCCCTCTCGCCCTTTCTCACTCTCACACATCCCGTGTGTGAAAAGAAAATTTACAATTTTCCGACATTTTCATTTGATTATAGTTTTTTTTATTAACAAATTATAAAAAGCTAAGTTGAAATTCGTAATCAGCGACCCAAAAAATACTTGATAAAAATTCTACAACAATAGTTATTACACTTAAAATTCAATACAATACGAAAATGATCCGGACGCACCGGTGCGTCCGTGCCACGGAAGGGGTTAAAGGCAATCATCAAAGAAAATCATGTCAGTGCACCTCAAAAATTTTACACTCCAATATATACGAATATATACCAATATATCCAATGTATCCGAAATATAGTGTTTTATTATTATTAAATTTTAGATGAAAAGTAGAGAAGTTTGCAGTCTGGATAATTTAACATTTTACAAGATCAAAGAAAAATCATAAGTTGACATTTCGCCCACGGTAGTCTTTAAGGGTGAATTTTCAGACTTGAAGACGGATTGCTTCTAAACACGGACTGCTTCTAAAGACAAGTCCTTTTTCTGATTGAATAGTTTACGTAATAAATAATAAACAATACGCATTCATAGTCGACCATGAGGACTAACCGAAACACCTAGTTTACCGTGGCAATACTAACGTTGCTGTAAGACTGCAGAGACAGAGTTATGAGGAAACTACTGGTGAATTTGATAGGAATTGTACTACGTATCATGATCATCAGCAGATCTTTCTTCTCCCTGATCGTCAGCAGAGGCCAATCCGTGTGGTATATCGCGTCTCCTACATTCGTACTCTATCGACATGGCAGTAACAAAGTGACTATTCAGCAGTGACAGTCACACAGTTCGCTGTCAACTCTAAATCCAATCTCACTCCGGCTCCAGTCGGAATTTCCCTCCTACTTACGACCCGAATATACCGACATTTGTAGTTTTCAGGGTAGCATTTAACGGTAGCATTTGTCTGTACAAGACTCGAGCTTCTGCTTGCACGTCCAATAAGCGCTCAAGTGCTTCTCATTTGGCGTCTCAACGATGAATCAAATTTTCAAGCCAAAGGGCTAAAAATTCCTCCTGCTCCTTCGGCTAGAAGGAGAGCTAGAGCACATCAAACGATTGGATCGTCCAGAGTAATAAACGGATGAGCCTCAAACACAGGAACATCTCGGAATAAAAGCATCGGGAGGGTCTGAAGTAGAAGAAAAATGTCGACTCTCCCGGGACGGAACGGAAGACGAAGACGCAAATGGGCCCCTTACCTTAAGTATGACTTCGTTCCCGGACCAGCAATAGACATAAATTTGCACAAACATGCAGATGGTGTATATCACCATGGTCGCAGCTGCGGACTCCATGATGTGAGATGACAAGTAATACACACTGGTACACAGTATCAATATACTGCCGAAGAACTGAACGAAGAGTATCTGATTGAACACGTTGTTCACCGTTCTGGCGTACCTGCGATGCGCGTCGGATGAGACAACTCAGTACCGCTCGAGATTTCACATCGCGAACATGCGCAAGGACAGTAACATGCATGACTAACTCGTAAATACAGAGGTGATGACGTATGTAGCCGGAAATCATCCCCTTCTCATGAAGCGGCGGAGCGACCGAAGAGCATCCCGGCTGCTTGCCAGCGACTTCCCCAGCCGTCCTGCTGATCACCAGTTTGTGCAGACGCCTCTCCAAGATCTTGAGTTGCGCGCATGTTTGCAGAAGCAGACCGAACACGAGAGTGTCCGTGCTGATGTTGATGACGGTGGCGAAGATTGAGGAGAATATCTGTTGAATCGACGTGATCCAGAAGGCCAAGGATAAAGTAGAGTCGTACGGCAGCCACGCTCTATAAGGCAGAATACCCTGCATGGCGTTCAGTACCGATCTGATGGTGACGCCCGTGACGGAGCCAGTGGCGAGAAGCGAGTACTTGATCGAACACGACCTGGAAACGTGAGTGCCACATTGATGTCGCCAAAAAGAAAGCACGATCCGACGTACAAAGTGAGTGCAGTGAGCTCGCGATATTTTGCCCGAAATTCGAAGGACATTTCTGGCGAGAGGCGTTCCCTGTGCTACCAGACGTCGCAATTCACATGGACTTGAGCGTTATTACGACTCCTGACGACGTGGAGGAAAGGCACATTTCGCCAGATCGAAGTTACACGGGAAAAATTCACGTAACTGATTTCCCGTTCTCAAAGGACGAGTCCAGTCGAGAGAGAGAGAGAGAGAGAGAGAGAGAGAGAGAGAGAGAGAGCGAGAGAGAGAGAGAGAGAGAGAGAGAGAGAGAGAGGTTGCGGCGAACGGGAAGATTCTGAGTGCAGTTCTTTTTCTTTTATAAACAAATATCTTGAATGAATTTTACAGATCCGATATGAAATTCGGACTTAACAATCTGAAGAACCTTTACACCATGCATCTGATTAAAATTTATATAGATTTGCACTAATTTACCTCTATATGGTCACATTTGATCCACTATCTTAATCCGACTTGAGATTTGTAATCGGCGAGCCGAAAAACATAGTAATGCAAGATTTCACGGAAATCCGTCGACTAGAGAAAATATGCCATTCAAAAAGTCAAACGACGATTTCTACGAAACGATTCGACCGAAGACCCATCGTGCTTCCGGCCGTTGGCCGAGCGGAGCGACGTACCTGATAAACTCGTCGAACTTCGTCTGTATCGCCGCTTCGTCCGCATCCTGGGGCTTGCACGGCTTCCGCGACAACGTCTGCACCAGATCGATGATCATATCGCGACGTACCATCGCGGTCGTCGCCTTGCAGCAAACAATGACGATGGTCATGAATATAAGGGAATTCGTGATGAAGTCGTCTACCTTATCGACCACGAGAACGAGATCCATGAATTGGGTCACCATGAGGAAGTACATTGGGACTATCGTGCAAAAGCTGAAGACGTTATATAGCAGCTTGGCGCAGCTTGACGTCCACTCGACCGGTCGCCATATGCCTCCCATAGTGTATAGGAAAAAATTGAACGAAAGCAACTCCATGCTGACGATCGCGCGGCCGCGGTCTCTATCGGGACATCATACGCGCGCGACACTTTGCTATCTCTGACGATGCTGAGGCGGTTAGTTACCGTGATTAATTATCGCGAGCGGTCTCGGTCGGCCTTAAGACGAATCGAGCTCGAGCGACGTGCGCGTGTCACATGTTGGCACCGGGTGTCATTTTCGCTTTTTACGTAATTACGTAAAGTGAATTTGTTTTGGCAACGTCGGTATAGAGAACGTCGGTATAGAGGAAAGAAAACGTGCGCTGGTGCGTGATCCGCAAACGACTCAGGAATGTAACTTCTTCTCGATATCGCGGAGAAACCGGCGAAGAGACACAACAAACATAGACGATAGCGCGAACTACGATACTCTCTGCGAGTTCCAACGGCATTTTGTGGCTATATCATTAATGACGGTCATTAACGAAACGGAGTCTCTGTTACGCTGGAACACTGCGCTGCCGATGGATATTATTCTTCAGGGTTACCTTTTTCCAGCTAAGTTTCCCTCGTGCCGCTCATAAATACTGCAGCATCGCTTTATTTGCAGCGTTTAACGGCCGCCGTCGCACGCGAGATATACCGCGTCGTCGCCTTGCCGTCCCATGGAATGTTTATGGATTCTAATGTCGCGTCGTCGGCGATTCGATTTCTTGTTAAATTGTGCTTCTCTCACGAGAGTGAAGTTTTCCATGCCTTTCGATAGGACGCGGTCGGGGGGAGGGGACAATGTGCACTGCGCAATCCCGGAGGTGTTCTCTTCAAGTTTAGTGTCCCCTTGTCAAGTGGAACGACAGAACGTCGGGAGAAAATGTGTCAACTGTCGAACACGCGCGAACTTTTGCCCATTACGGAGCGGATTTCGATTTTCATTTCTGTCCTCAGCCGAAATCATAGCCGCTTTGGCGCAAGTGAGTCGGGATTCAGGCTGTTCGCTTTCCGTTTGTTTTTCTCGCGAGTGTGCCGATTTGTTGCAATCGCGTGATTCGGACGTGGGGAACAATGCAAACACGCAGGCGGGGATTTTCACGTCTACGTAACCGCTATTATTGTACACATATATGCTACAGCGCTGTTATCGTTGTCATTACTTCCGGGCGCGATTACGCGTTATTCTCGACTGTTTCCACCTCACGACTGTTGCAGCACGTTAAACGCAGAGTACGACGTTTTCAGAATCTGAAAGAGACGCGCAGTCAGTCACTCGAAAATAAAGTACATATGTCAGGTGTTTCGGTTAACCTTAAAGGCAATCATCAAAGAAAATCATGTCAGTGCTTGTCATAGGCGAAAAAAATTGTGCCCTCCAATATATACATTTTTTATTTTAGAAATAAAAAATGTTAAACCGATGTAATCAAATGTTTCATTATTATTAAATATTAGATGAAAAGTAGAACAGTTTGCAGTCTGGATAACTTAACATTTTATAAGATCAAAGAAAAAACCATAAGCTGAAATTTCGCCCATGATAGCCTCTAAGTGTTAATTTCGAGACTTTAAGATGGATTGCTTCTGAAGGCAAATTGCTTCTAAAGACAAGTCCTTTTTCTGATCGGATAGTTTACGTAATAAATAATAAACAATACTCATAGTCGATCCTGAGGACTAACCGAAACACCTAGTTTACCGTGGCAATACTAACGTTGCTATAAGACTGCAGAGACAGGGTTATGAGAAAACTACTGGTGAATTTGATAGGAATTGTACTACGTCTCATGATCATCAGCAGATCTTTCTTCTCGCTGATCGTCAGCAGAGGCCAGTCCGTGTGGTATATCGCGTCTCCTACATTCGTACTCTGTCGACACGGCAGTAACAAAGTGACTATTCAGCAGTGACGTTCGAATCACACGGTTCACCGTCAGCTCTAAATCCAAGCTCATTTCCGGCCCGCGTCGGAATTTCCCTCCTACTTACGACCCGAATACACCGACATTTATAGTTTCCAGGGTATAACGGTAGCGTTTGTCCGGACAAGACTCGAGCTTCCGCTTGGTGCATGTGGAATAAGCGCTTAAGTGCTTCTCATTTGGCATTTCAACGGTGAATCACATTTTCAAGCCAAAATGCTAAAAATTCCTCCTACCCCTTCGGCTAGAAGGGGAGCTGGAGCACGTGAATCGATTGGATCGCCCAGAGTAACAAGCGGATGAACCTCAAACACCGAACATCTCGGAGTAAAAGCATCCGGGGGTCTGAAGTAGAAGAAAAATGTCGACTCTCCCGGGATGGAACGGAAAACAAAAACGCAAATGGCCCCTCACCTTAAGTATCACCTCGTTTCCGGACCAGCAATAGACATAAATTTGCACAAACATGCAGATGGTGTATATCACCAAGGTCGCAGCCGCAGACTCCATGATGTGAGATGACAAGTAATACACACTGGTGCACAGTGTCAATATACTGCCGAAGAATTGCACGAAGAGTGTCTGGTTGAACACGCTGTTAACCGCTCTGGCGTACCTGCGAGGCGCGTCGTGTGAGACAACTTGCTACTGCTCGAGATTTCGCAACGCGAACATGCGCAAGAACAGTAACATGCATGACTAACTCGTAAATACGGAGGTGATGACGTATGTAGCCGGAAATCATCTCCTCATGAAGCGGCGGATCGGCCGAAGACCACCCCGGCTGCTCGCCAGCGGCTTTCCCAGTCGTCCTGCCGATCACCAGTTTGTGCAGACGCCTCTCGAAGATCTCGAGTTGCGCGCACGTTTGTAGAATCAGGCCGAACACGAGAGTCTCCGTGCCGACGTTGATGATGGTGGCGAAGATCACGGAGATTATCTGCTGAATCGACGTGATCCAGAAGGCCAAGGATAAAGTCGAGTCGTACGGCAGCCACACTCTGTAAGGCAGGATACCCTGCATGGCGTTCAGCACCGATCTGACGGTGACGCCTGTGACGGAGCTAGTGGCCAGAAGCGAGTATTTGATCGAGCATGACCTGGAAACGTGAATGCCACATTGATGTTGCCAAGGAGAAGGCACAATCTGACGCATCAAGTGGATGCAGTGAGCTCGCGATATTCTGCCCGAAATTGTCGCGGGACGTTTCTGGCGAGAAGCGTTCCTTAAGTTACCAGACGTTACAATCCGCATAGACTTAATTTTTTTAAACGTTATTTCGACTCCTGATGATGTCAGGAGGAAACGCACATTTCGCCAGATCGAAGTTACACGAGAAAAATTCGCGTAACTGATTTTCCGTTCTCAAAGGACGAGTCCAGTCGAGAGCTTGGTTGCAACGAACGGGAAGATTCTGAGTTCTAAGCAGTTCTTTTTCTTTTATAAACAAATATCTTGAATGATCTCATCTCCCTTCCGGCCTTTCGCCGAGCGAAGCGACCTACCTGATAAACTCGTCGAACTTCGTCTGTATCGCCGCTTCGTCCGCATCCTGGGGCTTGCACGGCTCCCGCGACAACGTCTGCACCAGGTCGATGATCAAATCGCGACGTACCATCGCGGTCGTCGCCTTGCAGCAAACAGCAACGATGGTCATGAACATGAGGGAATTTGTGATGAAGTCGTCCACGTTATCGACCACGAGAACGAGATCCATGAATTGGGTCACCATGAGGAAGTACATCGGGACTATCGTGCAAAAGCTGAATACGTTGTACAGTAATTTGGCACTGCCTGACGTCCACTCGACCGGTCGCCATATGCCTCCCATAGTGTATATGAAAAAATTCAACGAAAGCAGCTCCATGCTGACGATCGCGCGACCATGGACTTCATCAGGGCATCGTACGCGCGCGACTCTTCCTTACCTCTGACGACGCTGAGACGATGCGATTAATTATCGTGATTAATTACCGCGAGCGGTCTCAGCCGGCCTCAAGGGGAACCGAACTCGAGCGATGCGCGCGCGTCGCATTTAGCGTCGGGTTTTATTTTTTCTCCTTTTGCGTCATTGTGTGAAATGTACTTGGATTGGCAATGAGAACGTTGGTACAACGAAAGGAAAAGAAACGTGCGCTGTTCGCGCGTGATCCGCGCACGTATTAATTGTATTAAAACGCCCGGTCTCGGGAATATGTGTGTCGCAGCGGGCTACTTTTTCTTCTCTTTCTGAGATATCGCTTCTCACGCTTGTCTATCCGGCACAATGTAACGGGACATCTTGACTCAGGAATGTCACTTTTTCCCGATATCACGGAGAAACCGGCGGAGAGACGGACATAGACGATAACGCGGCGCGGACTACGGTACTCTCTGCGAGTTCCGATGGCAATTTGTGACTATGTCATTAATGACGGTTATTAATGGAGAGAAGCTGTATCGTGTCTCTCTGTGCATGAATTACGCTACTCGCGGCTCGCCTTGCCGTTTCCTCGCTGCCGCTCATGAATATTGTAAAGTCGCTTTATTCGAGACAACTGAGGGCGGTCGTTCCGCGCGTTCGAGCTGATTTCCGTATTTCCGGCCGATGAAACGTTTATTGATTTTCATGTCGCGTCTTCGGCGACTCGAAATATTAATTTGTATTTTCCGCGAACTTATGTCAGCCAACTGTACAGCGCGACAAGGAGGCGACTGAGGCGCAGCACAATTGGATCCGCAAGTTTACTGCAAGTCCGTCTGTCTTCCGCTCGCGAGCCACGACGAGTACCGGAAGAAGACGTGTTGCAGCTCTGGCATGTACACGCCGAGTGTTTTGCGTTCGATAGTTAAGGTATTTTTGTTGCAGGCAGTACGATCTTTTGTAAAGACGTCTTCCCAAATAATGTAACCGCACGTGTATATGGTATATGGACGATTCAGAAATTAGATAGCATTATTTTCCATGAGTGATGAAAGAGATGCGACCTAGACAAGGTCGAGTTCGAAGCACGTAAGTGAAAAACTTTACTCATGTACGACCTTTGTAATTTATTAGAAACTGTGAAGCATCATTACGATGGATATACTTCCGGATATACTTCCGATCAGATATCCGACATACATCTCATCTCAAGGCCGTTGCAAGACGTCGAACGCCGAATATTCAAAACTTGAAACGGGATCTTGTACGATCTCTTACACGATTATTTACTATTGTATATGAAAGTAGTATGGTCACATTCTAAATGTGTCAAGGACATGCAAAAGTTTATCGGATTTTTAGCGACACTCTTTTAAATTATGGTCCAAGTTTGAATTTGAATTTGATGTTGAGAATCGAAATTCGTCTTTTAATTTCGCAGAGAACAACCAGCGCCAGCTCTCATTGATTTTTCATTCATTATATTGTATTAAGCGTAATCGCGAACTTTTCAGGCACAGTGAAGCGTCCGAATTATCATATGTCGTTATAATTTGAAATTATCCGTCCATTATGCCATCCAGCATAATTCTACCGCCGCATTTCAGGCGGTCGTTTCCGAACCGATGAAATCATCGACAACGATCCAACGAACTTTTGCAAGCTAGGTCTATCAGTTCGTCATCGTCGCCAAGATACGACAGGCGAGTGAGACAGTTCGCCGAACATTTCAGGATTGTTGTAGCACGTTAAATGCCGAGTACGACGTTCTCAGGATCTGAAAGCGAAATTAGAACGTGAACAATTGTATCTTGAGAGAAAATGGCGCGGGGCACCGCTCGAGTATCGAGAGAATCGGTACTAACGTTGCTGTAAGACTGGAGAGACAAGGTTATCAAGAAGCTGCTGGTAAACTTGATGGGGATTGTGCTACGCATCATGATCATCAACAAGTCCTTGCGCTTGCTGACCGGCAATGAGAACCAGTTCACGTGGTAGACTGCGTCCGCTAAGCTCGCACTCTGAACGCAACAGAACATTAGAAGAGATGAAAAGAGATCGATAAGAGGATAACCGCTCTCCGGTTTTCCGGTCGACTTTTCGGCGTGACGGTTTGTGAATTGCGACTGCAAAAATGCAGGGGACCCGCATGCTGAACGTCAAGCGGCAGAATATGTCAAATGTTGCAAGCTTGCAATAAGAAAAAAACAAAAATAAAAAAAAAGTAAAGTAATAAATTTGTTCCACGTTGTTAAGCCGTTGAGCCTCTGCTAGTACGAGGGCAGTCTGAAAAGTTGTCGGCCTAACAATGAGAGAAAATTTTTTTTGCCGTGAAATATATTTTATTTTTCAATATAATCTCCTGGAACTTCAATACATTTATCCCAATGTTTTTCCAATAATTCAATACCATCATTAAAGTGTGATTCCGGAAGGTTTTTTTCGCTCCGGTGGATCGTAGCGGTGGATCCAAGTTCATCAACAGTTATGAAACGACGCTTGAAATCCATGTTATTTTGTTCAAAACGATCCAAACACGCTTGAGAAATACGCATTCGAATGCGTTTTTGGTCAATTGTCAATAGCAAATGCGGCACCCATCTTGCACGAAGCTTTTTCAACTGGTGCTACTACTCGAATGACTTGACAGATCGAATAAAATTTTACAAGGGGTTTATATCAGGGATGCCACTTTCCAACACAATGATAGTTTGACAGTTTCTAATGCCATGTATGTGTCAGGTCGAGAATTTTTTCAGACTGCCTAATACTTCTTTTTGCACCTGGACAATTTTTCATATTCTTTCTATGCCAAATGTATTCTTTTCTGATGGACCCCGTCTGGTAACGTTGCGAAACCAGAATAAAAAATGCACCGGCAAACTTCGTCGTACCTTGAGAATAACTTCGTTTCCGGACCAGCAATAAACCAAGATTTGCGCGAACATGCAGATTGTGTACACCACGATACCCAGAGCCCCAAGCTCCGTGATGTGCGCCGACATGTAATACACGCTCGTGCACAACACCAGTATACTGCCGAAAAACTGGACGAACAGCACCTGGTTGAACACGCGGTTCACCATTTTGGCGTACCTGCAATGCGCAGCGAGCACGATAAAGCCTGGTATCGGCTGCGATTTCCGGCGAATGAGCTGGATGCACATGTAACTAACGTGTAAATTCTCAGATGGTGGCGTATGTGTTCCGAGATGACCATTTGCTTCTTGTTCGGCAAGGAAAGTGGCTGATTCGCTCGGTAGCCGGCCGTTTCGTTATTGACGATCTTGTTGAGGCGGCACTTGAGAATGTCCAGCTGGGCGCACGTTTGCAGGATGAAGCCGAACACCAAGGTCTCCGTGCCGACGTTGATGAAAGTGGCGAAGATCAGAGAGACGATCTGATGGATCGATGTGATGAGAAACAACGACGATTTACGCGAGTCGTAAGGCAGCCATACTCTGTAAGGTAAATGACCCTCTATGATGCTTATTACCGACCTCAATGTGACGCTCGTCACGGAACTCATTGCTAGAAGCAAGTATTTTATTGAGCATGACCTGCAAATACAAAATATCCGAGATTACTTTCCACAAACTTGGAAAAGAAGACAAAGAGTGGTGTGAACCGATCGTTTCGTATCTCCAGATGAAATCACGTCACAAAAACGCTCCGACTTGTACATTAACTTTACTGACTGAATTTAATTACCAATAACACGGTAGAAGAAGGTAACTTAAGACACGTGTATCCCTTTTCGTTCGTCTTATCGGCCAACTTGTACTTTCTAACAACGCACGCAACTTTCTATTAATTGATTATCAGGCCTGAGGCCTGAGGAGACGCGAAAATGTCGATGAGCAAATGATGGCGGTGGAAATTAGCCGACGTGGAAATTAGTCACATGGAGATTAGTACCAACCGGATGAACTCGTCGAATCTCGCCTGGATGGCCAGTTCGTCCTCGTCGCGAGGCCTGCACGGCTCCGTCAGCAGCATCTCCACCAGACCGGTGATCGCGCCCCGACGTAACACGACGACCGTGGCTTTGCAACAGACGGAAATGATGCTCACCAGCATCAGGGAGTTATTCGTGAAATCGTCTATGTTATCGACGATGAGAACAATATCCATGAGTTGAGTCAGCACCAAGAAGTACAACGGGACTACCGTGAAGACGGTGAACGCGCTGTAGAGCAGTTTAGCGCAGCTGGACGACCAACTGATGGGCCGCCATACACCGCTGAGGCTGTATATAAGAAAATTCAACGAAAGCAGTTGCATGCTCACGATCGCGCGAGACCGCTGAGAGGATGCGGTTAATTATCGCGACTAATTTTCGCGGGCGCAGACGATCAGTCTCGCGGCTGGCCGTCAAGGTGAACCGAGCTCGAGCGACCTGCGCGTGTCACATTTGCCGTTGGGAATCGTCAGCTCGGGCGGCTCTGTATCGCCGGACCCTGTGCTGAAAAACGAGTCTCGCTTTTCCACGCGACTCTCAGAGACGCGTCACCCTCGTCGCAGCGAAATTGACCTAGCAGAGCGAAACCAAACGAGGCTCTCCGCCGCTCTCGAACGCTGCGGACGTCGGGAACCTTCGCGTGTTGATCCTCTACTAACGCGTTCGCCGCTATGATCTTGTTCTTTTTTCTTTTCAATTGTTTTAATTAATTAATTGATCTAATTAATTTATTTTTAACTTCTAATTTTCTTCTAATTTTTTTTCTTTCATTGTGTGTAAATTGTTTTGGCGACGAGGAGGCGTCAGAATAGAAGGAGAAAAAGAAACGTGCGCTATTCGCGCGTGTTCGCAAACGTGTTAATTGTATTAAAAAATTGGCTTCAGGAATTTTGCAGCGGGCTACTTTTCCTTCTCATTCCGAGATATCGCTTCTCGCGCTTTTCTATCCGGCACGACGTAACGGGAATGTCTTGATTCAGAAATTTTCTTGATATCGCGGAGAGAGACAGAACGAACATAGATAATCGCGCGGCGCAAGCTACGGTAGCCCCTGCATGTTCCGACAGCGTTCAGTTTCACGACTATGCTATTAATGACGGTCATTAATGAAGAGGAGTTATACCATGTCCCCATGCGAGAATTATGCTACTCGCGGCTCTCTCTCTTACAGTTTACTCCCTGCCGCTCATTAATATTGTAAAACCGCTTGTTTCAGACAACTGGGAGCGTTCCGCGTTCGACCCGGTGCGTTCGAGCGCATTGCTGCATTCTCGGTCGATGAAATATTTATCGATATTTATGTCACGTCGTCGGTAACTCGAGATATTAGTTTGTATTTTCCCTGGACTTAGGCCGACCAACTGTGCAAGCGTCGCGGTGTGACAAGAAGGCAGAAGCTGAGGCGCAGCACAATTGAACGTGTTCCACAAGTTCACGCTAAATCTTCGCTCGGTCTTCCGCTCGCGAACTACGATGATTGCCGGAGCGAAATGTACTGCAACTCGGGCATGTACACGGAGTGTTTCGATGGAAAAGCTATCGTTGTCGCAGGCAACACGATTTTTTTAAAGACGTCAAACCAAATAATGTAACCGCACGTGAATATATGAACGACTCAGACACAGGCAGCATTATGTTATTTTCCACGAAAGGTAAAAGAGATATAGATCTAGATTTATATGATAAAGATAATATTTTCGAGAAAGGTCATAGATGAGATGTTTCGCAACCTGTATCCCGTATCATAAAATAAAAGGAAAGATGGTTAAACGTACCCACTGCGTTCGATTTGTTTCAATCAATTTCTAAAAGATCGATTTTTTTCTCAAATAATCGCGCGTCACACTAATTCACACTTGCAAGATCAAAGCAAGTATCAAAGTAATGAAATAGAGATCGCAGTGTCGCGTGAATACGGAATGTGCCGAATATTCGATACTAGACAACAAGGTAGAATTAAAAACACGTAAGTGAAAACTTTGCAATGTATGATCGTTATAATTTATTAAAAATTATGAAGTATCGTTGCAACATCCGAACTTCCGATCAGTCTCATCTCAGGATCGTTGCACCACCGTTGAACACCGAATATGATGTTTTCAGAACTTGAGAGAAGAGACTGTACACGATCTCTTACACGATTGTTTACTACATCAAAGCAATGTTATCATCATTATAAATGTGCTAAAGGCATGCAAAAGTTTATCGGATTTTTAGCGAGATTTCTTTTCATGATAGTACAAGTTCGAATTGGAATTTGACGTTGAGAGTCGAAATCCGTTTGTTTAATCCCGCTGCGCGGGCAACCAGCGCCAGCTTTCATCAGCTTGTCATTGTATTGAATTGTGTTATGTGTAATCGCGAACTTTTCATGTATAGTGAAGCGTTTCAATTTTTACATGCTGATAAAATTTGGAATTATCCGTCCAGCAATTTCTGCCATTTTTCAGACGTTCTGGTCGTTGCTGAGCCGATGAATTCATCGACAACGATCCAACGAACTTTTGCAAGCTAAGTCTGTCAGTTCGCCATCGTCGCCAAGACGCGACAGACGAGAGAGACGGTTCGGTGAACATCTCAGGACTGTTGTAGCACGTTAAATGCCGAGTACGACGTTTTCAGGATCTGAAAACGAAATTAGGACGTGAACAATCGTGTCTTGAGAGAAAATGGCGCCGAGCAGCGCTCGAGTATCGACTATTGAGTGAGTTAGTACTAACGTTGCTGTAAGACCGGAGAGACAAGGTTATCAAGAAGCTGCTGGTAAACTTGATGGGTATCGTGCTACGCATCATGATCATCAGCAAATCCTTGCGCTCGCTGACCGGCAATGAGGACCAGTCCGCGTGGTAGACTGCGTCCGCTAAGCTCGCGCTCTAAACGCAACAGAACATGAAGAGAGACGAGAAAAGACCAACAGAGCGGTGTCGCTCTCCACTCGATCGACTTTTCGGCGTGACGGTTTGTGAATTGCGACTGCAAAAATGCAGGAGACCCGCATTCTGATCGTCTACCGCGAAATATGTCAAAATGTTGCATCAAGACGACAAAAACATACGTGGTGAATTTGTTCCGCGTTATAAAGCGTCACTATAGTGACCTCCTTTTCGTCCCTCAAAATTTGGATAACAATTTTTTTCTATGCCAAATGTATTCTCTTTCGACCGACTTCGTCTGTCGAATACTAGTCTCACGCCCAGGATAAGGAATACAAACTTGTCGTACTTTGAGGATAACTTCGTTTCCAGACCAGCAATAAACAAAGATTTGCGTGAACATGCAGATTGTGTACACAATGTAACCCATGGCGTCGGGCTCCATGAGATGCGTCGATATGTAATACACGCTCGTGCATAGCACCAGTATACTGCCGGAAAATTGCATGAACAGCACCTGGTTGAACACGCGGTTCATCATCTTGGCGTATCTGCAAGCGTATATGCAGCGAACACGATAAAGCCTAGCGTGAGGGTGCAAATTCTTGCGAACAAGGCGGACATGTGACTAACTTGTAAATTCTGAGGTGGTGGCGTATGTGTTGCGAGATCACCGTTTGCTTCATCTTTGGCAAGGAAAGTGGCCGATTCGCTCGGTAATCGGCCGCTTCGTTATTGACGACTTTGTTGAGACGGCACTTGAGAATGTCCAGCTGCGCGCACGTTTGCAAGAAGAAACCGAACACTAAGGTTTCCGTGCCGACATTGATGAAAGTGGCGAAGATCGAAGTGACGATCTGATGGATCGACGTGATGAGAAACAAGGACGGTTTACGCGAGTCGTAAGGCAGCCATACTCTGTAAGGTAATTGTCCTTGTATGATGTTCAACAACGATCTCAATATGATGCTCGTTAGGGAAGTCACTGCCAGAAGTAAGTATTTTATTGAGCATGACCTGCGAATACAAAAAGCTCGAGATTACTTTCCACAGACTCTGGGAAGGAAACAAAGAGTGATGACCGTAAACCGATCGTTTCGATCGATCTCGACAGAAATTCAGTATCACGCCGTAGTTTGCACAACAGAGGAAAATAATTCGAGACATGTGTATCTTTTAGTTCGTCTTATCGGGCCGTACAAGTTGTATTTCCTAACAACACACAACTTTCTATCAATTGATTACACGTGGCCTGAAGAGTCGCGGTAATATCGACGAGCTAACATGGCGCTGGACGTGGAAATTAGTCACATGAAAATTAGTACCAACCGGATGAACGCGTCGAATCTCGCCTGTATGGCCAGTTCGTCCTCGTCGCGAGGCTTACACGGCTCCGTCAGCAACATCTCCACCGACCCGATGATCGCTTTCCGACGCAATATGGCGACCGTGGCCTTGCAACAGACGGAAATCACGCTCACTAGCAGCAGGGAATTATTCGTGAAATCGTCCATGTTATCGACCACGAGGACGACATCCATGAGTTGAGTCAGCATCATGAAATACAACGGGACTACCGTGAAGACGGTGAACGCGCTGTACAACAGTTTAGCGCAGCTGGACGACCAGCCGACAGGTCGCCATATGCCGCTGAGGCTGTATATAAAAAAATTCAAAGAGAACAGTTGCATGCTAACGATCGCGCGCGGCCGCGGATTTTATCAGAGCATCGTGCGCACGCGGCGCTTCTCTACCTCCGCGAGACCGCTGAGAGGACGCGGTTAATTATCGCGATTAATTTCCGCGGACGCAGACGATCGGTCTCTGTTAAGGTTAAGGAATCAAGCTCGAGCGGCGCGCGCGTGTCGCATTTGGCACCGGGAATCGTCAGCGCTGGGGTGTGCTTCGCCGAACACCGTGCTCGAGAAAGGGTGTCGCTTTTCCGCGCGTCCTTCGGGGACGCGTCACTCTCGTTGCAGCGAAATTGACCAAGCACGGCGAAACCAGACGAGACTCTCCGTGTCCGACACTACGATCGCCGGGAATCTTCAAGTATTAATCTTCCGTTAACGCTACCTCGCTACCTGATCTTGTTCTTTTCTTTTTTCTTTTTTATGTAATTGTGTGAAGTGAATTTGGTTTGGCAACGAAGACGTCAGAATAGAAAGAGGACAGAGAGAAAAAGGACGCGCGCTGTCGTGGACGCCGCGGACGTGTTGACCGTATCGAAGCAAATGGCGATGGGAATCTTCCTCCTCCCGAGATCTATCGCTTCTCGCGCTTTTCTATCCGGTGCAGTGTAACGACGACGTCTTGATTCAGAAATTCAGAAATAACTTTGTCTTGGCGGTCTCGAAGAGACCAACGACTACGATCGAAAAATGGAGTGTCGCGCGGGGCAGACTACCCCGTGCATGTTCCGACTGGCATTTTATGACTGTGTTATTAATGACGTTTATTAATGAAGAGGAGTTGCGTCATGTCCCCATGTGTGAATTACGCTGCTCGCGGCTTTACTTACCGTTTCCGCCCTGCCGCTCGTGAATATTGTAAAATCGCTTATGTGCGGCAACTGAGGACGTTCCGCCCTGCCGCATTCCTAGTCGATGAAATGTTTATTGATTTTCACGTCGGCTACTATTAACTAGTATTTTCTACAGACTTATGCCGCGGCCAACTGTACAAGTGTTGCAGCGCGACGACGCGACGAGGCGGCGGGGGCGCAGCACAATTGGATGTGTTCCATAAATTAATACCAAATCCGCGGGTCTTCCGTTCGCGAACTACGACGAGTGCCGGAGCAAGACGTGTTGTAACCCAGGCGGAGTGTTTTACGCTCGACAGAGGGGATATTTCGGTCGCGGGCGACACGACTTTTTTCTCAGGACGTCTAGCCAAATCCGTGCAACTGCACGTGGATATGTGGACGATTCAGAAATTAGATAGCATTATGATATTTTCCATGAGAGATGAAAGAGATGCGATCTAGACGAGGTGGAATTAAAAGCGCGTAAGTGAAAAGTACGATCCATTTAATTTATTAGAAACTATAAAACATCATTACGACACATCCGATCAGCCTCATCTCAGGACTGTTGCAACATGTTAAACGCCAGATATGACGTCTTCAGGATCTGAAAAAAGAGATCGCGTACGATTTTCTACACGATTATTTACTATATGAAAGCATTGTTGTCATTCTAAATGTGTCAAGGACATGCAAAAGTTTATCGGATTTTCAGCAACACTTCCTCTGATGATGTTACAAGTTTGAATTTGTATTTGACGTTGAGAAAAAATCGAGATTCGGGTTTCGATTCCGCAGAGAACAACCAGCGCCGGCTCTCGTCGACTCCTCATTATATCGTGTTGAGCGTAATCGCCAACTTTTCAGGCACAGTGAAGCGTCCGAATTATCATATGTCGTTATAATTTGAAATTATCCGTCCGTCCGTGCTGTCCAGCATAATTCTACCGCCGCATTTCAGGCGGTCGTTTCCGAACCGATGAAATCACCGACAACGATCCAACGAACTTTTGCAAGCTAGGTCTATCAGTTCGTCATCGTCGCCAAGACACGACAGGCGAGTGAAACGGTTCGGTGAACATCTCAGGAGTGCTGTAGCACGCTAAACACCGAGTACGACGTTTTCAGGATCTGAAAGCGAAATTAGAACGTGAACAATTGTGTCTTGGGAGAAAGTGGCGCGGGGCGCCGCTCGAGTATCGAGAGAGTCGGTACTAACGTTGCCGTAAGACTGCAGGGACAAGGTTATCAAGAAGCTGCTGGTAAACTTGATGGGAATCGTGCTACGCATCATGATCATCAGCAAATCCTTGCGCTTGCTCACCGGCAATGAAGACCAGTTCACGTGATAGACGACGTCCGTTAAGCTCGCGCTCTAAACGCAACAGAACATGAAGACTGACGAGGTGATGTCGGTCGCTGCTCAATCGACTTTTCGGTGTGACGGATTGTGAATTGTGATTGCAAACATGCAGGTGACTCGCATCCTGGACGTCTATCGCGAAGTATGTCCTCCTGATTCCCGTGATTGTCGGGTTAAGATGTTGCAACGAGCCGATAAAAAGTATGTGCGATAAATTTGTAATCCCGCGTAATGACCTGTTTTTGCCCCTCGAAATTCGGATGATTTTTTTTTTACATTTTTTCTCCATGGCCAATGTACTCTTTTTCAACGAAGACCCCATCTAACGACTCTAGTCATCGCGCGTCCAGAATAAGGGATGCACCCGCGAACTTGAGGTACCTTGAGGATAACTTCGTTTCCGGCCCAGCAATAAATAAAGATTTGCGCGAACATGCAGATTGTGTACACTACGATACCCATAGCCTCAGGTTCCGTGATGTGCGTCGATATGTAATACACGCTCGTGCACAACACTATTATACTGCCGAAAAACTGGACGAACAGCAGCTGGTTGAACACGCGGTTCACCATCTTGGCGTACCTGCAATGCGCAGCGAACACGATAAAGCCTGAGGGTAAAGTCGGATGCGAATTCTCGCGAAGCGAAGCGGATGCGTGACTCACTTGTAAATTATGAGGTGGTGGTGTATATGTTCCGAGATCACCGTCTGCTGGTTCTTTGACAAGGCAAGCGGCCGATTCATTCGATAGCCGACCGCTTCGCGATCGACGATCTTGTTGAGGCGGCTCGTGAGGATGTCCAGCTGGACGCATGTTTGCAAGATAAGGCCAAACACCAAGGTCTCCGTGCCGACGCTGATATAAGTGCCGAAGAATACAGTCACCATGTGCTGGATCGAGGTGAGGAGGAACAACGACCTTTTATTCAAGTCGTAAGGCAGCCACACTCTGAAAGGTAAATGATCGTGTATGATGTAGAGCATCGCCCTCAGCAGGCCACTCATTATAGAGCCCGTCGCCAGAAGCGTGTACTTTATTGAGCACGACCTGCGAATAAAAGAAACCTGACATTACTTTCCACAGACTGTGAGAGAAAGACAGAGAGGTAGGACCGTAAGTCGTTCGTTGCGAATCTAGTCATGAAATTGCATGACGAAAACGAAGCCTGATTGTACAGCAGCTTGACTGACGATTGACTAACTAATAACACAGTAGAAGAAGATAACTCGAGACATGTATTGTACATACATCTTTTAGTTTTATCGTCTTATCGGCCAAGTTGTACTTTCTAACAACAACACGCAACTTTCTATTAATTGATTATACGTGGCCTGAGGAGACGCGAAAATGTGCGATGAGCAAATGATGGCGGTGGAAATTAGCCGACGTGGAAATTAGTCACATGGAAAGTACTACCTACCGGATGAACTCGTCGAATCTCGCCTGTATGGCCAGTTCGTCCTCGTCGCGAGGCTTACACGGCTCCGTCAGCAACATCTCCACCAAACCGATAATTGCTTTCCGACGAAGCACGACAACCGTGGCTTTGCAACAGACGGAAATCATGCCCACCAGAACCAGGGAATTATTCGTGAAATCGTCTATGTTATCGACGATGAGAACCATATCCATGAATTGGGTCAGCATCAAGAAGTACAACGGGACTACCGTGAAGAGCGTGAACGCGCTATAGAGCAGCTTAGCGCAGTTGGACGACCAGCTGATGGGCCGCCATACGCCGCTGAGACTGTATATGAAAAAATTGAACGAAAGGATCTGCATGCCAACAATCGCGCCTTCGTGGAGTTTAGCGGAGCATCGCTGTGACGCTGTGCGGTTAATTACTGCGATTGATTATCGCGAGCGCAGCGTGGCTGGCTCTCAAGGTGAATCGAGCTCGAGCAACGCGAGGGTCTCACATTTGACGCCAGGAATCGTCGATCCGAAGAATTCTGCCTTGCCGAACACCGTGCTCGGGAACGGCTCTCGCTTTTCCACGCGACTTTCGAAGAAAAGCGTCGTTGCTCGTCGATGCAGCGAAATCGTCCTCACAGAGTGTGGAAGCAGGTGAGGTTCCCCGTCTTGAACGTCACTGCGATATCGCCGGGAATCTATACACGTTCGCTGGCATGTTTTATTTCTACTTCTCTTTTTTTTTTACGTAATTGTATGAAGGAAACTCGGTTAGCCGATGTCGGAACGAAGAAAGGAGGAGAGATCGTAGTCCGCGGGCGCGTTAATTGTATTCGGCCTCGAGAATTTTGCAGCGGACAATTTTTTTGCTCTTCTCAAGATATCAGCTCTCGCTCTTCCGTCTATCCGGTACAATGTAACGGGATCTTGATTCAGGAATGTGATTGTTCCCCGATATCGCGCGGAGACACCGGTGGAGAGACAAATCGAACACGGACTATGGTACTCTCCGGATCGGGTCCCGATGACATTTTGTGACCATGTCATTAATAACAGTTATTAATAGAGAGGAGTTACATCGTGCCTCTATGTATTAATTACTACTCGCGGTTCTCTAGCCGTTTCCTCCTTACCGTTCATGAATATTGTAAAATCTCTTATTTGCGACAACCGAGGGCGTTCCGCCCGGTGCGTTCGAGCGCATTGCCGCATTCTCGGTCGATGAAATGTTTATTGATTTTCATGTCGCGTCGTCGGCTACTGTTAACTATTAGTATTTTCTACAGACTTATGCCGCGGCCAACCGTTCAAGTGTTGCAGTGCGACGAGGAGGCGACTGAGGCGCAGCACAATTGGACGTGTTCCACAAGCTCACACCAAATCCGCGGGTCTTCCGCTCGCGAGCTACGACGACTGCCGGAGCAAGACGTGTTGTAACCCAGACGGAGTAGTGTTTTACTTACGTTCGGTGGAAAAGGTATTTTTGTCGCAGGCAACACGATTTTCTTCTCAAAACATCTTCTCAAGTAATGTAACTGCACGGCACAACGTCACAACGTGCATGCACTGAGAGAAAAGTATATGATATTTGGAACCATAATGATATAGTAACTAAATTTTAGTCCGAAATATCATATTTATGGTAAGTATTACCGTAATATCGGTAATAATTACGATACAGGCATAGTGTAACCAAGCACATAATATTTTCACTAAGATGGATATAGTAAGTTAAAATTATTGTATGGATGCAAATATAAAATGGTAAAAGTAAAATAGGTAAAAGTAACTCTTCTATATTCAGTCAATATTACCAGAATATTTGCTAAATGATGACAGATGTAACTATATGAATATTAAATCTCACTATATTTGTGAACGAGAAATTACCATATATGTATGTGGTAAAAGTAACTAAACAATTATTTAAGACAATCGTTGACTATATATTTGTGTTTATTCTACTATATTTTGCAGGTTCCACTATAAACTATGGAACTATAAAAATATGGTTGACGCCAAAATGAATTATAAAATATAGTGAGATTACAGCTAATTCAACTGTATTTTTCTATCAGTGTACGTGAACGACTCAGAAATTAGACAGCACGATATTTTCCACGAGAGAGATGTCATCTGGATTTATATGACAGAGATAATATTTTCAAGAGATGTCACCAATGAGATGTCACTCTCAACCTGTATCATAAAATGTCGTTTCCATAAAATAAAAGGAAACATGTTCAAACGTACTCATGGCGTTCGATTTTTTTCAAGCGGTTTCTAACTTCGATCGGAAGATCAAGAAGCGCTTTTCTAAAACAATCGCCCGCCATTAATTCACACTTGCGTAGCAAGTATCGACGTGAGAAGTAGAGATCGCGGGAATCACGTGAGCACGGAACACGCCGACACGCGATGCCGAAAATGCGATCTAGACGAGAAGGTTGAGTTAAGAGCAACTAAGTGAACATTTTACCATGTATGATCCTTGTAATTTATTAGAGACTATGAAACATCGTTACGACATTCGGACATACTTCCGATCCGTCTCATCTCAGGACTGTTGCAACACGTTGAACGCCGAATATGATGTCTTCAGGATCTGCAAAAACAGAGATCGTAAGGTTAAATGCGCGGAGTGTTTTACGGAGGCGGGGCGATATCGCAAAGGAACTTCCGAGCGAGCATACTAACGTTGCAATACGACTCGAGAGACAGAGTGATCAAGAAGCTGCTGGTGAATCTTATCGGGATCGTGCTGCGTTTCATGATCATCAGCAGATCTTTCTTCTCGCTGATAGATAACAGATACCAGTCCATGTTGTACGCCATGTCTCCCAAGCTCATACTCTGCCGATCCGACCCGACGAGCGAAATCATCGTCCGCGGCCACACGGAATCGATTCATTAAAGCGCTCTATCAGCGGAGAGAGTCACCACGAGTGAATCGGGGGAATCGAGATGACAGTTGGGCGCAAAAATGTATATATCATGTTTTCACCTTGAGTATAACTTCGTTGCCGGACCAGCAATAAAGAAAGATTTGCACAAACATGCAAAAGATGTAGATCAGCATGGTTGTGGACTCGGCCTCCGTGAAGTGCGTCGACATGTAGTACACGCTCGTACACAGCACCAATATGCTCGCGAAGAATTGGAAGAAGAGTATCTGATTGTAGATGTTGTTTGCCGTTTTGGCGTAGCTGCAACGGTCCTGCGTTTAGTAGTCAGTAGTAGCGAACGAAATTATATTCAAGATAAAACGTCCGGTATTTTTATGCGCTCTCATGCGGCTTCGTCAGATATTAAAGTGCACGGCGGGATTTGTTAATTCTTTCTCAATTATTTACTTCTTGCTACTTGAAATTTCTCTTCGAAGTCCGAATAGGCAGCAAGTCCGGCTGCTACACGTAATTTCGTATACTAACTCGGACTAATGATGATCGGATTGTGATTTTGCGCAAGCACGAAGAAACAGATCTGTAACTAACTCGTAAATACTGAGGTGATGACGTATCTGTTGCGATATCATCGATTTCGCCGCATTCGTAGAAGGTGGAACGTCTTTCCGATGACGACGAGTCGTACTGCTGGCCACGAATTTGCGAAGACGACTGCCGAGAATTTCGAGCTGGGCGCACGTTTGCAGGAAGAAACCGAAAATCAAAGTTTCCGTGCCGACGTTTACGACAGTGGCGAAAATGACAGACATGATTTGCTGAATGGAAGTAATCCAAAACATCAGCGTTACGTTCGGATCGTACGGCAGCCACACTCGGTAGGGTAAGAGACCTTGCATGATGTTCAGCACCGATTTGATTGTGACACCTGTCACAGAACCTGTAGCCAAGAGAGCGAATCTTATCGACCACGTTCTGCAAATGCAAAATTACGCACTATATTTATATATACAAACAACATTATCTCCAACATTTTATACTTTCATCAACATATGTATAGATGGTATCACTATTAATTAATTAACTATTAATTGATATCAACACGACAATTCTTACTATTACTAAAATTATTAAGATAATTTTTTTTATTAGTAAAAAAATTGATAATAATAATATATATAGGTATTGCTAATCGTTATTAATTTTATCAATAATAATCCTTATTTTGTCTCACTAGAATTATGAAAATAATTCTTTTTATATTATTAAAAAAATTAATGACACTATGTGTTGGTGTTATCAATCAGTGTTAATTTTATTAGTAATAATTCTTGCTATTGCTGAAATTAACAAGACAATAATTATTGTTATTAGAAAAATTTTGTCGCTGTATGTGTTTTATAACGTGGGTGATGTGTCATTAAAATAAATTCTACTGCGAGAAAAAAAGGGAGTTTTTTAATTCAATTAAAATTGTAACCACCTGCACTAGGAAAAATGTATTGTCGCGTGAACCAAAATCTAGTTGTAACAACAAAATAATTTGGTTAAAATATGCCCAACAAAACTGTTTAGTTCCTGCAAACAAATATCTTGTTTGATCACGGTTTGTTCGTACAACGTATCACTTTTGTTTTATAGCAACCAAAAAGCTTTAACTAAATGAATTTTGTTGAAAATACTATAGTTTTTTCTTAATATATAAAATCTAAATTTTAGTGTGCGGAAAGACAAAATAGTATCCATTGGGTATTATTTTAGTTTATGTAAGATAATATTTCGTTATTATGTAATTTTTATGGAGGAAATTACTAAAATGCTTAATTTTTATATATGATAAGTCTAAGAACAAAATCGTTTGGTTCAGCGAACAAAGTTTAGTTGAGACAACGAAATATATTTTGTTATACAAAACAAGATATTTGGTTGCCATTAAAAAATCAACTAAACAGCTTCGTTAGAGATACTAAACTTTTTTTCCTAATGTGGGCTGGGCTAGACACACACCTGATAAACTCGTCGAATTTCGTTTGTATCGCCACTTCCTCCTCGTCCCGAGGCCTGCACGGCTCGCTGGACAGCGTGTGCACCAGACCGATGATCGCGTCCCGTCGCGTTATGGCGATCGTGATCTTGCAGCCGACGGCGACGGTGCCCATGAAGAGCAGAGCATTAGCGATGAAGTCATCCACGTTATTGACAACAAGAACGATGTCTACGAATTGGGTTATCAGCAGGATCACTATCGTGGCGATCGCACAGGAGGAGTATAAGCTGTACAGTAGCCTAGCGCTGCTGGACGACCACTCCACCGGCCGCCAAATGCCGCTCGCGGAGTATATAAGAAAATTTAACGCGAGCATCTGCATCCTGGCGGTCGCCAAGGATTCAGTGTGATCCGACGTGAGTGAGAGACTCCAGCCGCGGAATCGATAATCAATCTTGAGCGTGGACGCAACGACTTCGCGGGAGATTTTCTATCGATGCATGACTTCCTTTCGATACATAATTTTGTCCCAATGATGCAAAATCCGCCGAACGCGGCTTCAACGCGCTCAGCGACTCCTGGCCGATCTCACTCGACGATCGAACGACGTCGCGACCGCTCGAAGATTTCCCCAACAGCGATTTTCTTCCGCACGAAAGGACCGCTTTCCGACCGGCGCAAATCCGCGCTTTTCTGCAAAAGTATTAGGAGTATATACTCTCTCCCTCGCTCCCTCTTCCCGATATTTAACCCCGGAGCGATACCTGTTATCGTACGTGTGAGCGTAACGTGAGCCCCGATATCGCGCCGGATAATTGAATCCCTAACGCACGCTCGCTCGCAGAGCGGATTCGAACTATTCGCGCGAATTCGCTCTCGCTTCATCTTCGTAATCCTACGCCAGTTAATTGCGGCCATTAGCGAAACCCTCGCGTCGCTCGCTAATTGCGCTGAATTATACTGTGTTGCTGTTGTCGGTTTCTCTTCGCGGTTACGCTCCTGCACTCTTGCCGTTCCTTCTGCGACTCGTCACTCATGAATACTGCAATTCGCCAAGTCGCCGCAGCTGTGACGATTAAATGACGCCGCGCTCCCCGAGCGTACCGCCGTGTTCCCGACGGTTGAAATTTTAATTAACCCTTATGCCATCATCGACGATGGCAGCGTGGAAGATACGGTCTCCCACATTGTACCGCCGACGGTACTTCGGCCGCGACGACCGAACTTAATCGCCCAAGCTACAAGCGAGGGCAAAGCGGGGGATGAGGAGGGCAAGCATGATGTACGGTAAAATAAAATTGCGGCTTCGTAGCTGAGCTTCGACGTATTCTTGCAGGGGGAATCAGTTCGGGAACGCACACACGGATAAGTTTCGCACAAGTTGTATATTAAAAACCATGTTCTCCTCCTTGCTTTCGCTCCCTCCTCTATCTTTCTCTGTCTTTCACTCTCTAGTGTTTATATAGTCTCTCTTAACGTAACATATCACTGACTATCTTTTATATAACTATTTATTATATGAAAGTAGTGTTATTATTCTGAACGTGTTAGGGGTACGCAAAAGTTTGTCGGGTTTTTAGCGGCGCTTCTTTTGATGTCAGTGCAAATTCGAATTTGGACTTGACGTTGAGAATCGCGTTTAGTCTAAGCGTTTGTAATTCCGCTGCGAACAACCAGCGCAGCTTTCCTTAACTTTTCATTGTATTCGATTGTGTCATGTGATTGTGTATTCGCGTTATAATGTTATAGTGTTGGATTATAATTTTGTTAATGTATAACTTTATGGTAATTATGATATAAGTATAATTCTGAAGCAATGTATGTTCTGTTCTCTCTTCTGGGTATATTCGCTCCCCATACTTCGCATGTATTGCCTCATCAACATTATAACGACATAAGAATACAATCTTTTCACTGCACCTGAAAGATCCGTAATTACTCATTGCACAGCCAAGCATTTTTGTTTCTTTGTTGATAATAAGGAGGCAGTGCATGACGTGTTCAACCCTTAAAAGCTATCATCAAAGAAAATCAAGGGTGAAATTTCGCACCAGTATATATTTTAATATTTTAAAAATCAAACAAGTCAATATTTTTATATTATTTTATATTTTAGAAATCAAACAAGTCAAAGTGATACTGAATTAAATGTTTTATTATTATTGAGTGTTAGATTATTGATTATTGATCATATAGATTGAGTATTGATTACCGATTATAGACTGAGTATTGATTAATGATTATAGATTGAGTATTGATTATTGATTATACTATAGATTGAGTATTAGTATCAGATAAGTATTAGAGAAGAGAAATTATTGTTTGCAACGGTTATAAATCTTTTTCAACAAGATTACAACAGAATTCGTACGGAGTGAAATTTCACTTATGGTAACCTTTAAGGGTATATAAATCTGCCATCCAGCAGTTTCTGCCACTTTTCAGGCTCGAGCCGATTTTTTCAGCTGACAAAGTCATCGAAAACGATCCGACAAATTTTTGTAAATTGCTAAACTATTAGTTCACTATCGTCGCCAAGACACAAAAGACTCGCATCGCTCGGTGAACATCTTAGGATTGTTGTAGCACGTTAAATGCCGAATACGACATTTTCAAGATCTGGAAGCGAAATTAGAATGTGAACGATTGCTTCTTGCGAGAAAATGGCGCGGCACAGCGCTCGAGTATCGACTATCGAGTGAGTTAGTACTAACGTTGCCGTAAGACTGGAGCGACAAGGTTATCATGAAGCTGCTGGTAAACTTGATGGGGACCGTGCTACGCATCATGATCATCAGCAAATCCTTGCGCTTGCTGACCGGCAATGGGGACCAGTCCACGTGGTAGACCACTTCTGCCAAGTTCGTGCTCTAGACGCAACAGAACATGAGAAGAGACGAAGAAAGATCGATAAGATGATGTCGCTCTCCACTCGATCGGCTTTTCAGCGTGACAGATTGTGAAATGAGGTCGCAAAAATTCTGGGGACTCGCATTCCGGACGTCTACCGCGAAATATAACCTTCTGATTTCCATGATCGTCGGGTTAAGATGTTGCAATGAGCCGGTAAAAATATATATATGATAAATTTGCCCCGCGTAATTGAGGACGCCGTGGCCTCGCTAATGACCTTTTTCGGCTCCTTGAAATTTTGATGGCATTTCTTTTTTACATTTTCTCTATGACCAATGTATTCTCTTTCAGCAGTGACCCCATCTAATGCAGCCTCTAATAGACTCTAGTCGCGCGTCTAGAATAAGGGATACACCGGCGAACTTGTACCTTGAGGATAACTTCGTTTCCGGCCCAGCAATAAATAAAGATTTGCGCGAACATGCAGATTGTGTACGCTACGATACCCATAGCCTCAGGTTCCGTGATGTTCATCGATATGTAATACACACTCGTGCACAACACTATTATACTGCCGAAAAACTGGACGAACAGCAGCTGGTTGAACACGCGGTTCACCATCTTGGCGTACCTGCAATGCGCAGCGAACACGATAAAGCCTGAGGATAAAGTCGGATGCGAATTCTCGCGAAGCGAAGCGGATGCGTGACTAACTTGTAAATTATGAGGTGGTGGTGTATATGTTCCGAGATCACCGTCTGCTGGTTCTTTGACAAGGCAAGCGGCCGATTCATTCGATAGCCGACCGCTCCGCGATCGACGATCTTGTTGAGGCGGCTCGTGAGGATGTCCAGCTGGGCGCATGTTTGCAAGATGAAGCCAAACACCAAGGTCTCCGTGCCGACGTTCATGAAAGTGGCGAAGAACAGAGTGACGATCTGATGGATCGATGTAATAAGAAACAACGACCTTTTATTCAAGTCGTAAGGCACCCACACTCTGTGAGGTATTTGATCCTGTGTGATGCTCAGCACCGATCTTAACATGTCACTCGCTATAGAGCTCATCGCCATGAGCATGTATATTATTGAGCAGGACCTGCGAATAAAAAAAACCTGAGATTATTTTCCACGGACTGTGAGAAGAAAACAGAGAGGTGACGAGCGCAAGTCATTCGTTTCGAATCTAGACATGAAATTGCGAAAACGCCCTGACCACGCCGATTGTTCAATAGCTTGACTTTTTGAACCGATTGAAATACTAATATTATTATACAGTGGAAGAAGATAATTCGAGACATGTACATCTCTTAGTTCGTCTTATCAGTCAAGCTGTACTTCCTAAATAGACAACTTTGATTAAATGACTTTGCACGTGGCCTGAAGAGACGCGGTAATATCGACGAGCTAATGTCGACGGTGGCACTCGACGTGGAAATTAGTCACACGGAGGTTAGTAGTACCTACCGGATGAACTTGTCGAATCTCGCCTGTATGGCCAGTTCGTCTTCGTCGCGAGGCTTACACGGCTCCGTCAGCAACATCTCCACCAAACCGATAATTTCTTTCCGACGAAGCACGATAACCGTGGCTTTGCAACAGACGGAAATCATGCCTACCAGAACCAGGGAATTATTCGTGAAATCGTCTATGTTATCGACGACGAGAATTATATCCATGAATTGGGTCAGCAAAAAGAAGTACAACGGGACTACCGCGAAGACCGTGAACGCGCTGTAGAGCAGCTTAGCGCAGTTGGACGACCAGCTGATGGGCCGCCATATGCCGCTGAGACTGTACATGAGAAAATTCAACGAAAACATCTGCATCTTCTTAACCTCGGCTGCTTACAACCGCCGACTTGTGGCGAGATTCGTTTCACGAACTGCTGCGTGCCACGAGGGACATTCGCGTTCAGCAGGACGACATGAACTCCGCATTTACTCCTCGAGCGGCGAGTTTCGTTCGTCCGGGCTGACAGTCGCGTGCATCTTCGTTGAGAAGTTTCAGTGCTTCGCGTGCTTTCTTACTTCGATTTCTTCGTACGATTGCTGACTGACGTGGGCAACTTGGTAAACGGGAACAAGGCGTAGATTAGATTCGATAAGACTACTTTCGACACTCTCCGCGCACTCATTCTGATCTCCTCTTCGAGGTATCACTACTCACATCTTGGTCCAATGACACCACGAAGGAGTGTCAAGACGCCGAGGAGAAGGAATGCTCTACTGTCGCGGGGATAAGCGAGTCCCGATCGAAATATAGCGGCTCGCGTGTCGTAAAAAACTGTACGGACGTGCGTTGCTTGCATTTTTCAGCTTTGCGTCTCATTAATTCATTAATGATGCGCAGTCGCTTATTAGCCGTTTACTACCGCCCATTGCAGTGCATGTTACTTTCCTCTTTCATTCTCGCTCCCTCGCGTGTTGTTTCTTTTTTTTTATTTTCATACCACTTATTATGCGACCACCACGTAATTATACAGTGGTTGCGATGTACCGGCTACGATTGAGGGACGCTGGCCTTCTCTTCGCCCTCGGACATGTCACGTTCCCAGCGAATAAAAATTTCATTCTCTCGTGTGTCGTCGCGCTGCGACTTATCGTAAGATTGTATATCCCATGAGGCGCGGCTCTTATTGATTGACTATACAATGTAGAAAGAGGAGGAGCAACACGGGAAGACTGGACAAACACGCACACACATACACACGTATAGATTTCCGGGCCGTCGGAGTGTCTTCTCGTCAGTAGGCGTTGACTCCATTAGAAAACAATATTCATTCCTCTTAGTCGTCGAATCGATCTCAAGCATAAAATGTTGCGTTCAGTTGTGTCTGAACTCTGAATTTGACACCCGTGAATCAAATTGGTTCAAGCGAGGAAAGCGAGGAACGATCTCGCATAATATTTGCCGAATCTCGAATGATTACGCGCAGAGAGATGGAATTCTTTCCCGAAAGTGTACAGAATTTTGTACTTCCTTCTGTGTAGAATTGGTTTCTTAATTGTCCCTTTTGAACAAATTAATAGATACGTTAAGCAGCTGATAGATATTTAAATAAAGATTTGAACAAACGTTAAAAGATACTTTAGACAAGAATGCATCACACAAAAGTCACTCTTACAGGTCCAGTGTGCCAAATTAAGCGATAAAAATCAGGGTGCCGAGAGAGGTCGAGGGCAACTTAAGCTGAATCGAATGTTGGTCGCACTTGAATTCCATACTTATCTCTTTCCTTCGTTACTGACAGGTAAACCTAACCAAGTGTCCCACCCCGATTTTGATGAAATCTTGCATACGTATAGAGCATCGAAAAATATTAGACACGTATTTTTTTATATCGGCTCATGAAGCGTTTTTAGGGTAGAAACCACCTCTAAAATGTCAATTTTTTCGCTTTCTTGTCCTATATATAGATGCTCAATATCACAAAATGTTTGAGAAAATAATGTTTCCGGAGAAACACATCAGTTGCTTTTATGTTACCAAATCCGAATTCACCAAAAAATTTGAGACTGTCAAAATGGTGGATTCAATATGGCGGATCGATATTTGAAGAATATCATGATTCTGTTGTAATTGGCATACATTTGTTAATTTTCTGCGATTTACATATCTCAAGGTCTTCAGAGTAAGAAGCAAATCTAGAATCAGACTTTGAAACTCAAAATGTCGGATTCATCATGGCGGATGAAAATTTGAAGACATTTCTCCATCAATTTTTGAAATTGGTGTATGATCTTGTATGTGGCCTCTCTAGGCTGATGATAATGAGTAAATGAGACGGATGCTTTGCCCAAATAATGAAGATATGTGGACCTATTCGGCTAATGAGTATATATGTGAAGTATATATTATTAAATATAGTTTTTTAAATTTGATTATGTATTACAGTTTTTAATTCTGAAGATCTTGAGATACATGACTCATGAGAAATTAATAAATGTACACGAACTTTTGAAAAATTTGATATTCTTCAAATATTGACCCGCCATTTTGAAAGTCTCAAATTTTCTGGTGAATTCGGATTTGGTAACATTAAAACAGTTGATGTATTCCTCTGGAAACATTATTTTCTCAAACATTTCTTGACATTGAGTATTTACGTACAGGACAAGAAAGCGAAAAAATTGACATTTTAATGGTAATTTCCACCCTTAAAACGCTTTATGGGCCGATATAAAAAAATACGTATCTAATATTTTTCGATGTTCTATACGCATGCAAAATTTCATCAAAATCGGAATGGGACACTTGTGGGGTAGGTTTACTTGTGAGTCTCTCTCTTCAAGACCGATCGCGGATGTTCGAAGCTACGTAAGGAGAGATGTTCGGTTCTACATGATGAATGATTTATTCGTAACGAGTTGTTGTGTACACGGATCGCGAGAGCATATGAACGTTGCTCAAGATTGCTGCAGAACGTTGAATGCGGAGTAGGATGCCTTCAGTAGCTGCAAAGAGACAGAGAAAACAGAGAGCGAGAAAGTTTAGTCGAGGTCGCTAAGGCGCTCAGAGAGCAATGTTGCAGACGAGAGACTGAACATTTCGATACTGACATTGCCGTACGAGTTCAAGGACAACGTCACCAGGAAGCTGCTGGTGAACTTGATAGGTCTCGTGCTGCGCCTCATAATCATCAGCAGCTCCTTCTGCTCGCTGATCGTCATCAGTATCCAGTCCATTTGGTATATCGCGTCGCTCAGGTCTATACTCTGCGCAGATCAAAGAGCGGTTAAAGCTCATGGGATCCTGACCAGGACCTCGCCTCGGGCTTCTCCAAGATGCTCTACCTTAAGCATGACTTCGTTCCCGGCCCAGCAGTAGACGAGAATCTGCACGAACATGCAGAACGTGTAAACGACCATGGTCGCGACGTCCTCGAATGTCAGGTGAGAAGACAAGTGGTACAGACTCGAGCACAACACCAGTATACTGGCGAAGAACTGGGTAAAGAACACGTAATTGTAGATCTCGTTGAGCGACTCGGCGTACCTGCAAACGTCGCACAGTAATTCGAAACACAAAATTTGCGAAAAAAAATATTTATTCGATAAATATTGTAAATCTATTAATACTTTATCATTTATTACATATAAAAGTAGGGAAGTTAAACGCATTAACTTGAAAAATTATAATTCTTTTTAAAAATAATACCGCATATTTAACTGAACTACAACATGTCAGATATATTGCTATTACTATTATCATAATAACTAGATTATTTTTATCTTTTTAACGTTTCATTATTTTTTTTATCATTTTTTATTAAAAAATATGTTTTTTACTAATTATCTTCTTCTGAACTCTTGAAGTTTCATGTGAGGACTCAGATTCTTCTTTTAATTCTTTTATTTCATTTGAAGATATATTAATTAATTTTAAAACTTCAAAATTTAGCGAAGATTTCTTATATTGTTTTATATGGCTGCGTGAACTTAAATATGGATCCGAACTAAGTATTAACCTACGAAATAAATCTTCATTTGTTTTTATATAAGAATATTTTCTTGTAAGATGTTCGCGATAATATCTAATATGTTTATTTTCAGCTTCTTGAGGTTCTTCAGAGAGTTCTCCTATGGGAAGAATAAAATACTTAATCACCGGATCCGTGAATAAGGATTTTGTGTACCGAAATAGGCATATAACAACGCGATATTAGCGCGCGTCGGCATCGAAAAATTGTTGTTACTTAAAAAGTTGCAAGTAACTGCAGCCAAATTGAAGTTACTTATTTTCTTTGAACATTATATTAAATATTTATAATAACTTTTTTCGTTCTTAAGCGTTCGTTCATTTCGTATGGAAAATTTAATTCGAAAATTGTTCAAGTTTTAAGTACTCTTGTTATGTATAATGTTGTAATGCATTTAATAATAATTGATGTGTTTCAAACATGTAATTTTATACATTGAGATGTACTTATAAACATTTATAAACCGCGTTACTACATTTCAATAATAAAAAAAGATATCAAATTTTAAAAGGTTCGAATTTCAGTAGTAAAATTGAGCACTTAACTCAGTCGTAAAATGTTAAATACTTTATGTCCAATAAAACTTTTTAAATAAGTCCTTGGAAAAGGGCGTGTAGTTTAGCTGATAGCTTATTAGTGGAAGAACATAACGTAAAAATTTCGAAGTTTTAGAACAAAGTCGAAAATTTGATTATTTTTCGCGTTTTTCACCGTTCGAACTATTGTGCGTCGGCGCGTGCCGTGTGTCGTAAGTAGGATCTCCAAGCAAATTTACGCTCCCGAAAATCCTCGGGATTCAACATCGCAAATTCCGGAATCTCGGGACTGCAAAATTTAGTACCTGTATAACAATTATGTAATCAGAAGCCGAGAGACTTGGGGACGGCGCTTTAAGACCGTATCACACTAGCGACTCGCGACTGCGGCTGCGCTTGCGATTGCGATTGCGATTCTTCCTCGACCAATCAGAAAGCCGTCCAAAGGACAATCATGGGTCGCAGCCGCGAATCGCTGCTTTCTGATTGGTCGAGGAAGAATCGCAATCGCAATCGCAGCCGCAGCCGCAGTCGCGAGTCGCTAGTGTGATACGGTCTTTAGATGAGTTAATTATTATTTCAAAGATCGCTTTCCCAAAAAAAAGTGAGAATCGACCTCTATTTTTTATTATAAAAGTTTTCTTATTTTTTAATTTTTATCCATTTTTATACTTTATTCATAAAAACTTTATTTTTTCACGGGACTTGTTTAATGATAACTTTGATGTGAATTGTAATTTTACTGTACATTTTTCCGAGTCTATACATAACAAATATAGAAATATCTTGTTTATTAAAAGTTATTTTGTTAATTTGACGAAAGATCTCATTTGTCAGTAGGATGGTAGGAGTTATCTTTTTACCTTAATTCTTTCGTTTTAAAATTTACAAATTTTATTTCCCTTCGATTCTCATTGCTTTAATAAAATAATGAACATTTTTGCTATTTAGGATATTTTGATCATATATTTCCATAAATATCTTTATTTTCTTTATTTTTCGCTGGTATATATGCACAACTTCACGGGGACTGGCTTCAGAAACGTCTCGGGAACATAAATCGTGGCTGAGATCGGAAACCCTAATCGTAAGTCGTGTCAGAGTCTCAAGTGCACCCGATGGCGATGCGCCATCGAACGCAAGCTGACGGCTTCGGCGGTGCGTCAAATAACCCCAGCAGCCGCTTGCAGGACGAACCTGATTATACACAGGTGATGGCAGATGTGTCTGGACAATCTGCTCGCCCCGTTGGACCACACATCGTCGGGCCTCTCGCGAGCTCCTGGGCTTTCGGCCGGGAGCATCACCTTCTGCAGACGGTGCGTCAGGATCTCAAGTTGCGCGCACGTCTGCAAGCAGAGCCCGTACACCAAGGTCTCGGTGGAGATGTTGACGATCGTGCCGAAGACCACGGCCAGCAGCAGCTGAATGGATGTGAGCCAGAATGAGAGGGGCGAGCTGTAATCGTAAGGCACCCACACTCTCAGGGGTAATTGGCCTTGCAGGATGGCGAGCACCGCTCCCATCAAGGCCCCGATGGCGGAACTCGTCGCGAGAAACAAGTAAGATAAGGAGTGCGATCTGCGTACAGTCCCAAACACACGTGTCGAGCTCGCATGACGACTGGTCGACATCGAAGACGGGAGAGAGAGAGAGAGAGAGAGAGAGAGAGAGAAGGGCATCACGACGAGGACTCGGACAACGACATACCAACCTGATCGAACGATCGAACCTCGCCTGAATATCCATTTCCTCCTGGTCGACGAGCTTGCACGGTGGCCGTTGCAGTACCTCGATCAGACTGATGATGCGGTCGCGGCCGGTGAGCGCGGTGACGATCTTGCAGATCGCGCTCACCACCGAGACGAATAGCAAAGAGTTCGTGGTGAAGTCCTTCACGTTGTCGACCACCAGGACGATGTCGAGAAACTGAGTCAGCAGCAGAAAGATCATCAGGTATACCATGAAGACGCTGTACACGCTGTACAGCAAGGTGGAGCCGACGGAGGACCACTCGATCGGCCGCCACATGCCGCTGGCGGCGTACAGCGAGAAGTTCAGGCTGAGTATCCGCATCCCCGCAGCCGCTACAATGAGAAACAATGCATCTCCGCGTCTACAAGGCCGAGGCTATCGTCTGCGTGTTTATGCGATAAGAGACGCGAGATCGAGAGGGGGCGGGGTGTATTCTGGCAGCGGCGATAACGACTCGCAGGACTTGCCGCGGCGAGTGTCCTTCGCGCGAGTAGATTCCTTTCTCTCTCTCTCTCCCTCTCTCTCTCTCTCTCTCTCTCTCTCTCTCTCTCTTCTTCGCAGTCCGTCTCGCTCCCACGGGGAAATAATTGGAGCGAGCGATCGAGGCTCGAGACGGTCGTCTCGCCGGAGTCTCTCTCCTTCACGTCCTCGCGCGTCTCGAATTCGGCGGCGCACGCCTCGACGGCGACTTGCAGCGCGAGGACACGCAAACGGGAGGACGCGTCTCGAGGAAGGCGGGCGATGTCGCGCGCGGCGACAATGACTATCGCGAGGCACTGTCACGAGTGAACGCGCGGCATCCGCGCGCGCTGCTGCTCAAAATGAGGGTTTCATTAATTAATAGCGCGGCGACCGTCGACGGCGCAATCAATATTCAATGTCGCTCGCGGAAAAGTCGCAATTATGACGGTATCAACATAATTGCGAGGAAACGCTACGTTCGCCGTGCGCCTCCGCGAGACATGCTGTCGCGTTCCCAGCCGGCGGAATGACGTTCCATCGCGGAAATGGCGCGCGTCGGACTTTCCGCGGCGGACCCGGAAATGTCGGATTTCCGCGAGCGACTTTTGCATTGAGCGGCGCTAATTGCATCGAGAATGTCTCCGCTGCTTTTCGCGCGGACGAAATCGTACACGCGATGTCGCCGCTTGTGGAAGCTTCCTTTGCGTGTTCCTCGTTGTCTTCAATCGCGTTGTTTAGTTCATCTGGATATTAGTCTCGACACGTTTTAACGCCCGACTTTTTTATAAGTGTTTCAAGAATAAAATTTGAGTTTTCTTGAACTGGGATTATGAGTAGTGATAACCAAAAAAATGTCGGAATTTTATATTGGTTTTCATTTTATCGTTCGTTTTTTTGTTTTCTGGTAAATATGACTTGGATCCTAAAAGCATGTACGAGATGAGTAACCTGTATGGAGGAAAATGAAGGGTAATCTATACGACATAATTCTGATAGTCAGCTTGACATTTTTAAGCTGAAATTTTACTATATTTGTGAGTGAAGTTTATCATTCAGAGCGTCAAGCTTACTATTTCAGAAGAATATCTTATAGATCACCATTTAGATTGTCAATCGTCCCTTCATTTTTCGCCGCGTAAAAAACTGTAGGTCACCAGGTTTCACGAAAATAGCTCGATTTCTTGATTTTCGTGTCCACCATCTTGGATCCGCCATTTTGAATTTCTGTATTCCTTTAATTTCACATTTTGCATCTGAGAAAGCTTCCAAATGTATAAAATTATAACAGATACCAATCTATTCATTTACAGTGCACTTCTGGATGTCAGTAACAATGCTAACTATGCCTACTTGGAATTTGACGAAACATGTTATCATTAAAACTGAGCTAAAAACAGACTAAACCGAATCTACATACAATCTATATACCATTTTTTAGAAGAAGAATTCACCTTTACCTTCACCTTTAGTGGTGCAAAGAAAACGAAAATATCTCCTTTTTTGACTAAGTTATGGATTCTTAAATGCGTTTCTGGTAACTATAGTTATCAGAATAGGCGTTAAAGGGTTAAAAGGACTTAAAGGCCACCATGAGCGAGATTTCACCCGTGTGAATTTTTTTTTGATCTTGCTAAAAGAAGCGACAACAGTAGTCCAACATGGACGCTCAACGTTACCGACGTCTCGATCATAATCAAGTACTGTATGGTGTTGGTCCTGACTAAACGATCATTGAGCGAATGAGCTCGCCTGTTGCGCGAAATGAGGCAGCGTGCGCCGAGCGATCGAGAGCTAGAAGATTTTCGATCACGAAGAAAGAAGCCGATGAGAATGTGAAGCGTCGACTACGACATTTATTATTTACAAATTGTCTGCTACGAAGCCATCGGATCGAGCGAGTCGATTATCGCGACATAGAAAATTCTTTCAGGAGATGTTAGCATTCCCAAACCGAACATCACCATCCCAGTGGTGCGATTCTTTAACTCGTTATTGGAGTTAACGACAGTTTCGTTATCGTTGCGCAGCTTTTGTATACCGTAGAAAAGCTGCGCAACGATAACGAAACTGTCGTTAACAACAATAACGAGGTAAAGAATCGCACCATAGGCTCGATTGGAAGTTATCGCTAATATTGAAGAAACCACAAGAAAGTACGAGAAGCTTGCTCGGCGATGCGCCCGCGGCGTATCGGAAGACATTTCGCAGTATTATCAGCCGCTCATTATCAGCAGCCACCAGGTCTCCACCAGGTCGTCGACATTATCGCCATTCGCCTCGTTCGCCTCTTTCGCCTATAATTTGTTCATGTCATCCATTCGCAGGATATCGCAGGCGATATCGCGATCGCTTGGCCAGTTTACTATTATCTTATGGAAAACTCGCCGCTCCGTTGCCAAGAATGAATCTATTACTGATGCGCTCCATCGCCAGAACATTATCCGCGATTTCGCGAACGCTCTTTCACATCCCCTCGCATTACCGATACCGAATCTGTTCGAGCTTCATTGATCCTTAAACACTAGGACGTCTGAAAATTCAGCCTTTGATATTTTTTATTGGATAAAAGTAAGATTAATTACATGAACCAGAGTAATAATTAATGTATATTTCTTTTTTAAGGGAAGGATTTATGTTCATAAATATCTTAGATCACTTATGCTCAAATTAAAGTTTTTTTTTTTACAGTGAGAGATTATTATTTTCCCTTTAAAAAAATTGTATATGATTTTGAACTATTTTACACATTGCTGCACATTTTTGCCAAATATTTATCAAAAAGAATAAATAAGTAAATTATGGGTAAAAATTCAGCCATCCTAATAATAGAAAGTAACGAAAACATCCTAAAGAGAAAATGTTTAACGGTTTAAAAATATCATCGCCGACGGTTACAGCGATTATCACCGCTGAACAGGTGAGCCTCCGGCAAGTTGGATTCCCTCGAGGAATCTCCTGATCGGAATGTCAGTAGCCGCTAGAAAAAGGAACGTTGGCTCAGCATCGACTTCACGTGTGTCTCTCGAACACGCCTTGAATATCTTTGTCGGTCGGTCTTCTCGGATGGCGCTCTTAGGAGGGCGCTTGGAAAACATCAAAGTGGCGTTTTCGTAACGATGTGTCGACGCAACAAATTATCGGCGAGTCGTCGTGCGACACGAAAAGTGTTATCGAGACAACGATTCGTCAAAGACCGTTTATTCCGAGTTCCGCTCGGATATCTCGGCGGCGACGAGCGACTGCGAGATCTCGCTTATCGACGATCTCGAAGGAAGTTTCATGGAAACCACCCCGCTCGCTCGCGAGTCGTTCCGCTCTCTGAGCGAGAGAAGCGCGGGAGAAAGAAGAGCGTTTGTTCCACGCTCGCCCGCGCGCGGGCTTTCTAAACAATCGCAACGCCGACGCAATCGCTCGCGGGATACGAAGACGCGCCGGAATTGCAGATCGCAGCGGCCGCTCGAGGCGCCGGAAGCCATCGCTCAGGCCAATCGACTAACGTGATTAACGCGCGCCCGATATCCGAAATCCCGTCCCGGCCGCGGCGTATCGAGCGGCGCTCATTCAGCCTGACGCACACGCCGTATTCTGAAAGGGGTCCGTTATGAAAGGTCTGCTTCGACGGGGGCGGGGCGGGGGGGGGAGGAGGGAAGGCAGGGCAGGGCAGGACAGGCGGCTCTATCGTCTCAAGGTAAATCGCCGACCATGAGCGGAATCTTCAAGAACTCCAAGTTCGAAACCGCCTCTCTCTCCACCCCCCTTCTTCCTTGCGCCTTCGTTACTTTGCTCTCGCTCTCTCTCTCCTCCTCTCTCTCTCTCTCTCTCTCTCTCTCTCTCCTCCGCTCTCCTCTCGCTCTTTTCCTCTCTGGCCCGATCTCTCTGGCCCGCTCCCACTTACCTTCCTCATTTCACTCGCCGCTACGTCACTCACACACACATACACACGTACACGCCGCCGCCACGCCACGGTGACACACTTCTCGTAGAAATTCTTTTTTGTGAAGTGTCTCACCTTCCTCCTCGCGGGTTCAACGATCCATCCGAAACCGTGATCCGAGAGCCGGGTAGGCGCGGGCGCCCGCTAGTAGGACACCGTCCTCAATATCGCTCGTCGAAAGTACATGTGGTGGACATGTCGGTGATCTTACGAATGCTCCATCGACCTGTATATCTCTCTCTCTCTCTCTCTCTCTGTAGTGGTGTCTTAGTTGGACGGGCGGGCGGGCGGGCGGGCGCGGGCGAGCAGACGGGCGGCTCATTATATTCGAAAATATATAGCGGCCAGAGCTGACGCGTGCGAGATTGGCCTGTAACAGTATATGGGCCTCGGTCTCTGTCCGCTGGGGTGAGATGGCGGATCTTGGAGTGCCAAACATCAGGAACGAAAACCTCTTCACCTCAATTAACACCAGCGCTGGTAGTGGTGACCGCCGCCCGTCTCCTCCTCCGTCTCGCCCCGTCCTCCTCCGCTTCCACCGCCGCCGCCTCCTCCGTAGGCTCCGCTGGTAGTGGTAACGACAATAGCCCGACGGCCTGTAACTGTACGTAGCCCCGAACATGTACACACACACACACACACACACATACACACATGAGCGCGCGCGATCGCGACACGTACTCGTCCTCTTTACGAATAAAACGACGCTGGTTCGTGAAATTAGTTTCTAACGGCCGGGAAGTGTCATCGAGCGATTAACCCTGAAGCGGCTGATAAACCGCGCCTTCGGCCATTCGCGAGCGAGCGGTGAGAGGTCGCGCGAAAATCGAGCACCTTCGGCCCGATCTCGCGAGTATCCACCGCGAGTTCTCTCGATCGCTCGGTCGATTAACGCTATTATAAATAAATAATATTAAAATACACACGGTCGAGTTGACTGAGAGAGAACGGTTCGCACTGAACTTGGGAGAGAGAGAGAGAGAGAGAGAGAGAGAGAGAGAGAGAGAGAGAGAGAGAGAGAGAGAGAGAGAGAGAGAGAGAGCGGTCGTTTCGAATCGGCGGGCCGCGCCAGGTCGAAGCGCTCATTTCATTAGCGCCGCCGGCTGGTCTCCTCGCGCGCTCTCCTCTCTTTTTCTCTCTTCCGCGGCTGTTTTCCATTTCCCGCACGAAACCCACCCAGGTCATTTTCGACCTCGCTCGGCCGGAAAAATGAAGTTCTCGCTACGCGACCGCCGCGAGATCCGCAGATATCGCGCCGAATACGGCCGCGGAAGGATGTGTGTGTGTGTGTGTGAGCGCGCGCGAAATACAATTCGCCACGATACGCTTGACGCGTTGCTCATTGTGTGGCCGGTGGCGTGTAGTAGTGAGTTAAGGTGAGACAGTAACGGCCTGTCTCCCGGCTCTCCGGTACACCGCTCGCGCTAGTGGTTGGTCTACAACGGAGGCAGAGACAGCAGAGAGATACCAGTAACGGAGGAAGTGGCTTTCATTAGTAGTGGTGGCGGTGGAGGTGGCGGTCGTGTAGCGGCCGATGGAGGTGGTGGTTGTACTGCCGCCGCCGCTGCTGCTTGCCAATGGTGGTGGCGGCGGTGGTTGGTGGAGGTGGTGGTGGTGGTGGTGGTGGTAGTGGTAGTGGTAGTGGTAGTGAGTGCACGGCATATTTCGCTTCTCTTTGTAAGTTCACAGTATCACATATCTCGCGCCGCTACTCTCACGGCTCAACTGCACCGCTTCCTCCTCCGCTTCTCGGAGTCCGCGCGCGAGTCGCGCTTCTTCTCTTTCACTGCCTGTGCGCACTCGCGCCTACACCCTTTCTCTCCTCTCCTCGCTGCTTCCCCAGCTTCCTCCCCGTCTCTCCCTCTTCTTCTTCTTCTTCTTCTTCTTCATCTTCTTCTTCTTCATCTTCTTCATCATCATCTTCTTCTTCTTCTTCTTTTTCTCCTTTTTCTTCTTCTTCCTTTTCTTCTTCTTCTTCTTCTTGTCTTCCTCGACTTCCTCGACGCGGATGCCGTTCGCGCGCGTGATCGCTCGGTCGGAAAGTGCGCGACGACGGCTCGGCGTCCCGCCGGCCGTTCGGAGGCGCGATTGAATTCGGCGTCGGCTGAAGAGAGCGGAGGAAGGAAAAGAAACCGGTATACACCGCGCGGCCGGGCAGGAGGAGGAGGAGGAGGAAGAGGAAGAGGACAAGACAGAGGAGAGGAGAGAATCTCACTCGCTGGAGCGAGAATCCTCTCGGCTGCACGCACCACTGCCCTAGTGTTGTTTTCACGGACGCGCGCCTCGTACGCGCCAACACGGAAGAGCGCACACGCGCGACACGGCTGGCGGCACGGTTTGGCGCGGTTCCGTTTGTGCGAGTTTTTACCGTACCGCCCACATCCGTCATCGACACGTTGGGACGAAGCAGGTAAAAAACAGCACGTCACAGTGCCTCGACACGAACCTCGCGCGGTGTGCATACGCGCGCTTCGGATCGAGTCGAGCAGATTTCTCGTTTCGCCGTTTGCTTCTTCTTCTTTTTCTCTCGTTGATGATCGACGATCGACGATCTCTGGCGAGGACCGCCGCGCGCGCTTCGTACGAGTCGCGGAGAATAGCGAGAGTTCGCCTCTCTTCTTCTCTTGCTCTCTCTCTCTCTCTCTCCCTCTCTCTCTCTCCCTCTCTCTCTCTCTCTCTTTCTCCCCGGAGCGTGTTTCTCGCCAATTAAATACGCCGCGGATTGCTCTCAATATCTCGGCCGTCTCGCGCGCGATCTCGCCGTTATCTCAGCGATGCGTGTGTGTTTCACCAGCAGCGGCGACGCCAGCAGAATGTATCGCGTGCTACTTTGTCTCATCTCCATTTACGGGAGCATTCACGGAAATGCCGTCTCCTCGCACTTCCCCAACAAGGGAGACGCCCCCCGCCAATACCACCCCCGTTTCTTGATGTACGAGGAGCCGCACAACATCGAGTTCAAGTATCACAATTACGACCAGATGAGCCGCTTTCTGCGCGCGACGTCCCTCCAGTTTCAAAATCTTACCGCGCTCTACTCGATAGGAAAGTCAGTGAAAGGTACGATCTTTCTTTCTTTTTCGTTATGCGATACTATCGCTCTGCCGAGTAAGATGATAAAAAAGAAGAAAATATCAAAAGAGGAGAAAAACAAGGGACTGAGAAGACGAAGACGGAGGAGAAGCTCGATCCGAGTCATCGCGCGGCACGATCACGTCCCTTCGAGTGTCTCCCTCCGTACAGTCTCTTTCTCTCTCGTTCTCTCTCCTACAGTCTTTGGGTTAACCGATCGTTATGATCGAGCGACATTTGCACACCGCAGGTCGTGACTTGTGGGTGATGGTCGTGTCATCGTCGCCGTACGAGCACATGATCGGCAAGCCCGACGTCAAGTATATCGCCAACATACATGGAAACGAAGCCGTGGGACGCGAGCTGATGCTGCATCTCATTCACGTATGTAGTTGCCGCGAACACGCACAGCGGATTTTCCGCGTTACTCACGGCGAGTGGTGACGAGAGAGAGAGAGAGAGAGAGAGAGAGAGAGAGAGCGACGGATGCTTACGCGTTGCCGTTGAAGAATATTTCGCGAGGACTCAGCGAGGAGCTCTCTCACTCGCTCATCAATTCTCACCTCCGTTTCGCGCGACAATCCGCGCCGACTCTCTCGCCGCTTCGTTCCGCCGAAGGCAAAGTTCTGCCGAAAGATCAGAGGACGATGTGGGAAACGCGAAGGAACGCGAATCGCAGAGACGTTCGCGCGCGACTCCGCAGGTACGATATTTTTCTCTTGTTCCCCCCCTTGCCTCCTTGCAGTTCTTCGTGACATCGTACGGATCGGACGCGTACATCACTTGGCTGCTGGACAACACGAGGATTCACATCCTGCCGTCGATGAATCCCGACGGCTTCGAGGTCTCCAAGGAGGGCAACTGCGACGGTGGTCAAGGCAGGTTAGACATTTCGACGAAAACGATCTCTACGCTGCTCGCGTCGCGCGTTGGCGCTCGCTACCGTAAAGCCCGTGTCACATTACGGATTGAAGATCAAGGATTGCGAATTGAAGATTAGATTTCGATAAATCGACAAACTTCGGGTTTGCTTTATTCCGACTGGTCAAATTTCAATCTTCAATCCGCAATCCTTGATCTTCGATCCGTGGTGTGACACGGGCTTAACGTAACGTCCCTCTCTTGAGCGCGCATGCGCGTGCGTGTGTCCCTGATTCTCACGTCTGCGATTTTAACAGGTACAACGCGCGCGGCTTTGACTTGAATCGCAACTTTCCGGACTACTTTAAGCAGAACAATAAAAAGAGTCAGCCGGAAACCGAGGCTGTTAAGGAGTGGGTATCAAAGATCCAATTCGTGCTGTCGGGCAGCCTGCACGGCGGCGCGCTCGTAGCGAGCTATCCCTTCGACAATACCCCGAATTCGCGTAAGTTGAACATACCCTTTGACCCGTAAGCGGTTGCGCGGGAGAATCGTTAAAGAGACAGGCGCATAGCTCTCTCATTCAATCAGCCTATCTGAGTCGGCAGAATCGTACGTGTAACGCACGTCGTCGTCGTCGTCGTCGTCGTCGTCGTCGTCGTCGTCGTCGTCGTCGTCGTCGCCGTCGTAACCCGTCGTGAGCCCCCTCGTTGACGATAAACGACGAGAAGCGAAAAAAAAAAAAAACAGAACACGAAAGAGACACGCAGGACGGACGAACAGAGAGAGAGAAAAAAAAAAGACGTAGCAGGAAAGCAGAAAGAGACAAACGGCTTGGTCGTTACTTGTTAATCTCCCCCTCCCCGAGCGGCTCCGGCAGCGATCCGGGATCGGATTTTCCCATCGAGTCCGTTAATATCGCACTACCGAACGCACGTTCCGTTTACCGTCAGACCACGTCAGGCGGCTATGGCGTAACTGCGCATAGCTTTGAAGCTGTCATGATATTATGTAAAACTTTCATGCCGTCAGGAATATGTCGATCAGCGCCACTGTGTGCAGGTACAGTGCAATACATGATTAACTAATCGCTAAATAGCCAGTATAATCAGCGACGTTATCATTTACTTCCGAAGCGTAGCGTGACAAGAGGTAGACGCGTAGAGGTAGAGCAAAAATTAGAGAGAAAGAAGGAACGAAAGAACGAACGAACGAACGAACGAACGAACGAACGAACGAACGAAAGAAAGAAAGAATGAAAGAAAGAAAGAAAGAAAGAAAGAAAGAAAGAAGCAGGAAAGACCGCGACGGGACGGAGATGCAATATTGTTTCTCGCGTGTGTCTCGCCCGTGGCTCTCTGTCTCTCTTTCCTCTCGCCTCGAGGACGAGAAGGCGACGACGCGTTGCTTGTTGCTGGATGGCACGTCCACGTCCAGGAACGAACGGAAAGATCGGTCTAGAGTAACAACGTCACTGTACCTCGCCCGAAAAGTGTAAATGATAAGGTCTACAGTTAACACGCGACGGTTTTCATCTCTCTCTCTCTCTCTCTCTCTCTCTCTCTCTCTCTCTTTCTCGGCATGCCTCTTTGCGCGATCAGCTCCTTTTCGTCTCTCTCTCTCTCTCTCTCTCTCTCCCTCCCTCTCCCTCTCCCCCTTTCTCTCTCCTTTCGACCTCACGCTCCTCCATCGGTCCCCATTAACGCAGCCTGTATGAAAAATCTCACCCCTCTTCGGCTTCGGAATGATGCGATGCTCGACAAGCACGCGTAGGATAGAGTGAAAGCGCGCGGTGCCACGTTGCCAGAATCATCAGACGCATGACACACTAGGTAGCTTCGGTCATCTAATGAGCACGTACGAGCCCATACGAGGGCCCCGCATAGATGTTTCCCGGGGTCTCCTCGGATAGATTCTATTTCAGAACTTCAGTCTTGAGATTGCTTACGCGAGATTACGACACCAAACCTGGAAATTCCACATTCTCGTTCCAAATACGGAGCTTCTCTGCTCTTTAGAAACGGAAATTCGCGTTCTCTCCTCGGTCGGTCGGTAACGTCGACTTTCATGTCATCAAAAGGAAAACTCTTCTTGCCGGAGCAATTACCACACTCGATAGACTAAAGGATCAAAAGGGAGGAGGATCGAGTTCTGAAGAATCTCGGGGAGACCGTTGTTGCCTCTTGAGTCCACCGTCCGCTTGACTCCGGGAGATCGGATCAGATCCCGATCAGCTCCCGGGAAACGTCCTGTGCGGGGCCCGAGTAGATGCCACATATTGCGCACGCAATCATCCTCACCCGTTGGCGGGAACAGACGAGTCTCGTCACGTTGAAACAGTAACAGTGTCATATAGAGAGAGTAGTGTTTCAGAGTTTTACATCGACGCCGAGTATCTCGCCGGATGACGACGTGTTTCAGCACTTGTCGCTCACGTATTCGCGAAATCACGGCTCTATGTATCGGGGATTAGCGTGCTCGCCTTCTCAGCCCGCGTTTAAGCGCGGCATCACCAACGGCGCCGAGTGGTACCCGCTCACCGGCGGCATGCAAGACTTCAACTACGTGTGGAACGGCTGCATGGAGATCACCTTGGAGCTGTCTTGCTGCAAGTACCCGCCGGCCTCGGACCTGCGCCACTACTGGGAGGAGAATCGAGCGGTGAGGTGCCTGAGACGAGGGACGATCAGCTGAGATATCCAGCGCTTAACCCTTTGTATTCTGAATTCATTTACTCGAGACCTTGTCCAACTTTTTTGCGCAATCGAATAGCTCTCGGCGTATTATATAAACGCGGGGGAATAAATTTTATAACAATTTTATAACGATTAACACTTGAAGGTGGTACTTTTGAGTGCAAAGGGTTAAGCTCGTCTCCGTCATCGGCAGATTTCGAGCGTAACACGCCCGTGCGGCTGAATATCGCTCGTTTTCTTCAGACTTCAGTGAGATCGGTGAGGGAAACGCACGGAGATGAAAAACAACGGGATTTCTACGCGAGATTCGACCCAGCGCGGTCGTGTCCGCTTCCGCGATAACGGCCGGGCGAAATGAACGGATGTGTCCGCTTCTGACGCAAACGGGTTAACGCAATGCCGATGACGGGCGATGACGCACTGAGAGAAGGAGACGGTTAATCTCGTTGAGAAACCGATGAATCCTGAAAATTATACCGCTTTGTCGTGATTTTATCCAAACAGTGCCAAACAGTAGCGGCGCGCGTACCGACTGATTGATGCGGCAGAGTTTGCCGCAGTTATTACATAACATTGGCCATGATAATTACAGTAGCATCCATTACGGAAATTGGCCTCCAGACTGTAACCATTTCATTACTCTTTGTCTCAGTGGATCGTTTTCAGGATGAGCGAGCGCGCAGGCGCAGCCTATGTGCGTGTACGTGTGTATAACCGATTCGAAGAGCTTGTCGATGCCGTATAACGCACTTTGCCGTCTCCGTAGTCCCTGATCAAGTTTCTGGCGGAGGCTCATAGGGGTGTTCACGGCTTCGTCGTCGACGAGAACGGCAATCCCATCGAGAGAGCGTCCGTCAAGGTGAAGTCGCGGGACGTCAGCTTCTCGACGACCAAATACGGCGAATTCTGGAGGATCCTGCTGCCGGGCGTTTATAAGCTGGAGGTAGGTGCGCCGCTGTCGTTTCCGCGTCGTCAATGTTAACGGACCGCGTTATCCGTTGAATCCTTACCGTTATCACCGCAGCGATCGCGACCCTCGCCTTGTCCCGCACCGCCTTGAGCGCTTCCAATCTCGCTCGAACGGACCGACCGACCGATCGAGCGAAACGTCCGTCCGTTACGCCTACTGCAAGGCACTTAAGTGATCTCTCTTTATTTATTGTGTGCCGCAGGTATTCTCGAACGGATACATACCCCGCGAGGTGGAGTTTGTGGTAATTGAGCAGCACCCGACGCTCCTCAATGTTACGCTTTACTCGACGAAAGTAAGTGACGCCTAGACGAGCGAGAGCTAAAGTAACATAGCTATCTACGTCTTCTTAACGTAAAAGCGAGTAAATCTGTACTTTACGCACGGAACAGAGGCAGTACGACGACGAAAGTGGATCCGTTTTGTATAACGGGAACCCCGGCGGCAGGCCTTATCCGCACCGGGACCACACGTTACATTACCGGCCACAATCGGGCGCAAACACCGCGGCCGATGCGAACAGCGGCATTTTCTCGTCTCTCAGTAACGGATTCAACAGCTTCGTTACCAATCTCTTCGGATAGTCCGGTCACCTCGTGCGAACCGTACACCTCGACATATCCACAGTTATTTATTTCAACTATATTATGCCGTCATGAGGCCAGATATCAATTGCGACTCGGTGAACCTCCGGCGCGATCCGCGCGAAAGCCGGCGAAAGCGCGAACGACTCGTATGATCCGAGAGAGAGAGAGAGAGAGAGAGAGAAAGAGAGAGAGAGAGAGAGAGAGAGAGAGAGAGATCGGCAAAATACTGCCAAACGGTCCACCGCATAGCCGAAACTGTTGCACGTGTTATGTTTGATATATAATCTCTAAACAATAAAGTATTTATATGTATACCCCCGTCGCCCGCGCGCGCGCGCGCGCGGAAATGCGCACGCGACGTGCGCTCTCTATTTAAGCTGTTTGTTTACACACGTACGATATTGCCGCGCGGTGGACGACCATTTGCGACACACGCGTTGCCGAATGATAATAAAGATTACAAAGTACTACAGAGCTCGCAGACTATCGATGTTAGATAGGTGACCGCGTGTATCAGCGTAATCGTAATTGCTCCCCTAATGATCACCTCCCCGCGCGCCCCACGTTGATCGGGATTATCCGACGGGGATGATACCGCGTGTTCCAAAGAGCGAATTGCTCCAACGGGGACGATTACAGTTGCCGGAAACGGACTCCTGTCTCGATGAAAAGAAGTCACTCGACGGTGTCGGTCGCGCGTCGACGCGAGTGAGAATTTTCTAGGCAACGCGCAGGAGCGTAGCGGGAATGTCTCGTACGAAGAAAGGAGAAAAGGACTACTTAATGCCTTTTTTTTAATTAAAATAGTTATGAATAGTATATACACTCGGTACGCATATCTTTCAAGACGCAAATGATGAAACAATCTCTTACGAGTCGCGCAGTCGCGCGGGCTTCCTTCGACGCTTGCGAGCGCAAGAGAGTTGCGCGACGAGAGTTCTTTTCTTCTTCTTCTTCTTCTTCTTCTTCTTCTTCTTCTTCTTCTTCTTCTTCTTCTTCTTTTTGCCTCGGGCAAATTTTCCTTCGCGCAGCGAGAGTTGAAGAGAGGGAGATTAACCGATGAAATTTTGCGTCTCCCTCAACGAATGTCTTTTCTTCTTTTTTCTTTTCTTTTTATTCGTCGCGATATCGACGCAACCGCGAATGTCGCGCGCGCGCGCGCTTTGAATTGCGAGTTGAACGTCACGAAAAATACGCGCGAACAATTATCCTAAAATACTGACGACAGAAAAAGAACGTCGGTGCGTCTCAGTAATGTCGGGAGAGCCGCCGTGTGCGCGTTTCAAGCGGATCTTTCGTTTGTATCCTCTCAAAATCGGTATTCAATATTTGTCAGCTTCCCCCTCCGTTTTCGCCCCCTCCCCCCGCTTCGTTCTCAATCGAAGACCGATTTTGACAGCGACTGGCTACTGATAAGTGGTATAATTTACGAGCCCGTCGGAATCCCTTGGAAACGTCTCGTCTCGGGTGTTCGAGGCGACCGGTGACGTTGAAGAAAGAATAAAAAAGAGAAAGAAAGAAAGAGAGAGAGAGAGAGAGAGAGAGAGAAAGAGCGAGAGAGAGAGAGAGAGAGAGTTACGAAAAATAAGATTTGTACATCAGCGATTCAGGACGAGCTCCAAGGAATTCGCGCGGCGCGCTATATGTATATATATATATATATATATATATGTTATTCTTTTATTATTACAACAATCTCTCTCTAATTCCTCGCGATCTTCGTGGACTCCTTGTTGCTGGTGACGTGCTCGAGGTCGACTCCGTCGTACTCCAAACCGCCGGCGTTATCGTAGTACGCGTAATCGTAGTCGTTCTTCTTGCTCGACTTCGGTCGCGCCGTCGTGCTGCTGCCGCCGCCGCTGCTGGGTAACCTGGTCGTCGACGTGAACGGCCTGGCGGACCCGCTCACGTAGGTGACTCCCCGTGGCGTCGTCGTCGGCTGGCCGGCCCTCTGGGCGCCGGAGCTGAAGGAGTTCGGATTGTAGGTGGTGGCGATGGAGGGTCGCCTGGAACGCCGGGAGAAACCGAGATTATCGTCGAGCTCGTCCGCGGAGCGGTCAGCGGGTTATTGAATGGTAAGAAGAATAATAATAAGAACAACCGGTGGAGTTGACAATGATACGAGAAAAGACGTGTTTTGCGGAAACAAAAAGAAGGAAAATACATGTTTGCCGTGCTTGTTATGTTCGATCGCTTCATTTTCAGTTGTTTATAAACAAAGTCGAAAAAAGCGATTTAGGAAAAAAATGAATTTGTTGAAAAATATTTAAGAGTAGAGGCTGATGATTTTACCGCATGTTCTCTCCCTTCACGTGTGTCAAAATATAAATTTTTTGCAGAACTTTTTGCACGCCAGACTTTTTTCTAAATCACTTGTTTAGCAGCCATGTTGGATCTGTCACTTCGACTTTTTGAAATCTGACTTCAGCGACTAATAAAAAAGCACTGCAAATGCAAGATTTCATAGAAATCCGTGAGGTAAAGAAAATGTGAACCACACAAAGGGTGATCGGCCATTGCAAAGCTGAACATGTCCAACTTTGCCGCAGCGATCGCCAGACGCCGCGATTTCTAAATGTTCGACGCTGACGAGTAAAAGCGAACTTCACTGATAAAAACTTCTAGACGTTCGATTTTGATTCGCTAGTGTCTAAAATTTAGAATTCGCTGTTCAACTTTGACCCCACTAGACGTCGTGTCTTCTAGATTTTAGACGTTAGCGAATAAAAGTCGAACGTCTAGAAGAAATTTTGACCAGGCGAATTCGCTGGCGAATTAAGAAAAAGCTTGCACAAAGCGAATGAAAGCAGCACCGTGTAAATCACCTTTATTAAAGCACCCTTACCTCGGCACCGGCGTGGTCGTCCTCGGCGACTCGGCCAAGTGGTTGATGCTCGCAGGGCTGAAGCCGATCCCGACGGAGGACCTCGCGAGCTCGAAGCCGCCGGTGCTGGTCTCGACGTAGTAGGACTTGCCGCCGCTCGCGCCATCGTAATTGTTATATTGGGTCGCCTTCTTGGGCGTCTTCGTGCTGTCGTAGTACTGCGTCGACGGCTTGGCCGGCTGGCTCGTCTTCTCGTAGTACTGATTGTCGTTGTTCCTCAGGGCGGTCTGCGCGACCGCGCTGTCGCCGCTCGCGTACTTCTTTGTCGCCGGGCTATACGTGGTGGGCGCGTAGCTGTTGCTCGCCAGATACTTGACGGTGGTCTGACCGAGGTCTTGCCTGCTGGCAGACGTGACTGGTCTGTACTGATTGTTGTTGTTGTTGTTGTTGTTGTTGTAACTCTCGTAGACGGTGGGGGCTGCCGTGGTGGACTGGTAAGCGACGTTACCGCCGCTGCCACTGCGTTGGATGTTGCTGTAGCTCCTCTGCTGGTAGTTGGTGTAATCGCTGCTCTGATAGTTGGTGCTCGGCTGGACAGTAGTGGACTGCGAGAACTGACCGTAGGTCTGGTAGCTGGTCTTCGGGCTGTAGCTGCTGGGTCTCACAGTTGTGACCTGGGCGAAGTTCTGGTTCTGATTGTAGTTGGCGTTGTTGTTGAAGACGTTGTAGGCGGTGGTGCGACTGGTGGTGCTGACTGACTGATAGTTGTTGTACGTGGCGTCCTGGTAAGTCGTGCTGGGCCGATACGTGGACGACGACGGCGCGTTGTACCTCTGCGTGTTCTGGCTCCTGCTGTAGGTCTCCTGCTGAGGTCTCACGGTGCTCGACGACGAGACGTACGTCGTCGTGGGTTGACGCTGCTGCTGTTGCTGGTTGTACCCGTTGCCATTGTAGTAGTTGCCGTTGTAGTTATTCTGGGCGGGCGCGAGCGGCGCCGACGTGCTGCTGGTCGACGGCGAATAGCTGCCATTGGCGTTGTACGGTTGCTTCCTGCTGACCTTCCTGACGCCGCCCTTCTTCTTCGAATCTTGAACGGGCTCCTCCTTGTACGACTTGTCGCTCTCGTAGTCGTCCTCCTTGCCGTTTCTGTTGTAGAAGTTACTGCTGCTGCTGCCGCGCAGTAAGTCGCGGTTGCCGTTGCCGCTGTAGCTCGACGAGGACACCCGGTTGACCGCGTTCGCCGAGGAGCGCAGCGCGTCGCTGGTCTCGCTGCGCTGCAGATGATCCTGCGGCTCGGCGTCGCTGCGCAGGTTGTCGTAGTGCACGGACTCCAGGCCCGAGCCGATTCTGTACAGGTCGAAGTTGTCGCTGGCGTAGTAGAGCGTCGCGGCCTCGCAGTCCACGTCGTACCAGTCCGCGCAGGTCTGGCTCTCCTGGTCGAAGGCGGTGTCGTTGGGACACAGGAATCTGCGAGCGAGCGACAGAGACGTCAGAGTATGAAATATTTACGAGAGGATCCTCGACTGGGAATCCGCACTCCGCGTTCCAAATAATGGAAACGACATTCGCGGCGCGAACAAGCCGCGAATTTCCACTCGCAGGCCTCTTCATCCTCTCGAAGCTGAAGGCTCCCCCCTCCCCCTCCCCCGCTGCTTCAACCCGCGAGCTCCCTTCGCTCCTCGGGCCTCTCCCACACTCACTTGTAATCCTGGATAGAGCCGGCCACGGAGACGCACACGTGGAACACTTGGCAGTCGGTCTCAGGATCCGCGTAGTAGCTGCCGACGATCTTGTTGCGACAGTTGAACGAGGTCTCCGGCATGTATTGCTGGGAGTACCTCGGCGGTGGCCGCTGGAGACCCAGCGCGCAACTCCATAGTACTCCCACTGAAACCGACCAAGCGTCGACTAAGTCAAGCGCAGGAGGAATTTGCTTGGTCGCAGCCCCCGCAGCGCAGCGCTCATGAATCGTCTTATTCATCGAACACGCGAACGATCGCGGCGAAGATCCGACGGCGAGTAGGTGTTGAACTAACTTTGATACTTTCCGTAATCAGCTGGTCACGCTTGGACGTCATGTATTATTTCCGCTTACAAACTTAGTTCTAGCCATTATTGTTTCAATATTAAACAGAGAGAAATGGGTGAACTTTTCATTACTTATCTTGATAATTTATCGATTTAATTTAGCTGATCAATTACGGAACGTACCAAGGTTAGTTTAAGGCCTGCCAACCTTAAGACCAAAGTCCCCAAAACCGATTTCAAAACAACAGGGTAAATGTAAAAGAACGCGGATATTCACGCACGCAGCAGGGGGGGGGGGGTTTGCCCCCATCGAGAGCGCACCGTCGCCTATCGGTTTCTACGGACGTGCCTCGAACAAGAAGAAACGCAATATCGCCTGGCGATCTTCCGAAGCGAGCCAAATACTTCGATCCGGATGGAGAATTCGCCCGAGACTTTCGAGCCGCGCGCGACTCCTCGCCCGGTTGAAGGAGAAAGGTCGGCGACGAGATGTCGCCGGCGCTTTTCTCTCACGCTGAAAAGTCGAGAGTGTCGCCGACTCCATTCGCCATTTTTCGTCCTCACGGTCTCGCCTCGGTCTCAACAGACGCGTTCGCGCGGAACCCGAAGAAGCGCGCATTCTACAGACGGAGACACCGACGATGGCGGTTTCCGGAAATCGAGCGAACGTTGTGTTAAAAAAATCATAAAATCGTTAAATCATAAAAATCGCAAGTTAACCCGATAAGAAGCCATCGGACAGCGGAATTTCGTACTACCAAGGCTCCTGCTGCCGCCCTTCTGCGACGCTTCTCATATGCGAGCATAAAAAATAACGTCGCCTCCCGCCGCCAAGCTCCGCGGCACTCTTCACGATTTCGGAAACGGGCGAAAGTCGCGGGTGGATCTCCGTCGGCGTCAAGGAAGCGAAAATCTTACGGAGATGCTTTGCAGCGGGTCGACCCGTCGTAAGATACAAGGTCCGCTCCGAAATCGGTTTCGGAAATTTTGGTTCTGGTTACAAAGTTGGTAGACCGTAAACCGACTTGGACAAGGATGGTCCCGATGAATTGATCAGCTCATCACGCTTAGACGTTACAGTCATGTACTATTTCCGTTCACAAATGCGGTTTTAGCTGTTAATCTTGCGAAATTAGATCAGGAGAAATGGGTAAAATTTTTATTACTAATTATCTCGATAATTGATCAGCTGATTAATTACGAAACGTATCCAAGCAAGTTGAAGACCTAGCAAGCTTACAACTAGAAGGAAAATTTCCAAAGGCAATTTCGGAGCAAGCCTACAGTCGCTGGCGGCGGCACGAACTGAAGTACACGTACCCGAGATCAAAGCGAGACATCGCCTGGTGAACTCCATCTCGGGGCCCCGGCTGGCTTCGGACGGCTCTCTTCTTCTCTCCGGATTCCGCTGCGGGTCTCGGCGCGCTGCCGCGTATTCAGCGTTACCTGCGCGATAGGACTCGTCGGACGCGACTGCGGCCGCCGTGGAGAACGCCTCGGCCGAGAAGAGGAGAGCCGCGACGCGCTGAAGACGCTTTCCGGGAGCGAGGATGGGGCTGCGGCCCGATGAGAGCGGCCTCACGACGCGATGGCCGGGGGGGTAGCATGGGGAGGGGGAGGACCCTTCCCGCTCGCGGCGCGGGAGAACGTGCACGGGCCCCGTGCGGAACGTAACTCGTCTCTCTTACGTTACGTCAGCCGGGTTCATAGCGGCGAGGGCCGCAGCGCTGACGACGCGCGGATCCTCGTTGCGAGGACGACGCGTAATAACGTGCCAACGTCCGTCCGCGCATACCGCGCGGATGAATCTCCGTGTAACCCGCACGTTCGTCGACACGCAAGAGGTGGAGCGCCGGGTCCGGGTAGGCGGCCAGGAGAAACCGCGCCGCGAAGAGATACAGGCGTTCTTCGTCGGCCGTCCAACGGTCATCAGGAATAACGTAGGTGGTCGCACGCGCGCATTGTGTCGCGCCCGCGTGCCGATGGTACACGCGCGCGCGCGCGCGCGGAAGAGCTCGCCGAGCGGCGGAAAAATGGCGAGGCTCCTTTCTTGCGCGCCCGGAGAACACATTAAGGTCGCCGTGCCTCTCCGTTCTCGGAGAGTCGTCAAGGATAACGCCACCCGTGCCGGCAGGTCGTGGCTTCGCGATGGTTGCGCGATGACCGTTTGCGGAAAGATTCAGCCTCGGCTTACGTATTTACGAAAGAGATGCGACGAGAGACAGAGAGAGAGAGAGAGAGAGAGAGAGAGGTGTCGTTGAAGTTGGGGCTTGAAGGATTGGGAAGGTTGGCATATTTGAATTTGAGGGATTTCTCCTCGTGGTTTTAACCCCCTCGTCCCACGTTTTTTCTTTAGCAATTTCAATCATTAATCGTTAATTGCAAAAATATTGCAAATAGACAGATGGTTAAAATTGGCAGTTTTTTTCTTAAATTCTCTCTCATTACGCAAGTTTCTTTTTCATACTCAGCACACCCCTCTATGGTATGGTACTCTTCGGTACTTTAGCAGGATTATCGGTCATGCTTTTTCTTTGTTACTAACATTTTCATTGTCAAGAGACGTAGAAACAATGTTTTTTCATAAAAGATCCAAACAAACTGTTGTATTTTTTCCAAATTTGTGCATGTTTGGTTATTTTTAGACGTTATTTTTAGACATATCGAGTCATTTTGAATCACCGAAGATAAAGCATTTTGTCCGTAGATTTGGGTTCAACTTGGGTCCGAGAAATCCCTAGATCCAGACATTAATAAATGTCTAGTGCATGTTCCTAATGCACCTGAAAAATCTGAAACACGACAAACGTCCTTTCTGTCAGCAGCTTGTTTCGGCAACGGCTTTCGGCCGTCTTCTATTCGGTCGTGCAGAATTGCGGACGCTCTTGCAGAGTGAAAGTACAAACGTCGATGAATCGACGACCGCCCCCCACGTTGTATGCGAAAAGCGAAAAAGATAAATTTTCGAAGGAGTGACTTTCTTTTTCACCTTTCTGATATAACGTAACCTGGAACTCCCCAATTCGCCGATGCCTTCACCCCCTGAGAGAGACATTTGCCGTTCTTCGCAGCCGACTGCTTCTTTTTTTTCTTTTATAAAAGATCCAAACAAATCATTGTATTTTTGCAAGATTCACGCACGTTTGGCTACTTTCAGCCGTCATATTGCCAATCTCCAAAATCCAAAAACCGGCCGCCGGCAGTCGCCGAAAACCACGCCGCGGGTTATCGTCCACCTGCAGCCTGAATTATATGAAAGGCCGAGCGAAGCGGTGCGCGAGAGGGACGCGGGACGTCGCGATGAATCAGGGGAGAGAAACCACGCGGGACGACGCTGCGTAGGACGAAACGATGGACAGCTGCTTGCTCGGCAAGACGCGCATTTTCATCCGTCCTCGCGGACGCGATCGCTTTCATGCTGCGGCGGAAGAAAGTCGCGTTTTGCATTGAATCATCGGCGGCGGGCGCGGCGCTGGATAACGGCCAGCACGTCGTGCCGACGCGTCGCGTCGGCGGAGATGGCGAAGAAAGCAGCGGGATCCCCTTCGGCGACGATGATCGCGACCGCCGTCGTCGTCGTCGTCGTGGAGGCGAGCGTTTCGCGCGTCGCACCTCTGAATTTCTCGCCGATGGAAACGCTCGGCTCTCGGCTCTCGGCGCAAGTTTGGCGTGACCGGTCGCCCGGTGGCCTTTGCCAGCGAGATCGCGACTCGATGCGCCTCGGCTGGAGGGTGCATCGGCGGCGCAGGGAGTGCTCGGCGCTGCTGCATTCCAGCGAGAAGCGAACGAGCGCGCAAGAACGGCGCTCGGCGCGTCGTTAGAACGCTCGGCTCGAGCCGAGCGCCCGAGAACCGCGCGGCCGATCTCTCGGGCGGTTCTCCATTATCCGGGATCTAACGATATATTAGATACCTGAAGTAGTCGGCCGAAGTTCGCCGGGTAATTGCGCGGGATTCTCCGGCCGCGTTTTTCAGCCCCGCCGCCCGATAAGGAGAGATCGCCGGCTTTTCGGCCTCGGCGACAGAGCTCGGACTTTTCCGCGAGTTTCCCCTGGATTAGTCGAGCGGACAATCGACGAATGCGGCTCTAACGATAGCGCACGTGCGAGAAACGGAGGAGAGCTGGAAATCCGACTTGCGACCGGCCGCGGCCGGTCGCGATCGAAATCGCGAGCGGCGCCGCCGAACACGCGAGGAGTTTGTCCCGCAAGCGAGAGTCACGTGGCCACGATATTCACTTGCTGCCGCGCGCGAAGATCGAGGTCATACGACGTCGACGTACCTCGACAATCGAAATTTCGCAATGCTGCCTGCAGCTCGCATCCTGCAGCGCGGTGTGCCAGTGTGTAGTGCCTTAAAAGAGAGAGACTGAGAGGGAAAGAGGGAGAGAGAGAGAGAGAGAGAGAGAGAGAGAGAGAAGGAGAAGAGTAAAAATAATCCGCGGAGGCTTCGGAACTTGAAGAACGCGCGCACGGAGGAGAAAGACGCGGTCGATCAATGTGTGACAATGGACGAAGCGAAGGCGTTTCGCTCGAGCTAACGAAATCTCCGAGTCTCACAGCCGAATTTCATCGACGACGACCCGGAAGTTCGCTCTTCCCCGATCGTCGTCTTCTGGTTGCGCTCACGACCCTTTCTTCGGAAACGACCACGAGACCTGCTCTTCTTCGAGATCTCAATTCATTTCCGACGGAAGAAAAGAGCATTTTTTAAAATCTGTCTCCAAAGTTTGAGAGACGTCGTCTTCTGGTTGCGCTCTCGCGACCTTTTTTCGGAAACGACAACGGGACCTGCTCTTCCTCGAGATCTCAGTTCATCTCCGACGGGAGAAAAGAGCATTTTTGAAAATCTCTCTCAAAAGTTTGAGAGACGGCTGAATAAAATATTTACTATTTATTTTAACAATAATAAATGAAAGTAATAATTATTGTAAAAAAAAACTCCAATATATGACGATTAGTTGGAAAAAAACATATCCAATTTGATATTTTTGTGTTGAAATAAAAATTAATTAAGTAAGTATGCACCTATATAGCTTGGCAAAATAATAGTGTATCGTTAATAAATTCATTAAGAGGTATCTCACATGTATATTTGTATTATTTCCCGTTAGCACGTACTAATTTTCTAATTGCGGTCAGATATTGGGACCAATTATATCCGAACGTTGAGCCATAACCTATTTCAACTGTCCGGTCACTGGGTACATTAATGCGCTTCGTTACTTGTGTAAATATTTCATTAATAATATATACATACAGGGTGCTAAATTTTAAACGTAACAGGTAAAAAATCTCGAAAACTATGAAAGATATTAAAAAAAGCTAAAACACGTGTTCCATACTTTCAAAGGGCAAAGATAATAGCATTATCAGCTTTTTTATTTGGAAGGATATTTTCAAGGTCAGTTGAAGGTCAACTTAATTTTTTAAAATAGAAAGCCCAATTTTTTATTATGTATTCTTTTCCTAGCAATTAATCTTAACAACTTCTGCCCCAAACATTTTTTTATTTGTCTAATATTTTTTGAAACATTTAAGGAAAACTTGGTAACTTTTTCAACATTTAATTTACGATATCTCCTAACTATTCGTCGAAAGAAAAAATATTTCTTTCTATTTTAAAAAATTAAGTTGACCTTCAACTGACCTTGAAAATATCCTTCCAAATAAAAAAGCTGATAATGCTATTATCTTTGCCATTTGAAAGTATGGAACACGTGTTTTAGCTTTTTTTAATATCTTTCATAATTTTCGAGACTTTTTACCAGTTACGTTTGAAATTTAGCACCTTGTATGTATATATACCACCATGGTGTATATATATATATATATATATATATATATATATATATATATATATACATACATTGGTTTAAATCATTTCTCTGTACTTAAGGGAATCTTAAGTTTTCGAATAAATGCAAATATTTATATCAAAACTATACTCAATATTATATATTGTATTTTTTATGACGACGCTTAAACGCCCGCGGTTACTGGGACATTTACCTTATATCGCGTGAATGCGGGTCCACGCCAAGCCGCGATCTCCTCTGATTAAACGCGGCGTGAATAAACTAACTTTAAACATACATCGCTCTCTCTCCCTCTCCTTCTCTCCTTCTCTCTCGCTCTTATCCTGCCTCTCGGAGCGCCGTAGCGCTCATTCAGAACGATAAAGCGCGCGAGCGAGTTACTCGGGGAGATGTTTTGTAGACATCAATCCCGGGTCGCGGCCGTGCTTAATTTCATTCCCCGTCCAACGCGCGATAGAAATCTACCTGATGAGATGGTGTCTCATTTCGACACCGTCGTACGCGGCTAGTAACGGCTAATTAACGAGTCGCGAGCATTATATTTTTCAATGACCGACCGTCCGTCTCTATTACGCGCGGCGCGCCGAGCTCGCTGCGAGGAATCTTCTCAGCCTTGGAGGGCGAAAGTTGTCTTCGGTTCGCTCGTAGATGGAGCGATATTTGCACCTACAGGCAATCCTCCTTGCGCGAAAGTTGTGGGCGTAAGTACTCCTCTTCGCTGAGACTCACGTTAGACGCTTCGCGGGATCTCGCTCTCGCTGTC